TCTTTCCCCTCGTAAAACTACAATAATTCATGACGTTGACTTTCATTCATAAAGTGCGACCGACGTTGTCGGTCGGTTGGTAGTTGAATATGCAGCGAATGTTGTCGTTAAAATAATTATATATTTCCCTGCCTAGCCCCCGGCTGGAGGAAAGTTCTTTAGAAAGTTTCGTGAAACGAGTTTTCCGCTTGTCAATCATAAAACTTGTACTGCCCAGCCATCGGTGATTAATGGTGGGGAAAACTCCCCGATGCTTCTTCTCACATAAAGTAACTAGTTTTTTTGGTTTTAAATAAATTTGTATTAAAAATATAATGGGTTGGAAAACATATCGAAGCATCTGAAGTTGTTGCTCAACATGTTTCTGGCAACATTTTTCTAGCAACGTGTTCCTATGCAGTCTTTGCCATGTTAAATTTAAGTTTTTTTAAATGTTTATAGATTTCTAATCGCTAAATAAAAACATTTTCTTTAAGAAAACAAAAAACTAAAACTTTGCTGCACAAATTTACTGAAAATATAGTAAACAAGAAAGAAAGCTAACTTTGGCCAGCCAAAGTTTGTAAACCCTTGCAGGTAACAATTAAAATATACCATAACTAAGCCAAAAATGCATTAATTTCGATTCGGAAAGCAGTTTTGTGTTAGTTTTTATTAATTTAAAAAAACTGCATACCAAATTTAAAATTTTAAGAAATCAAAATTTTTGGCCATTTTTGCTCATTTTAATGATGTAACCCCTTATCGAATTTCGCAAAAATGCCAAAAAATCGATTTCTTCCGGACATGTCTAGAAAGATTCCCCTGTTGATGCTGATCAAGAATATATATGGTTTATGGGGTCGGAAATGATTCCTTGACTTAGAAAAATATTATTTTGTATTATAAAATCGGATTTTTTATATTAAAAAACTTCATGATTTTCTTTTAAATTAAAAATATCATAACTCGGCCAATAGAGCATTAATTTTAAATCGGATAACTGTTCTGTGCAAGATTTTCTACAGTTAATAAATCTGCATACTTCATTTAAAAATTTTGAAAATTCAATTTTTTATGAAAATCAATAATTTTAATGATGTAACCCCTTATAAAATTTTGCAAAAATGGCCAAAAAATCGATTTCTTCCGGACATATCTAGAACGATTCCCCTGTTGATGCTGATCAAGAATATATATACTTTATAGGGTCGGAAACGTCTCCTTCACTGCGTTGCAAACTTCTGACTGAAATTATAATAACCTGCAAGGGTATAAAAATTTGAGAAGAATTCATAGAAATAATACCTTTTCTCATGATCTTAAATTATTAAATTAAAATAAATCACCCATCACTCTGTGAATCACTCTTATCAAATTAAAATTCACATATATTTTTTAGCCTACATGATAAATACAAGCACACACCATCTACGAGAATCAGTGACTTTAAGCAAATGGCGTCATCTTTTTCGAATAATACCAATTGAGTGTGTGTGGCGGCGTGTGTGTGGGCAGAGAGTCAATGTCATCGGTTGAACACAAAAATCTCAGAAATAAGAAGCCACCTTTGTTGTGGGAATTAAAGACACTAATAGAGTTGGCTGTATAATGATTATTGAACTCTATAATAAGTAAACAAACCGATTTATTATTATTATTTTCAACACACATTTTTCAAAAACCAAAAATTTGCAACGAAAATTATTGTATATTTTGCTTTCGAATCCGATTCGCCGGCTAAATGTCAATCGGGCAGAGGAGTTGTTGAACCCAACAGCGGATCGAATATATATATAAGCGGAAAATGTCTGCTTATAATTGAATATCGATTCGCGTTGTGGACAATTGTGAAAGTTCAACGAATCTGAAATTTAAATCCGCGTTCGATTGGCATTCGCATTGAACTTGGCTGGGATTGGAATTAAGAAATAATCATCAATTGGCCGTATTTAAATGATTTGAAATAGCTTATGGCCAGGTCTTGCCCTGGCTGCTGCTGCTGCTGCTGCAGATTTTTATGTATTTTGTTTGTGAAAGTTGCTGCACATTGCTGCGTGTGCAAGAGGAGGGAAAAATGTATGATTTTCAAGCGAAAAGTGAATGCTGATGGCTGTAAAAATTTTGCCAGACACTCAAATTTTCCCAATTCCTGAGGCGCGCGCCAAATGGTTAACTGTAAAAGATCAGGGAAATTATCATGCAGCCAAATCAGCAAAGTCAACACGCACATACACACAGCGACCGCTAAAGGGGAAAAATAATAATAATAATACACAGACATGATGACTTTATTTTATGGCATCAAGTGGCATCCAGCGTTCCGTTCTGTTTACCAAAGTCCAGCAACGAAAACAGGCTATCCGCAAGGCTGTGAGTGTGCAGGATATTCGAGCACCACTTGGCCACCACTCGACGACTGGGCTCCGCCAGCTGCAGCTTCGGCTCCTCGCTGTGGGCCGTTAATTGTCCATCGCATAAAGGAACTTAACTCAGCTTTCTTGATCTGTCAGCGTTATTTGGCCAGAATTGTTCCGAGAATACCGACAGACAGACCGACTGAGAGAGAGATGCCGTTTAAGTGTTTTAATTTGACGTGGCCCATAAAAGAATGCCTTGTAATTGCTGCTTTCTTTTGCTTGTTTTTTACGATTTTACGATTTTTTGGTAATTGGTTAAAAGCGAATCCGCGTGAGAGCTGCGATTTTTGGGGGGAAAAATTGAATTCTTGAGGTGTAAGAGGGGGCCTATAAATGTTTTTATTTTAGAGAGAGGAATTTGGAATTTTAATTTTAATTGTTAAAGGTAATCCTTAGGGCTTAAATTTATTTTTCATTTATATTTATGTATTTATTAAAAATTACGAGTTGTTTCTTTAATAAATCCCCATTAAAACCCTCTTCCTTTGTTAATCCCAACCTTTATTTCTAAAAATAAGTTGCACCTAAAACTATAACGTAGACAGGAATATCCGTGAGGATCATACAGTTAATCTCTGAGTCCATAAATGACACTCAGAATGCAATTCACGTAATTACTTGCCGCGAAAGCCAAACTAGAACACGTCTGTTGAATGTACGTGCCCAGCCTGAATAGCTTTTGTCCGGACTATATGTACTATATATACTATATACATACATATATGTTCTATATAGCGGCAGCGATTTCTGGGCTTGTTTTTTGTCTCGCAGACGGTGGCCCTTTGTTGCACATAAATAACAATACTTTAGGCTGGCATAGCACCACGACATATGTGTGTTTTGTGTGTGTTTGCACAAAAGAAAATGCAGCTCAATAAACTGGCACTGAGACACCACAGAGACTTGTACAATTTAACGGCTTTTGTTGCATAAATCGGGCTGCAGCAGCGACAACATTTGTTATGCGATTGCAATCTGCAAGATACATACATTTGTTCGCAAAAAAATGGCGTCGATCGTTGACAATATTGTCGGCATTTCCAGCCAAGATTGTGCAAAAGCAAAAAGGCGATGAATATTTATGGCCAGCCCTTGCAGCATCCAAACAGATGGATAGAGATTCCGGCAGGCAGTCAGTCAGTCAGCCAATATAGCTGTCGATCAGTCATTCATTCGCACAGTTTCAGCAAAAAGAAAGCAGAAAGAAACCCAACAACAAATAAAAGAGACCCCACAATTATAGAGACTAATAACGAAGACAGCTAAAAATGTGTGACAACAGGTTAGCGAACCTCGCACATTTGCATGGAGAAAGAGCCAGCGGCAGGGCTTAGAGCGGGAGAGAGATTACTTTCTTGCCGCTACACGCTTCGTAACCCCTGAGAGGCCCCCAAGTCCCCCAGTTCCCCAAGTCCCCCAATCCCCCATAGATGCTTATTATGCAACCAACGTTTTTTTCATCAACTTGACAAACCGAGCCGTGAAAAAAACAAAGACTTCAATCGAAATACTCTAACAGCTAAGGGGTAAATGTGTTTAAAAAGCGTTAAGAGTTTAAAACAATAGAAAGCTAAATGGTTGAAATAATGAATATTTGAGAGGTAAAAGAAAATAAGAGGGAAATGTGCATGGTTCTGTGTGTTGTTATTATTATAAATACAAAGTAAACAAAGCCAAATTAAATATAAAGAAATGTAATCTTGACTTGAAGTCAGAGAATATATAAACAGAGTGTTTCTGTTCATTATTATTTGTATTTCTAAATAAACAACCCAAAATTGTACTCATATAAATCATATTTACTATCTTTTCATGGTATTTATAAACCTCTAACCGACTATAATATTCAAACTATCACTTACAACCGCTGATAGATTAACACCTTCCGTATCACATTTAAAAAAAAGGGTATACCACGCCTCAACCTTTAGCTTTTATATTCCCCCCTTTAACTTACAGGTGATTTCTTCATTATTTACTTTTATTATGCCCGTTGTCAACGTGCCTGGGATGGTATCTCTCACGGGGTCCGGCTGATTCACAGTCTAAATACCTTCGGCGGGATCTCGATTCCCCCATCTGGGATGCGTAGCTCGCACAACCTGATCGTCATAACAAGCAATATCAATAAAAATTGCATGTTTTACATATAAAAGAACACAGGTTCTTGAGCTTTTGGCACATAGAGACCAGAATGGGGAATACAGGAAGGCAGACTGCATTGGTTTTGAACATTTTAAGGCCTCTCTGCAGGCGGGATGACTGGTAAAAAGGGAGTTCAGGTCATAAACAATAAGTATCCCAGCGAAATAAGCAAAAGGTGCGTTGAACTCGACACCAGGGATGCCAAGATGGTGTTTGCTTTGCAATTTTTTTTTTTGGGTTTTGTGGGTTTGGGTTTTTTTCCTGTCAGCACAAAATGTTGTGGAGTTTTGATGTGTTTGCTGTTCTTTCACCGTTATGCGGTGGCGGCGGGTCCTCAGATCTCCCTGAATATACCATATGTACATATATATATATATCTGTAATATTACGTATTTGGTTTATGAACGCGAATATTCACACAACCCTTTATGACTTCATCTCAATGTTTTTTTGCAGAGGACAGAGACCTCGAGAACAGCACACAAGATGGTGTCGCGCCGAAAAATTCTATCACGTTCCCGCGATGATCTTAATCTTGACCAGACATTTACCCAGCAGGAGGAGGAGGAGGATGTCTGGTATCAAAAGGATAAACTATACAAGGTAAGTGTTTTTTACAAGAAACCTGAAATAAACATTTTTTAATCCAAAGTACTTAGTTTAATATTCATTAAATACAACTTAAAAAGTTCATAAATAATGTCTCAAAATTAGTTTTAATTATTATTAATGAAATTGTATCAGATTGTTTCCAAGTAACCTGAAATTAATATCTTTAACCCAAATTACTTAGCTTAATATCTAGCAAAGAGAACTAAAAGAGCTCGTTAATAATTAATTATTTTAACTACTCTAGCATCAGTAACTTCTACTTGATTAATAACTTATTATTCGTGCCATAATGAGCCTTTAATAACTTAAATACCTTTATAATCTTTGCGGTTATTTTAAAACCAATGAAAAAATACAAGCCTTAGGGCCACAAATCATATTTAATGCTCATATTAAAAGCTTATTGCTTAACAAATATCCTAATAATTTTATTAATTAGTCTAGGTAAATTATTTTTAACAACAAAAACTTGAAAGAGAACTCTGCTATAAAGTTGCAGCCGAAAAGAGAGCCGACAGAGTGGAGAACCAAGTCAAGAACTGGCGGCCCTGGCCCATCGACCATCGCCTGCTGACTTCCGCTTGGCTTGAGGCTTCTCGAACTTCCCCGCTTCTCAGACTTCTCCGACTTCCCTGCCTCTCGTCTTCTATGATTTGTGGCCATTTTCCTGTCGCTCATTCTCAGCACGTGCGGTGTGGAGTCCACCGCATTGAGGTCAGCATGAGACGCACTAACGCCGAGGCTTTGGTTTCTGTTTTTCCGTTTTTTTTTTTAGGTTTTAGGTTTTTGGTTTCTGGTGTTTGTTGTATTGACCAATTGCATTAATTACCGTTAGGCCATCGCATTGCGTTGTGCATTTTTAATTTGCCTAAGGCGGCCCCTTACTAGCCACTAAAAAAATCTTTGGAGACGAGGGCCAAAAGCGTATGCCATACGCCGTTTGCCTTACGCCGTGCCAATGGCTTAAAGGCAGTAATGGCAGCGAGCAGTAGGCCATAAAAGCGTTATGGGTTACCCTAATGTTTGGACAAGCCCAGCACGAGCTCTTCGCTGCTTGTGGCTCGTTTCGATCGGATTTCGCTAGCCCATCTTCGATTACAATACAATATATTATATGGTATATATACATATGCGATTTGTTTATGTGTGGGAATTCCATTGACGATGCTGCCAACCCTTTAGCTTTTGGCTTTTTATAAAGGCTTGCTAGTGCGAGCCAAATATCTAACTGTTTTTGTTACTTTTTCGGTTGGGTGTGTATGGTTTTTATAGGTTGTTGGAGGTAAAATATAATGCAAGTCAGCTGCGTTGGCCTGTGAGCTCTTTTAACTGTAGTTTTAGGGTAATTTTAACCTTTGAACTGTGCGGAGCAGTTCGTTTTTTTGGATAAGGTAGGTGTGGGTAGATATAAGTATATACATTTGTGTGTGATAGACACTGCAAGGAAAATTTAGAGGCTAAATTTAATGTGAAGACTTAAAAGAAAAATATTTTAAAATATTTTAGAACAGCCTAAGACATTTTATTCTGTAAATAAATATTTATTTTAACTACTTTTAATTTTATTAAAATATTTAACAGCAGTCTAGACATTTTAATTTGTAAATAAATATGTAATATGTATAAATTTTAAATTTTAACTTTGTTATGTATTTTTTTATCCAAATTAATATAGTTATAATTTGTGAAAAAATCTCTTAATGTTGTTTTCTGTTGCTCTAAAAACCCAACATCTCTTAGCTTTATTTTCGAACCTTTTCTAAGCCCGTCTTTCGACCATTTTAATTCATTTTTGGCAAGCTGCCCACACACACAACTGGGTTAACTGCAGCCGATTCGGCCGCCAGAGGCAGCTGTGAAAGAGCCATCAAACGCTGGCCATTAAATTGATGCCTTATTTCTAATGGAGATTTGCATAAATTGTGTTCACATCAGCGATTCAGCGATTCAAAGGCCTCGCCCAAAGTGAAAAGCGTGCAGCAGCTACAGTCTCTCTTTCCGTCTTGGGGTATGTTGCAATTAGCGTGAGCGTGGCATCTATATAATTCCGTTTAGTCTGGGCTTCACACAAAGGCGTCCACAGAAAAACTGTATTTCCCATGATGGAAACGGCAACAAATTATGTCTGAATTTTCCTTTTGTCGTTTGTCGCTGAGGAGGAGGTTGGGGAATTGTATCTCTAGCCCTTTTGATTTCGACTTGTTTGGCTGCTGGGGGCGCTTATTGGGCAATTTCTGTTGTTTTTGTTACACCGTGGCTGCCGTTGTGCTATTTTCAATATTGTTTACAAATTTATTATCTGGGAACGGAATGGAGAGCAATACAAACAGCAACAAAAACAGAAACTACAAAAATTGACATCAAAACAAAAGACTTAGGCAACGAACTTGCATGCCTCGAACTAGAATATTGGCGTAACAGAAACGCAAACGCCAGAGACACACAAAGAGCCAAATGAAAACGACAACTTTTCACAGTCGTTTTTCGTGAAAATGAAAGTTTTTCTGGCTGGTCCGCAAAGAGTTTTCGCTTTTATTTTCCACTTCCATGCACACAGCAGGCTTTTCCTCTCCAGCCTTCTTTTGCTCTTTCCTTTGTTTTCCTTCTCCCCGGGATTGGTTTGTTTTTTTTCTTCATCATCTTGTGCCTTGCGACGGCTGTTTTGGCACCCGTTCACCTGGTTTCGGTTTCGCTTTTGGCCCGGCCCGAGCAACAGGATTTGGCGTTGGCGCGAAATAAGCAGGAAAAACCACTAAAACGAGACAGACATCCCAGAGTGTGTGTGTGTGTAAGCCCAAAAATTATACGACATATTCAATGGAAATTTTCTTTTTTTTCTCGCTGCGTCGCTGCCACTTCATCAATGTCCAGGATCAATTGAATTTCCTGCTCACATCTTGATTGATTTACCTTTTGGCGGAAGAGCTGTGTGTGTGCCCTGGGCTATTATTATTATCATATGCCGGTCTATTGAAAACTCAGCTATGTGAGCATGAAATTTGCATAAATTATAAAAGACCTGGGCACCTCTGCGTTACCTGGGTTTCTGGGGGAGGGATTCGATCTGGGTTAGCCAAACAAATTGAAAATGAACATATCAATGAACTTTGGACATCTTTGACGGCGGCTTCGGGGGCTGCTGCAACCTGTCACAAGTTGGACTTATCAAGACCGTAATAATTCGCGGCGATTGTATCTATTAGTCTTGGCAGACACAAAGCGACTCGCCGCCACCGCCGTCGATTGCCGCCGGATCCCAAATAAAAATCATTTTATTAAATGTCAACTCTGAGCGTTGGGAGCATCTATTGCAGCGTTCCTTTTGGTAGTAAAGTGAAGTGAAGTGGAGCTCGGCCTGGTGAGTCGTGACTGCAAAAGTTCAACAACATTTTACACGAAAAAGCGCAGAGCAGCAGATGATTCTGTGCCGCACATCTTCGGCAAGCTGCACGTGTTGCAAGCTCCATTAGGAGATCTTGCAACAGAATAATAGACTTTAATTGCGCCCACAGAACTGCGGTTTCTCTGACGTCACACGACCGTCTGGGTCGCATTTTTGTGGCCAAAAAAAAAAAAATCAAACCAAGATCCGTATATTTCATGTTTCTGATTTAATGTTGTTCATATGCTAATGGCCACTACAACACACATACACGAAACCCGTTCCGAAACTCGTTCGAATTGTGAGCTAATTTTCATGCACAAATCAGATTACGTATACGCCGGGGAGAACACGCGCTTGTGGTGTGGCTGCCACTGCTGCTGCTGCTCGTAACTTCTGTTGCAACTCGCAAACTAATTAAAAGTTAGCTTAAGAAACCACCAAAACTTAACTTAAACTCGGTGAACTTCGGCATTTTGAGGTCGTCTCTGCACGGCCTAGAAATATGAGATGGGAAGCAGCAGCCACAACAAGTTGTAACCAGTTTGCCGACACTTGAGCCTACAAGATTCTTCTGCCGGCCAAGTGAAACCTGAAGTGAATCTGCCCAAAGAATCCGAATACGTTGGCATGAAATCAAAAGTGTTTCCAACTCCCAGACTCTCGATCTCTAGCGGGGCCCCAAGTGCGCAAACGCAAAGGCAGAGCATCTGAAAAGGTTAACAAGTTTTACTACATGATTTATTTGCATTTTTAATGTGTGTGCCAGCCTGATCATGAGGCTGTGCTGCTGCTGCTGCCTCTAATGCTGATGCTGATTTTGAATGAGTGAGCTCTGTGAGCTGCTGCCTAGACGAGTTTTGCCCAAATCGCTGGTAGAATTGTGGCCAAAAGCCCAGCCAAGCCAAGCAAACATTTTTGATGCCTGCTCAACTCTTTGTTGTTCATATTTCTTGTAGTTTTTGTGTTTTCTTTTTTTTCATATTTCTTATTTTTATTATAACCCCAAAAAAGTGGCTGAAATTGTGGGCATGTTGGTTACTGGGCTAATGGCTTTGTTTATGACGTTCTTTGTTCGGGTTAATTGAGCCAGCACAACGGTGCTTGAGGAGGGAAAATGTCCCAGCTGTTGAGTTTTTGGGGTTTTTCAAGGAAATTATGCATATGTGTGTGGGCAAAGGGAGTTTACTGTATGTTTCGGTAGGGTAAAATGAGTTGAGGTTGTAATAGAAAACAATAAACAGAGGATCTTAAATCGATTTGAGATAAATCTACAAGCAATAGGTACATATTTAAGCTAACTTTATTGCTATAGTTTATGTTAATTTGTTATATTTTTTGTATTTGTATTTGTATCCCTATTTAAAATGATATTAAAATGTATACAGACCAACATTTCTTAGCTTCTACTCTATTTTTCCTTTACTAAAACCTACTTAAACATAACTCCCTATTAAAATGCAGTCTTGGTAATCGATTAATAGCCCTGGAATTCAGTTACTGAAATCGCATATGTTTTGCACTTAGTCCAAGCCGGTTTATATAAGTCAGAAATGTAAAATATTTTCAGAGTGCACTTGGGCATGACGCAAGCTATGAACAGAGCCGAGCGGCAAGGGGCGTCGCGAGCTGCAATCAAAAGCCTTGCAGCACTTCAAATATCCAAGCATATATAGCTTTATGCAGTGCATATTGTGTTGGCCATAAAAGAGACTTCAAGCAGAGCAGAGCACAAATGCTCGGCACTAGGAGATATCGTTGTCTATAATTTTATATGTCTTACTGCTCCACGAATCGCGGGCTAAGGCCCGGTGTCTCTGGGCACTGTGTTCGTGTCAGCATTTGCTCCGATTTGATTTTAACTTTTATTTAACAAACTGCAAGACACAGCACACAGGCTCAAACGCAAACACAGACTGACGCTTGTAATGGCCACAAAAAGGCAGCAACAAAAATAAGTAAAAGTAAAATAAGTTGGAAAAAAAAATAGCTTAAAACGCAAGCAAGCGCCCAACAAGGCCGTTCACTTTGGCACAAACACACACTCAGAGAGACACGGACTTAGACTTGGTCGACTTGGAGAGTGATCACGATGGAAAGTGAAAATTGCTAGCATTAGCCGCGGTGCAGTCGTTATGTTTTTCTTTCTTTCTTTCGTCTTTTTTTCCAGATGCCCCGAAACAAGTTACGAATCTCATAGGATCAAATCGATTGATTTTCGGCGAATTTCTGCACATTTTTGTGCCCGACTTAATGGGTTTTGAAAGGATCGTTAGGTTAGTTAGTTAGTTAGGCAACTGGTAATGATGGGATCACCGATCGGGAATCTATATAGCTTTCATTCAAAATTGGAATGAAAATCATTAGATAATAAGTCTACAAATTAATTGCTGAAACCTATGGTAAAATCTAAAAAATTATCTTATGTTTTTTATTAAATCCTCATAAACCCTCTCTTCTTCTCTTTCAGGAACACATTCAGGAAGTCCTGGACAAGTGGACCCAAATCGACGATGAAATCTGGGCCAAAGTAATTGTCTTTGAGCGGAATCGGCGCGTGGCTAAGGCATATGCACGTGCTCCGGTGCTGACCATTAATGGATCCGACGATGGCTTCGACGGCATGCGGTGAGTCTTCGTCCCAGTCCCTTGAACCATCCCTTGACCATCCATAATTAACGGTCACTACTTGCTCAGCAAATAAACAAACAGAGTGACGCTTGAGGCTGCAAAAGCCCAGCAAAACACATTAAACACGAGCAAACAAAGTGCCTTTGAACTTTGCTAAAACAAAACACCACAAAATGAGACACAAAAAAGCATAAATATTAATGTATGTTCGACTATAAGCACTGGCAAAATAATATGCCCTTGACCCACTGGCAAAGAAAATCCCCCAGCAGGAGCTTCACTCTGTAGCGTCTTCTTTCTTACTTGGCAGATGATAAATCACTCAGGGTATTAGGCTTTATGATGGAGTGTTTGGCTATAGGTACATGGAATTATAGGCAGATTTATTTTGATTTAAGAAAAATCAAAAATTAACTGAATTTTGAGTCAACGAAAATATAGATCTTATAGGAAATAAATGGAAAATAATATCTCAATTATAGAAAAACCCATCAAAATCGTATTATTTATAGAGTATTCTCTTTGTAGATTGTTTCCAAAGATATTACACTTACCTTATAGCTCCAAAACGTGCCTGTAATTCCCCTGACAAGTGTATTACCAACTTCGATGCGAATGGCGGTAACCTTCGCTGGCGTCTTGGCTTTTTGCTGTAATAATAAATGCCTGCTGATGTGCTCTCGAATGGGCAATGAATGAAACGCCCATCAAATTGATGGGCATCCCATTAAAATTTAATTCCCCCGCTGAACTTCGCTACGCAAGAGGTCTGTAAAGTGGAGGAGAGAACCTTGCAAAATGCGCCTGACCTTACTGGGGGGAACACAATTTGTGGCATGTGAAAAGCTGCTGCGGGTCGAGTAAAGAAGGAGAAAAAAAAGAACAGACTCCGCTGCCGAAAAGCAAGTGAAAATGCTTTAATAATTGCTCGGTGGTACTCCTCGTTCGCTTATTTCTATGAAATGAGCGATTTCCGTTTTGCCAAAGCAATTTGAGTCAAGAATTCGGCATTTTGAAGGTCTCTCGAACGGTTCTTGGTATCTGCAATTGCAGCGAATGAGGCCCTAATTAACATATTCCGCCTCAAAAATATTGCTGTTGCGTGCCAGAAATTGGCAAATGCCAAATGCTTTACGCTTTACGCTCAATTGCTGTGGCAATTTCGGCGGTTCGCCCCGAAATGTCAAGAAGTTTTCCGAGCAATTCAATGGATCGTAGATCTATGCATAATGCATTAGGCTAAGTACGATGCCGGCATGTGCTGATTATTCAGTACAAATATCGGAATATATCAATTGAAAAACCCAGGGCCACAATAAGGGGAGGTTGTGGCCCAAAAAGGGCATCAAGTGCAGGAGGAGATCACGGCAACACAACGGCGCGGCTTCCTTTGTAAGTGGCCACAAATAAAGTTGCTGCCAGCGAAATGTCAACGGCGAAAACACAAATAAATTGCCGCGGGGCCAAAGACAATGAAGATGGCGAGGAGATGCCAAGAGAGATGGAGAGGAAAACAAATGAAATTGAAAATAATAACGAAAGTCATTCAATTCATTCAATTCGTTTTCGTTCGTGACGAGGTCATCACAGATTGGCCATGCAAATTGCTCTTGTCATGGCAGCTCTTTCCCCGCTTTTCCAACGAGCATCTCCCGGACTACTACTTGTTTATGTCAACTGCGGGTTAAGTACAATCGGGGAAAACTGAATAACCGAACAACTCTCAGGGAGGCTTAGGGGGAAAAAGGCTTTTGGAAAACTGACTTTGCATGCCGAGAGTGTCAAGTTAATCAATTGCCAATTGCCGCCGACTTCAAACATGCACACCACTTACCATGGCAAAGATAATTTATGGCCATGTTGCCTCTGGTTTATGCTGTGTGTGGTGTGTGTGTGTGTGTGGTCCCTAGACCCTTGTAGTTGTCATTGCCATTGTCTTGCTAGCCTTTTTGCTAGCCTTTTTTATCGCCATGGCTGTAACCGTCACCGTCTAGGGCCGGCAGCAGCTTGTTTGTTTAATTAGCCGCTGTCAGCGCTTGTTAGCCGCTGCTATCTCCCCGGCTTAGCCGTATTCCATTTGAATCGGATACATCATCGCATACCCCGTGTACGTGCATACTGAATGCCATTTCACACGCAACGCTTTTCCGTGGAAATCTTGGCCAGTATGCAAATGCAATATATGGAGCTGCAGCTGCGATGCGAACACCGATAGGCGAACTCTGACTCTAACAATAACTATAAATTTTGGGTTGCCTTCTGACAGGCCTGACTCACTTTAGCTTTAGCTTTAGTGTTTAGTCCATTATTTTCTATAACCTTCCAAAAAGCATTAGTTTTAAAAGCAGAGACCAGTTTGGTTGATTTTCAATTAACTGCATGTCAATAAATAAAAATAAACATAAATCTAAGGCAGTTAGAGGGGGTTTTACTATAGGTTTGGGGTAGTTTTGTTCCTTGTAACGGTCGGGATATAGCTTTAAAACAAGTTAATGTTCCTATTTTTAGTTTTTTATATTTATTTTATATAGTTTTAGTCATTAAAGTATATTTTAAAGGCTTAAATAAGAGCATTTATGAATTTTTTTAATTTTGTTTAATTCCCTTAGCAATTTTCCTTTCCTTCTCAAAACAAAATATTATCATTTAACTGAATTTAAGCTCAAGAAACCTCATTATTCTCCTTTTTTAAGCTTTTTTAAAATCTATTTTGTTGTGTCAAGTCATTTTAGTAAACTTTTATTGCAATTCAGAGCATTCACCCATCGATCTTACCTTTAAAAGCTAAATCCCATTTTTTGTGAGCTGCATGCAATGCTTAGACAAATTTCCATTTGTGGAGTCTACACTACACAGCCGGCTGGCTGCATGTAAATTAATTAATTAGACTGACGCTCATGTTGCCTAGTGCTGCGAGTGTTGCTAATAGTGGCTGGTGTGGGCGCAACACTCTCGAGGAGGACCACACGCACACACACCTGAGAAGAAACAATGAACCGAAGTTGCGGCGGCGGCGATCAATGATCTTCGAGACACTTTGAATCCGAACAAGCTAGCGTTTAATTAATGGCCAATCCTTGGCACCACTTGAAATTACACCGCCCCCCTGGGGAGACAATTGAAATGGCGCCAATATAGAGTTCAGTTTTTACTTTTTTTGGCAGAGTTTATGACAGTTTGCAGTGGAGTTTAGCTTTTGCGAAATACTTTTTTGTTGCGTGGGCGTTGCCAATCGAATTTGCATGTTGCTGGGAACAAATGAAATGGAAATCAAATTATAATATCAAGCAGCGCTCCGGATTGCAACACATACACGCTGTAGTTGTTGCTGCTGCTGCCTGTTTCGTGCGGAAAAAACTAAGGCGGGTCGCACCAAGGTTGAGATTTGCGAGCAGTTTTATTATTTTCCTTTTTTTTCGAACGCAATTTGCTTGGCCCCAGACAAAAGACACATTTTTTGTTAGGCTTTTTTTCAGGGGGGCCCTGCTGTGCCTTTTAGATGCTGAGTAACCGCAGTAGTGCCTAGTTGCAAAAGCAAAAGCCACACTGTCATTATTGCTGCTGCTGCTGCCTGCCTGCCGCTGCACACGTGCCACATTTGTCAGGGCAAAAGAACAATGGCTCCGGCGGCCTTCGGGGCGCGATTTAAGGTGCGACCCCAAAAACTGGAGCGGGAAATGCTGCCTATAATTAGCCATAATCTAATTAGAGCCAAATCAAGCCAAACAAGTTCGTTTCCTAAGTCTTTTGTCGTGGCGTTCGTTTCTTGGCTACTTTTACTAAAGCCCATAAAATACATACCCTGCTCGGTATATATATGTTTATATATATCTTGACTATGGTATTTTTAAACTGAACCGGTCGCACATAGTGGTTGGACGGACGCAGGTCAAAAGTTGCTCCCAACCACCGTTCCGAAACCAGTTGCCGTTAACTGCAACTTTTTTTTTTTGATGGCTGCAACTGTTGATGTTGCCTGCCTGCGATGGCTTCCTCGAAGAAGCCCCGGACTCGTCCTCGCAAGTGCACCAGCGCCTGAACTGACCCACTGCACACGTTTAACTTGAACTCCAAAATCGCCGCAGATTCCAGTTTGTCGAGCGGAGCGAGTTGGTCTGGTTGGTCGTCGAATCGACTCTCGCTTTCAGAGTTGCTGGGCCCCGATGCCTTTCGCATTTCCAGCTCATTTAGGCGTGTCAGGCCGAGTCCAGTCCTGAGACCAGACGACCTTGCAACCGCTATACTATATGTATATATAGATATCATGCATAAGTGCGATAATGCTGGCCACAAGCGAAGTGAATGTGCACAAGACATGCTCTGAATAAGTATGTTTCAAGCTGTCAGTGGGTTGGGCACTTGGTTGGTTCTTGATTTAAACTAAATAACTGGGATGGATGGAGCTAATGAGTTGGCTAGTTAGGGGGACTTAATAATTAAAGCAATAAGTTTTATTATTCTTGGTTTTTATTAGATTATTTATAGGGGAAATCTTATTTAAATATGTAATAATCAAAGCTACCCTTACCCTTTTAAGGAAGATCTTCAAACAGCTTAAGAACCCTTCTCTCTGCCCTGAATATAATAACCCAATAAAGGAAGCTTCACTTACTTCTACAACCCATCAGTTCTCCACTCTCAGCTGCTGGCATTCAGCCTTTAATAACATTTTCGCTTTTGATGGCTTGAATTTAACGAAGCATTTACCGAACAAAGAACTGCAAATCCGCTTTCGGCTGCCAGCAACCTTGAGAGCCACACATCAGCAGCACCAGCAGCAAGAGCAGCAGCCCCGTCCATGTCGATTTCATTTCATGGAAAACTTTGACACACATTTCAACGGTTTTTACAAGCGTTTAGCCAATAAATCAGCGCCAAGCAGCAGACGTTACGCGCAGAACTGAAGCACATGGCCAAATGCCAAAGCGATGCTAACGGCGATTGTTTGGCAGTGGGTCTTTGTAGTTAGGAGTTGGTACTAGCTGGTGTTCTGATTCTTGGTGCTGCTGCCTGGCAGCGCTTCATTATACAAATTAACATAAAACATAATAGTGACAGAGCGGCGTCAGGTGAGCGTTGGGCAGCGGAATCAACTGCTGCATCGGACAGGAGCAGCACAGATAACGAAAAGCAGACTGAAAATAGCAAAGGCACTTGAAGAAAATAGTATCTATAAATTCTACTTAAATTAAAAGGTATACAGAAAGAAAATAACCAAGAAAAATCATATTAAAGAAAGTCTGAATTTATGATAAATGGGTTTTTTAAAAAGAAATTTAATTCCAGGACTTGCTGTCTCTCCCTTTAGTTTACAGTTTGAACTTGAGAATTTTTTGACAAGTGTATCCCCAGCATTAGCATCATCATCATCTCTGCAGCAACAGCTTCTTGCCGTGGCCTTTTATGCAAACGACAATTACAATTAGCTTGGCTTCATTGTCTTGGCTTGGCTGCGGCTTCCTCTTGCCGCTTCTTGTTAGCATTTCTGCCGACATTTTCGGCGACCTTAGCAGGCGAAGGAAAAACCAAACCAAAAATCAAAACAACCGAGAGTGAAGGCAAAAAACAAAAGTGAAACAAACAAAAAAAAACCAAAAACATTTATCATTCAGTTAAGGTGCAGAGCTGCTGCTGCTGCAGTCTCAGTGGATTGTTTAGTCCCAACTTTATATAGTCGGATTTATTATAAGCTTAGACTATAAAACCTTTTTTGGGAAATGAAAAATTTGTATGTCCTTATCCTGATTGCTAATCACTGTTAAGATTAAGCGAGGTAATTTAAATCACAAGAAAATTAAGATAATTGGTTGATTTATTGGGTTTTTTATGTAATAGGTATTTTTATCGAAATTTGAATTATGTCTTAGGTGGGAATTGGAAGTGTTATGAACTAATTAAAGTCATAAATATATAAATGAAATAGATTCACAAAACAAACAGTAATATACACAAGTTTCTTGGAAGATAAAAAAGCATATTCAAACATTTCCTTTGCCAAAATCGATTTTAAATTTTAAAAAAATCTAAATTTTTTAGGCTTTTTAAAATTTTTAAATATTTTAAGCACCTTTAAGGTATTACCTTTCATCTTTTATTAACACACAATCTTAATTCTTTAAAAATACCACTCAAATTTTAAAACCTTAGCTTAATTCTTACACACTAATGACTCAGCACGCTGGTTAAACAATTACATGAAAAATTAAGGCCTTGGCGCCGAAATATGACATGTTTATTTAATAAACTTTTTTTGGGGCAGCAGCTGCCGCAGTCTGCCGCATGTGGCATAAATCACTGTCAGTGCTCATTTGAGCCAAGCGATTGAACAGAGACCAAAGCCCAAAGACCCAGCCAAGATCCAGACCCATGGCACAAATGTTTTGTCAAACGTTTAGTGTAACAAAATGAGGCAAAAAGGGGGCAAGAAATGTGTGTAGAAGTGACTCATTCACTCACTTACCAGTGGTACCCAGCGGTAACCTCGATTCCAGAAAGTGAATGGATCGGCGCCGCGCCAAGTGGCAACCGTTTTTTTGGCAATACATTTCGATATTGCTGGTTGCTCGATCTTATAATGCGGCAGCTGATTGATTTGCAATTAATAAAATGCTCATTATGACTGCTTAATCCCTAATGATTTTCCAAACACCAACTCAATTCGATTTTATTTGCAGAATTGGGCTGTGCGGCTTCGACAATCCGATGAGGGACCGGAAGACGGACGAGCTGAAGCGCGTCATCGGGCAGGTAAGTTTCGCGGGATCGAATTTATGGGACAATCAAAGCGACAACGGTTTAATTAGCTTGGACAATAAACTCCGAAAATTGACGAGAAATCTCCATTAGCGAGAGGAGATGGTGTGAAGATTAAGCGCCACACCAAGCTTTTCTCTAATGTGTACAAAAAAAAATAAAAAACTTGAATAAAATCTTGGTCTGAAGAAAGAAATTTCTTGAATTTACATTTTAAATAAATTAAATCTGTTCTTAGTTTAATTTAATTTAATATTCCTGTTTATAAAGGGCGTCAAAATCAAGATGGACGATGCTGGCAACATACTCATCCGGCGGTACGCCAAAAGCAATGTCTATGTGAAGAGCACCGCCAGCAGTCCCAACGAGGAGACCTCCATCGGTGCCGAGATCTTAAAGCTCCCCAATCAGGCGCTCGAATCCGAAAAAATAGTCAAGGTGAGTGGGTGAACCGAGAGATCTTTAACCCACATCCATATCCACATCCATTCCAAATGCTAATAAGTACTTTTGCATTGTTCTCTCCTCGTTAGCTCTTCGACATGAAGAAGTTCCAGTCGAATGTGAATCGCGAGCTGCAGCGTGCCTATCCGGATCGCCGGCGACTGGAGACGCAGTGCCTCTCGACGGTGGCGTTTGTCAAGTCGGAGAACGATGTCTTGGAGTGCCCCATTTGGGTGCTTATTGTCAATGTGGTGGCCATGGATATGCTGAAGACCAAGCTGCCGCCAGGTGGGTCTCAAGACTTTTAAATCAAATTATATTTATTTTTGTTTAAACATTTAATATTTAATTCTCATATCTTAGTGCAACGTCCCATTGTGGACATCAAGAACCGCCCGCGTATCCCGATTCCCGACGAGGATCCCTACAGCGTGGCAGGCAATGGCAGCGGTGGCAGCTCTGGTAGCTCAGGCTTTGGCAGTGGCCATCAGGCGCAACTGCATCCCCAGCAGCAGCTGGGCAAGCACATGAATGGAAATGGAGGCGGTCATGTGGCTGCCACGCGGGAACAGCTGCTTCTACAGACGCAACAACTGGCCCATAAGCGCAGTGAGAAGCCTCCAAAGCTACCGCCAAGGGATAATGTCTATTCGCATGATCTGATTCCAAAGGTAATGATAGACAACTTATATATAATTTCTTCTTAAAATAAGTAGTTTCAATTGCTTAATTCAAGTAATAACTTCTGAAAAGTCGAAGAATTTGAAATGAAGAAGATTTAATGAGAAACTTAATCATGTAAAAGCTTAAACCCTCGACATGTGGGCTCAATGTTTCGTTTTGTTTACATCATATACATACCATACACCTTACTTTGGAGGAGCAAGCCAAGTGTGAGGGATTGGGCAAGTGCTTCATTTGCTGGCAAAGTGTCGGAACAAATTTCGGCGGCGCTAAAACACGAGTAAGACACGCCACGCTGCCGGAGAAGAAGTGTGGCAACCTGTCCAGTTGGGCTCCATGAAGCTAGTTAGTCTGACTGCCCATGCTTGGTCACATGCGCAATGCGGCCAGGCACTTGCAAAATGCAAAAATGGGTCTCCCCTCCACTGTTTTTTGAGCTCGCTGAGCCACCGATCCGCTGAGCCGCTGTGCCGTTGAGCCTCACTGAGCAATCGGCATTGCATTCAATTCAATCCAATAATAATATTCGAATTTCAGCAGCCACTGGCCGCAAATAACTGCAAACGAATCGCGTGTAATTAATATGCGAGGAATGCCGTTGCCGCTTGCTGGATTTCAGCTGCCTCGGCTTGCTCGATTGGCAATTGGGCCCAACGACCGAGTCAGTGTCTCATGGAGAGCCACTGCTCTGCGGCACACCTTGCGCAACTGCCAGAAGCGGTGTTTGGGGGGGGAAAATAATGATATTCTCTGGTCTGGATACTTTCTTTCTAACACCTCTTTTTACGCTCTTATCTTTTTAGCCGGATTACGATGACATTGATTTGGAAACGCGCATCAAACTGTCGCGGGGTAAATCGGACAAGGGCAAAGATAACAAGAAATATGGTAAGAGATCAATATCAGTTACTCACTCTATGTTTTGAAGACAGTTAAAGCCCATCTCGATGACCTAAATTCCTTCTAAGCAGACAATTTATGGGGCACTGATATTCTGTTGAGATTTGAATTAAATCTTGGTCAGAATGGGATTGTAAAAGAGGTATTTGGTAAGAGATTACCTAGGTGTAACCTCATTAATAAGAAGTCAATAAACTGGTTTAAGAACCCTATAAACCAGAAAGATCCTATCATTGGAGAGTCTGTGTCACCGTGTAATAAGCAAGTTTGATGAGTTTTCTGGCAAAAAATCACTAGACTTCAAGCTCTTTAGATACATTCTTCTTAAACCTAAACCCATATTAACCTCTCTCTCCACAGATGATCCTTACTACTGCGGTCTGAGGGCTCGAGTTCCGAACTTTGTCAAGTCTGGAAAGCCATCCAGCGCCAAGGATCAGCGCGATGGCAATGGAAACAACATCAGCAACGGCGGCATGAGCACACTCAGCCAAAAGAAGACCTCGATGACCCACAACCATTTGGCGGGTATGCATCCGCATCACATCCAGCAGCAGCAGCATCAGCAGCAGCAACTGATGGCCGCGGCAGCGGCTGCCCATGCGGCGCAGCATCATCAGCAGCAGCAGCAGCATCATCAGATCTGGCAGACGCGCAGCTACGAGAGCGGCATAGGTATTTATAAACAGGGTGGGCCCAGCTCCACCAATGCCACGCCCATCCAACAACACAAATCGCACGCACAGCTGCAGCAACTGCAACTGCAACAACAACAACAACAACCACAGTCACTGCCAACGGACCTAACAGCCACTCTTGCAACAGTAACAGCCACTGCCACTGGCAAGACACACAGCACAGCTCACAAAGCACGCAGCCACCTGCAACAGCAGCAGCAGGCGCAGCAGCATCAGCACTTGCATCCACATCCGCACCCGTTTCCGCACGCACATCCACACCATAGACACCACCACCAAAGGCATAGCCACCAATGTGAGAGGCACTCCCGCGCCCAGCAGCCACTGCAGCATCATGTCCAGCATCAGTCTCTGCAGCCCCAGCCGTATTACGACAATCTAGAGGACTCTGTGGGTCGTCAGGTGTCACGACGCCTGTCCACGCGCCGCCCACCGCCGGCGGAGAGCACCTCGTCCTGCAATTGCGTGAGCTGCTATGCTCTGGCTCCGCTCTGCGGAGCAGTTCCTCCGCCACGCCCGCAAAGGAGTCTCAGCCAGCAGCAGTTGCGACGCCACCAGAGGCTAAGCGGGAGTCTGGTGGAGCCAGTGGAACTAGTGGAGCGGCCAACGGGTGTGACCAAGTGGTGCAGCGAGAGCGATGTCTCGGTGCTGGAGCTGGAGCCTGCAGCGAACGAGCGATACGATGACTGCTACGAATACGACGACTTCGACCTGGACTTTGACTTGGACGACGACCTGGGCCTGACCAATCAACCGCGACGACGCCGGGGTACGGAGACCGTGGACCTGTATGTGGACCGCGCCCAACTAAGGCAACTCCAGACGCCGGCGGTGCTGCGACACAAGTCGCAGTCCACCGAGAGCTTTTTCGAGCAGCCGAACGAGGAGGGCTCCCTGTACATGTACGGCGGCAGGAAGCGCATTGCGGTGAAGGCGCCGTCGGCGGCCAACATCTATGACCGGGTGCGCGGCTCCACGGACTCGGACAGGGGGCACGGGCACCGGGCCAGGCCCAGTGGCAGGCTCAATTTGGGGGCCAGGATGCAGAGCACCAAGCAGCAGCAGCAGCAGTTACAGCCACAGCTGCCAGCTCCCAGTTGGCGCGGCGGCAAGCGACAGGAGCAGGCTCAAAACGCTGACAAAAGACAAAGATATGACAATGCCACCAGCAGCAACAACAACAACAACAACAGCAGCAGCAACAAGCAGCACAAAAGACAGCTAACGAACGCCACGAAAGACAATGACGACATGTTGAAAAGCAAAAATTATTTCAATAGTAAAAACAAAAGTATAGCAACAGCAGCAGCAGCAGCGAAAGCGACAGCAGTCGCAGCAGCAGCATCCGCTGCAGGAGGAGGTGGAAAATCGAGGGGAGGAGGAGGCGGCAGTGGTGGCGGCAACCCAACAATGTCCCCAACATTGGCCACCAGCCCAGCAGCCGCGAACAATGCTCCGGTCAGCGGCGGACTGGCTTCGCCTCCACCTCCTCCTCCGGCGGCCGCCACCAGAACCGGGCGCAGTGCCAGCCGCCTTGACATCAGCGACATGGAGTCCATTTATGGCTACCTGAAGCCGCGCAAGCCGCGCAGCCTCAGCCTGAAGAAAATCCAAATACTCGACTACTGAAGTCGTAAGGGGTTGCTCTAAATCGAAACGAGGTTATATGGCACAGACATCATCGCTATTAGTTATTTTTTTTTTTTTTTGTTTTGGTTTGCCCTGCCCCCCGTTTATGGGTCGGATCGGATCCTGTTGCTGTACATACAATATACCTGCCAAACGCATAATGGTTACCTCTTACTCTTACCCGGTGAACAGAACCACACTAAACTGTACGAAACCTACTAACTCGGCGCACCTTGGACTCCTTGGACAGTCACGAAAATCTAAACGCAATTTGTACATATACCAAAGAGAGGAGAGGGAGTCCTTTGAATCCTAGGGTAAAGGAAAGTAATCTTAGAACAATTAGTTGAAATTAGTTGATTAAATTAATTATATTGGAAATCATCTAAATAAATTTAAATAATATTTAGGATGATAGAAGAGTTGAACAAGGAATAGCTGATTATTTACCAAGGTTATTCTAGAAATTATTGGTTAAATCAAGTTCGAAACAAGCTTAATACAATCTTAAACGAGGAAGAAATTGTACTTTGTGTAGCCGAGTATTTTTAGCTTTCCAAAGATTACTTTACCACCCCTACTGATCGATCGACCCTTCTTTCTCGCATATACACACATAATCGCATAAACATATATCCCCTAAGATTGCCCCCATGCAATCGCTTTGTAACCGTGTATATCTCTATGCTTCTTGTAGATTCGGAGCTTGTTGAATCACCTTACAATCACATCTACGGACGCCATTTACCGCTGCCAACGCGCGGCTACGTGCCCACACCACGCATGTTCATCGGGGAATGGGACTGAGACGAGCGGAGTCGAGCTGAGACGATCACAACACACCGCACCGCAGCGCACTTGGGGCGGGCTTTTAGCCGGATTATTGAGCGGCCAAGGCACAAACACCACTTGCAGAGCTAATTTAAGTCAACCAACCAGCTTGAAATATTATTTACATTATATTAATTTAGCAAAATATTATGGTAAAATAATATTAGGCTAGGCCTAAGCTTAAGCGGACAGCAAACCGTTCGAATTAATTTAGAGGTACGACGACGACGACGACGAAGACAGAGAATATTTCGCGCTTTCCCTAGCAGTTTCTGAGATTACGCACTTGCATGTTTACCCCGTTGTACGAGCTGAATGAGAGAAATAGCCATTACCATTACGAGTTCAGTTAGCTTTTTAAGTTTTTATGTAAATTTTTCTTTTGCCAGCCCGCCGCCGGTTGAAACACCAATCGGGGCTGTTCGGGTCTTGACTTCCCTGAGAAAACTTGAAGAGGCCGGCTTGGTGTTTCCATTTGGTCGGCGGACTGGCTGAATTTTATTTTATATCAAAATATTCTGTATTGTGTATTGAGTAATAAAATTATCTTTCAAAACAAAAAACCATTAATTCAATTTCTGTGTACAGAATCAAAAAACAATTTGGCCCAGCAATTGTATTATTATTAACTTAAGATTTTAATCGCTTCACGATGCGCTGCTCCGTGGCATAATCACATGAAATAATCGGAGTCCCAATTCGGTGGACGCATGTGATCCGGATTTGGTCCACGGCCTGCATTGGGATTGAGGGGACTAAACGGATCGAAGCGAGGCACTGGCCCAGGTCCCATATCTGGGCGCGAGGGGAAACTAAACAAGTTACCAGGACCACCGCGACCCAGTGGATCCAGGTCTCCGCGTCCAATGTCCGGAAAGCCAAAAGGGCGAGGATCATAACCGTAAGGGGTGTAGGATCTAAAATTAGATCCTATTAGATTATAATTACGGCTTTGAAGCATTCAAATCGCTTCCTAAAAGTAAGCTACACTTTAGAGTTGCCAAATTCCAAGTTGAGCTCTTTTTCTCAAATTGAGTTTCATACTTTTGGGAAGCGACTAAAGGTTAGTCCTAAAAGGCACCAAATCTTACCCTGGACGTCTAGGTTCACCAATGCGTAATGGATCTGCGCGTGGAGCGGTTGTGCTTGTTGTCGTCTGGGTGGTGACCTCACGGGAGTTGCCCGTGAAGACCGGATCCAGCAGCTCCTTGCGATAACGATCCACAATCTCCGAGGCGGTTGGCATCACAGTGTTAATGCTGCCCTTGACGACGACCACCAGGGTATCTGGGGTGAGGCAGATATTGGACACCTTCTTGGTATTGATGTCCATCATGTTGACCAGCAGGGCATCCTCGGTAATGTGGCCCAAGAGCAGGTAGAGCTGCTTGTCATGCACGTAGCGCAGCGAGTACTTGGTATCGTCATCGTTCCAGCTGTCCGGCAGCAGCTCGCTGCCCTCCTCTTCCGGCAAAGTTTTCTATGGATGCATAAAAGATTACAATGAATAATCTATTTAAACAGCATTTACTTATCTACTCACATCATCGCCTACACCCACACAGCGAAAGTTGTAGTGTTTGGTCAACAGAAAGTGGACGAGGGCTATTAGCAGGTCCGCCTTCTTGTAGACATCCGACTGGACTGTCTTGTAGAGCAGATCCCAGCCGTAGAAGAAGTCATTCCCTGTCTTGGAGACCGACGGAGACTCCATTGTGGTAACTGCAAGCTTTCACAATAAACTGGTCAAGATTAGGCAAGCCCAGATGAACGGTCTAATTTTTCTCAGCAAAGATGGAATTATTTTGTGCTTACATCTGTTCGTTCTATCGTTCGGCTTTGACTGCCAGGCGTCCTTGGGTTGTCAGTACTTTAAGTATGTACATATAGCTCCTAGAGAAGTGATTACAAAGGTTATTTCCAGAACATTTACAGAAATATACGAAATGTTTATATTTTCTTTCTTGTTTCCTTGTTTTGGTTGCAACTAGAGATGGGCGATATTTGCAACTCACTGTTGCTCACAAAATATCGAAAGATTAAAATTATGGTGAGCGATGATTTTCTAAGAAATTAAAAAATCAAAAATACGCTGTACTTCTAAAAAACTAATATTAACACTCATACTCATACAATTGCATCTCTAATTTTGTTTTTCAAGAGAACAATTACTCACATCTATATTTTTGGAATTTCTGTATATGTAAATCGGGGAAGTACACTAAATATTTGTATACATATTTAAGATCTTACCAGAGTAAATATTTACCGTTTGCTCTTAGATTATATTTAAATATTGTTATATTGTAATATTTGTTTAGTCATTGCAATTGTAATTAAATGTTATCGATAGCTCGATATCCGATGTTTACGTTTATCTCTCCGCTGAGCAGTGTGAACACTCTGAAATACTCGATATCTTCATCAGCCGGGCGCTGTACACGTATGACGGAAAATTGCATGTTTTCGAGACGTTAACCGAGTGTTCCGCACAGGAATTGTCCCAGATCCCTCGGAATGGGCATTAACGTCAGCAGGACGGCCGACCTGGCTTCCAACCAGTGGCTCCAGCGCTTTGTGGGCCGCCAGCATATCGCGCATGATGACGAGGTCTTCTGGAGCGGGCTCCTCAACTATAATATTGTGCTGCCGGAGAACAGGTGAGCGCTAGCTCGTGCCCTGTGGGCGCAGTTGGTGGCAACGTCAGCAACGCTTATTCGACTCTTCGTTTCTTGCATTGCAGCCAGGACCAGCTGAACCTGGACAGCCGGCTGGAGGCGCTGTGCCAGTCGTTCATCGGCAACAACCTGAAGACGGGCAACTTTGGCTCCCTGGTGACCGTGTTCCTGGAGAAGACCAGCGAGCTGCTTTCGCTGTCCGACCAGGAGAGCAACATGCATGTCTGGCAGACGTTCAACGCGCTGTTCATCATCCGCAGCCTGGTCAAGTACATCAACGAGACGGGCTCGGAGTTCCAGCTGCTGCAGCACTTCGAGGCAATGCCCAGCGCAGAGCAGCTGCAGGCAGCCCAGGAGCAGCAGCAGCAGACGCCGCCGGAGAGCGCCAGCATAGCCATTGAGGCCACAGAACAGACGTCGACGGCGCCTGTTCCAGTTATCGTGGACGGGGCCAAGTTTGAGACCTTTATCGATGCGCTGGTTAACCTCATTGTGGTGATTCCCGTCAAGGAGTTCACCTACCACCTGCACTTGGAGGCCGTCAACACACTGATCACGCTGCTGTCGGTGCACCTCTTTGCCCAACAGCCCACGGACAAGTCGATCGTGTTCCGCACGGTCTTCAAGTGCCAGCACGCCAACGTTCTGATGTCGGCGCTGCTGCACTTTGTCTCGCGAATGGTGGAGGTTCCGCACACCATGTTTGGCTCCAGCTCGGCCGGATCGTTTGTGTTTGGCATCGCCGAGTCCCTGCTCTCCATCTTCACGTTCCGCAAGCAGCCGGACGTGCTGAAGTCGGGCCAAGCCGCAGGCGGGGGTGAGCTCTCGCAGAAGTTCCGCACGCACTATCCGCTGGCCAACCAGAGCCTGCTGCTGATCCTGATCCTGACGAATCATTGCACGGCGCAGGAGAATGCGTACCGAGCGAGTCTTTTTGGCTGCGCCGATTCCAAGGACTCGCCGAAACAAGGAGCCGTCTCCTTCCAAATCGACTTCTCGGCAGTGTACGAGACGCTGTGCCTCATCGTGACCATCGACCAGGCGACTCTGCTGCTCTACCTGCTGCTCCATCGCAACGAGCGTTTCTATCGGTTTGTCATGCAGCAACAGGACCTGGAACAGCTGGTGATACCCATCCTGCAGACCCTGTACAATGCGCCCGATAGCAACTCGCATCACATTTACATGTCGCTCATCGTCCTGCTTATTCTCAGCGAGGACGAGGGCTTCAACAAGAACGTGCACACGATAGTGAGTATTCCCAACAAGGCTTGCTGATAACCTTAATAACCGATTCGTTTCCCCATTCCCCACAGATGCTTAAGAACATCACTTGGTACACCGAGCGCACCATTTCGGAGATATCGCTGGGCGGCATCCTCATCCTGATTGTCATCCGCACCATACAGTACAACATGCTGAAGATGCGGGACAAGTATTTGCACACCAATTGCCTGGCGGCGCTGGCCAACATGTCCGGCCACTTTCGCGCCCTCCATCCGTACGTGGCACAGCGACTGGTCTCGCTGTTTGAGACGCTGGCCCGAAAGCACACGCGCCTGGATGCGCAGCTGAAGGAGCCCGCCGACAGTGCGGTGTTTGTCAATGTGGCGACAACACCGGAGGATATGCTGCAGGATCTAAGCGTGCTGGAGGAGGTGCTGCGAATGGTTTTGGAAATCCTGAACTCCTGCCTCACCAACCAGCTGGTCTACTGTCCTAACCTGGTGTACACGCTCTTGTACAAGCGCAGCGTCTTCGAGGGCTTCCGCAGTCATCACGCCTTCCAGGATGTCATCCAGAACATAGACATGGTAAAAACTGGTTTTTTAGGTGTTCTTGAGGCCACTTCTTATCGGATTTCTCTCCGCTAGGTTGTTGGTTTCTTCTCCTCTCGACTGCAACGTGTGCAAGAGCAACGTGGCGAACTGGGTGTCAACGAAGTGCTCGAGGTGATATCGAAGGGAGCCAGCCAGTGGTCCAGCGATCGCTTGAGGGTAAGTCAACCAGAGATAGCTAGGATTCGGATAACTATAGAGGGATACTTCCTTTGCAGAAATTCCCGGACCTTAAGTTTAAGTACGTCGAGGAGGACGCTCCCGAGGAGTTCTTCATTCCATATGTGTGGACGCTGGTCTGCAAGTACGGCTGCGTGCACTTCAGCTCTGAGAGCATCAAGAGCGTCACCACGGACATTGCCTGCTAATATTTACCCCTCGCTCCCCTTTACACACGCGCACACACACTCCGCTTCGGTTTCTTCAAACACCTTTCGCTTTTCTCTAATTGTGTTCCGTGCTACCTTTAAAGCCATCTACTTAGGGAAGCCCCGCCCTAATCCCTGCCTGATTCAAGCCAAAATACCGAAAAAGTTATAGCAAACGAAGGAGATAACAAGGAAAGAGGCACACACACATACACGCATCTCGAAAATGTTGACGATAAATTGAAACAAAAGCTAATCAAGCGAACTAACGATAATACCTAGAACTAGTTACGCTAATATTATACGTTATCCTGGAAACATGATCATACTTTGCTGCGCCAACAACTGAAAGCATACTTAGAGGAGAGTTAAGCTCCAAAAGCCTATCGATCGACGGTTCTAATCAACGGGAAGAAGCAAATCCAATAAAGACCGTATATATACATATTTAAAAATCGGAATATATATATGCATAGATATATTTACATTGTGTATGTTAGTCTATGATAATTAAATATTATTATTGTATTTAGCAATTGGAAAAGTCGATAAATTATATATATATATATTAACTAAAGTTCATAAAGTCATGTGGTTTCCCTGGGCTGTCAGTTCGCTTTCGGTGGAATAAGATAAGGTTTTTAACATCTCAATTGTGTTGCTTCACTTCTTTGTCTTATCTGTAAGGGAAAGACTCCAAGTTTTTATACCCTTGGAGGGTGTTAATAATTATAGATAGACGTCTGGAAGGCAGTGAAAGAGTCATTTCCGACACTATAAATAATACATAACAAATGTATGCATGTATTCTTGATAAGGAAAGGGGTTACCTACCATTACAATTTTCCAAAATTTACAGACATTATAATTTTTAAAATATAAAATACTATTGCTGATTTGTTACATACATTTTTGGCTTAGTTATAATCGCTTTCAAATGCATCTCCCTGACACATTTACAAACTAGGAGCGCGCTGAATTTGGGTTCCTTACTTGTTTATTAATGCCTTTGAAATTTGTCAAAGAGAGAGTGAACTTGATTAGTAAAATATTTCTCATGTTTATTCCATGGAAGTAAGTGTTAAAAATAAATGTATTATTTCTTTAAACATATCACTACGTACTTGGTTATTTAACTGTAAGCACGAACTGACTGAGCTGTCGGAATTTAATTTGGAATAAATTAAAAGCAAAGTGAAAACCAACCAACATGGACATCGGCACATCTCTGGTCAAATACATCCTCTTCATATTCAACATCATTGTGTCGGTCATCGGCATTTCTGTCATTGTCTATGGAGTGATTATTATGAAAAGCATCGAATTGATTAAGGTTAATGGAGAGGTGGGCTTCCCCCCATCAGGTCTTCTGCCGATCGTACTGATCTTCATGGGGTCGATTGTGCTATTCATCTCGTTCCTGGGCTGTTGCGGCGCAATTAGCGAATCGATCTGCATGACCATGAGCTATGCCGTTTTCATGCTGATCCTGCTGACTCTGCAGCTGACGCTGATTGTACTGCGGTTTACAAACAAGGACAACTTCGATTTGGCCATGGGCGATGTTATAGAAAAGGCCTGGGAGGTGGACCGGGGCCGTGGAGGTGTTTTCGATCCCATTCAGAAATCGGTAAGTGATGGTTAAGAAAATTAAGTGTGGTGTTAACTAATGGAAACTTTTCAATACCTTAGCTGCACTGCTGTGGCCATTATTCCGCCGCTGACTACCTTATGAGCGCACAAACCCTTCCAGAAAGCTGCTGCGATGGTGCCTGCATGAACCCGCTCAACATCTTTGGAGGATGTCGCGCCAAGTTCGTCGACACGATGTCCGTTAACACTGACAGGACCAAGTACGTGGTCATCGGCCTGATTGGAGTTGAGTTTATCGGTTTCATCTTTGCCTGTTGCCTGGCCAAAAATGTTCGCAACAATAGGGCGAAAAGCTGGGCTGAGAACGAAGCTGAGAGCGGAAGTGAGAGCGGAACTGAGCTTAGAAATTTGCCCTGAAATTATCAGCTCCGCTTTCCGCCAACAGTGTGACCGCGGCTTAAGGCTATATGAAACGCTGACAATTTTGTACATCCCACAAGCTAACAAAACACTTTTCCAAATCCTTTAAACTTGTTAAACAGAAAGCACAGAAAAATAACTAAATGAACGTTAAGAATAATAAACTTTTGAAAAGCCCAAACGAAACAAGGCATAAATTTATACAAATTTATTTCCCATCCTCAAAAGGTTTAGTATATCTACCCCAAAAAATGGCTTTCCCAGTGGGTATTTATCATTGACTAGCAATATTACGTATACGACCGAGGTACTTTTTCTTAAATAAACATTTTTCTTTCTTTGAGGGCACTTCGTTATGTGCTTTTTACTGTGCATATTTGCACTATCAGCGGATGCAATTATGTGGTTCCCATTAAATACCCCGTGTTACTAGATTTTAAAGGGTATATAGCATAACCTCATATCAAGAATGCGGCTCATTATGGTTATAGTTCAATCTTATAGTAACAACTACATAGGTATTTGTTCAAAAAACACTAACAAAAGCTACATAAAGCTCGATAAAATACCAAAGCAAAAACACTCACAATAAAGTAATAAAACTAAACATAAATTAACAATAAACCCAATAGTTTGATTACTAAATCGAGCAATAAGCAAAATAATATATACATATAATTATTTTATAAGTAGCTAAAGGCAATCATATATAATTGTTAGTTATGCACAATAAATGAAAATTAAAACGAAAATATTACGCATACGCAGTGTAGCTCGGCGCCAGGCTTTTTTTAATATATATAATTTTCCATTACTCATAGGGGCCGCGGTGCTGACGCTTCATTATGCATATTTGCACTATCAGCGGCGGCAACAACAATAATGGTGGGCCTGCCATATTTACAACAATTACTATGTATTTTTCCCACCAGCACCGGCGAACGAGAAAAGCAAAGAACCGACTTTTACTGGCTGCTTACATTAAAGTTCGTTGACTTCAGAAGCCAATAATGGCAACGTGGTGGTGGGCCGAGGAGGAGGTGGCAGATTGTGGTCGGCCGACTCATGTGGCTACTGCACTTTTGTCAGGCCCAGCAGCGTACGTGTCTCAAATAGGCAAGTCCGAAACGGCGGGAAAAAATACCCATAGTAAACAATTGCAATAAAAAAAACAAATATAGATAAAAATTGCATTTGTTTTGTAGCCTCTGAAAGCCGGAAAATTTGTTATTTGTGAGTTTTCCATGGCGTGTCGCTGCCTCCTGTGCGCTTAGTGCATTTTAATTAGTTGAAGCCCGCAAAAAAATTAACAAAAACAGCATAAATATTTGAAATTTCTTTGCTTCTCTCTCTCTCTCACTTTGCCTCTCATTATTATTTTTCCATGCTGGCTGCCTTTTGTTGCAATTGTTGTAACTGGCCACTGGCAGCTATGCAGGTTAAAAAGGTTTATTGACTTTATGGCTGCACTTTGTTAGCCACTTGTTGGTGGATGTTGTTGCATTGCATTGCCATTGCCCAATTGGCCAGAATTTGCCAGAAGCTTTGTGGCTTCGAAAAGTGGCAAAGAAAACTCCAAAAGCCATTGCCCAATTCCAATTAGATAAAAGCCCCCTGCTTCCCCTCCTTAGGGGTATGATTTGTTGGGTAAATTATTATTGTTAATTGGTAAAAACTATATAAATGATGGCATTGTAAGTTGTAACATTTGTGAAGTTTTATATATATATTGTATTGTAGCAATATCTTTTTATAATCAATATCTTTGCTCTGGGTAAAATGTTCTAAGTTGAAGAAAACGTTTTTAGGCCTAATTTTAAACTGGTTCCATTTTAAATTATATCATAATTATATCAAAGCACTTAAGTACTTTAAAATAGGTCACTTAATTCAAGTCCCAACTTATCTCAAGTCTCTTAAAAAACAGAAAATTGGAACGGCTTTTGGCCAAGTTTTTTGTGTGTGTGCCAAATTCCTTGGGCACTGGCCAAAAGGCTTGGATGGAGCTGGAAGCCGGTCCAGGTCCAGTTTGCCGGTGGAGATGTTGCAACTAACCAAGACATGATGGAACTCCATTCAGCTTCAGCTCGGCACAGCCCGCATTTTCGCATTTTGTTTTGGCAAGCTGCTTCAGGTCATTGATCCAACCAATAGATGGATAAGATGGAACGGAGGGCTTGCTGTTTGTTTATGAACCCATTTACTATTTATACGAACGCGGGCTCGTGGGCCCGCACAACAATAATCTTGGAAATTTGGCCCAGTGCCCAGACCGAGCCCAGATCGAAGTCGGGCGAGCTTTGGCCCTCGGCGAAGTTTCGCTTGAGCGACCTGCGAATGGACGAGTATTGACTGAATTAGATTTCGTGTTATTTCTTTCCTTATTTCGTCTGGTTTATTGCCAATCCGGCTTAGCATAAATTCGCACCTTTCAATTGTTTATGTTTACTTGCCTCGGCTTTGGCTCGGATTCGGTTTCGGTTTCGGTTTCTCACCGGTTTGTTTGTCCAATTCCATCTGTCCAAGTCCGACTCCGTACCGTATCCGTGCGTATTTTTACCGCTGACGTAGTGGTTTGCCTAGACCCACCTAGCCACCACCACCCATTGACGTGATTCGTGGTCCACTCATCCGTCCGTATTTGACCTTTGCTAGCTATGTATGTGATCTTGTTTGCTCGATCGATCGATCGATCGCATGAATGGGGGCTAGTTTTGCATTGAGAGCTGGCTTTGGACCATTTCCAAGTGAAATCTATGAAAGTTGAGCCGCCTCTGGCAATTGCGCCAAGAGTACGATCTCTCGCACTTTTTGAGGCCGCCGAAATATGTATTTTGTCGCTTGGGGTTTAGGTAACCAATGAGCAATGTCTCAAAACTTTGTTTATAAATATTCATTGAACCAGTTGCCGCTCAGCGTCTATCTTTAGCTTTATTTTAAATATTTAACTTGCTTATCAACAAACATTTGAAACTGCTAGAACTCTCTGGAAACTAGCTGTTTTGACACACATTTTGTCAGAAATAAAATGCATTTTTTATTTAAATTGGGTATGTTTACGTCTATCAAAGACTTTAAAACAAAATAGGTAATTAATTAAAGATTTTATTTCCGAATGGCATAAGTTTTCCGTGACAATACTTATTTATTTAATAGAAGTAAAATAGTATAGCAGACTTGGACATAGAAGATTCCTCTTCAAACAATCAGAACCAATAATAGACCCACTGAAAATTCTATGCTTACTTCTGCAAATTATAGAATTATATAATTAATACTTTTCTCACTAAAAAGATATCTATATAGTTTGAATTTTTATAAAATTGTTTATTTCATACAAATATTTTATCACAATAACTTAAGCTCTAGATGGATCGCTCGAGGGTGTTGGACACCCCAAAAAAAGTACATAATAAAATGGGATCAATGACAGAGAAACTACATAAATATTAGGTAGAAAGGAGAACTGTTAATCGCTTGGATTGTGATGTGCGTGAAGTTTAAGTTAACGCTAAGTACAGTATTATGCTGCTGCCTTTGGTTCGCTACTTTGCGCAGGTCGAGGGAGAAGCTGGCGCGCCTTTGGCAACACACATCGGCCATCGGATGCCGCCGATCAGGACTCATCTACATGCCCTCGCAGGTGGACATGCAGTCCTTGTAGCTGGGGAAGTTGTTCTCGTTGCCATCGCAGCCACCAAATTTAAACTCGACGCACTTCTTCTGCTCCGGATCGTAGCGCCAGCGAGGAATCAGGGCCCGGCAAACGCCCTTGCGCGCCGGCATCAGACAGAACTGCTCTGGGTGGGTGTTGCGGCCAGTATTGGCCACATCGTCCAGCGAGATGGCGTCAAAGAAGTCACTCACATCGTCGTACAGGTCCATGGGTCTGGCCTCGCTGCTTCCAGCTAGAAGGAGGAGCAATAGCGCCACTGCCACCGTTCCCACTATGAGTCCTCTCAATTGGTCGCACATTTTGTGTGAGTTTTTAAAATGATTTTTAACTATTTCTGTTCACAAATCTTTTTCACTTGTGTTCACCTGTCGACTTGCGGTACGCAACTGTTGGCTCTGCAGGTCCAGCTTTTAGTTTTATATGGCCAGTTACGTGCCCGATGGCGCGGAGATCCGTAGTCCGAGGGGGTCGAACTCCCATTTAAGAGCTTAAACCGAAGCTTTCGGCTTGCAAGCAACGCTCTTAAGACTTAAGTCTCTCTTTAATCACATTTGGGATCAGTTTGTTGCTTCCGAAGGTCGAAGGAATGCTCTGTTATTTGGGTTTCAGATAAACAAAACTTGGACAAGTTGAAAACAATAAATATAAAATTAAAAGTCATTAGACATTTAAATTTTACTATATTTTAATTACCACAAAATACCTTTTTATACCCTTGCAGGGTATTATAATTTCAGTCAGAAGTTTGCGACGCAGTGAAGGAGACGTTTCCGACCCTATAAAGTATATATATTCTTGATCAGCATCAACAGGGGAATCTTTCTAGACATGTCCGGAAGAAATCGATTTTTTGGCCATTTTTGCGAAATTTGATAAGGGGTTACATCATTAAAATTATCAAAAATGGCCAAAAATCGAATCGAAATTAATGCATTTTTGGCTTAGTTATGATATATTTTAATTGTTACCTGCAAGTGTTTACAAACTTTGGCTGGCCAAAGTTAGCTTTCTTTTTTCAAATTTAACGACATTTCAGAGTATCTCGCTGCGATCAATCGATTAACGATCTTTAAAGTTATCGATAGCTTGTATCATCATTGCACATCTCTACATTGTTTTATTGTGAAATCTGGCGCCGAATTTGTTTAAATCAGCTTAAAATAATAATTAAACATTAACAATGGCCCGTGACTCCCTTCTATCGTGGATGCGAAATCTCGGAGAGAAGGGCCGTCAAAATGAGCTGGAGCTGCTGATTCAAAACAAGCCCATTAAGGAGGTAAGAGTCCTTGAATTCGAGGCGTCTGACTATACTAAATGTAATTCGTTTTTTAGCTAACTGACACACTCACCGCCACGATGTGTCGCAGCGAAGGGATAACTTTTTGGAACTACTTGCTCCTTGGCTTCAATCCGGACAGCCAGGAGGCACGAGAGAAGCGTTTCGCCTGCGTGCGCAGTTTCATGGACGGGCTGCGGACCGTGGAACTTAGCTACAAGCAAACCTTTGATTTAATCACGCGCCTGTCCCAGGACCTTGTCACCTTCTCCTCCGACCAGCTGGCCTGGATCGTGGAGCATTGCATTGATGGGCTGCGTCTGGGAGACGCCAAGTGCGTGGGCTGGAAGGATCTGCTGCCGGATGCCCTGTCCCTGCTGTCGGCCAGGCCGCGGTTCCTACTCAATGGCATATATGTGGAAGGAGCTGAGTACAGAAAGACGACAGTTCGAAGCATTTCCACCATGCAGTGGCCATCAACGATCCTCACGCCCATTGCCGATATGTTCAAGTGGGTTCAAGTGGCTCATTTGTTATATGTTAAACTGGGGGCTAAGTAAGTCTTTTTGCTTTCAGGGAAATGAACCTCAGCAGTGCCGAGGTGGTGACCGTGCTGAACAAGTTCTCTGGCGCCCTGCAGGAGCAGTCTCCCATGGAGCTGCCAGCCCTGTGCTTTCAGCTCTTTTCCATGTGCACCACTGCCTCTCAGTTGATAATTCCACTGCTGGCACTGGAGAAGTACTTCCATCGCAATTTTTACAAGCGCCTGTTCTCGGACATGTGCAGCAATTCCACAAACCTGGATAGCATTGGTGTGTCAAAGTTTTCTGCTGTTAAATTTAGGGGTTTCTAATGCTCCAATCTCTCTATTCAGACTCCTATTCGGACAAGGAACTGCGGGAGGCGGAGGAGACCATATTGCATCACTTGAACTACTGTACCATGTACAAGCTTACAGAGAAGCACTTGGCCATAATGCTGAGAGTGAGCCCTTGTACTAATGATTACCAAATTTACAATTTAAATCTTTGCTTCTTTGTATTTCTCAGAACTTCCAGCACATGCCCGATGTGGTCCTAACTCCCTTTATGCTAAGTGCCATTATATCCATGACGAGCATAAACCGCGATCCAGAGTCTGCACGCACCTCTCACTCCGTACTGCTGCCGTTTCTGCGTAATGTGATCAAAAATAACGAAGAAGAGCGAACCTTGGCCGACTATTCCGTGTGGTATCGGGACACTTTGCAGCGCAAGCAGGTCGACCTGCAGCAGGTTTTCGCTGTGCTCATAGACCAGAACAAGGATGGCAAAGATGTGATCACACCCGGCCTGGTTCATCTGATATTTAACCTGCTCAAGTCGCATTCCCCCAAGATGCACACTTTGTCCATTACCTTTCTAACTAAGTTTATACGCAAGCGATTTATTTTTGGCCAGGGAATAATTAAGCGGATTTCCGAATGGATGATTGTATACCAGGATCAGAATCAGTTCTCGGGTAAGCCTGCCTTATTAATAATTAATAATTTATTAATAAAGGTATTTCTTAAAGAATGCCTCACCCTACTGAGCGTGGCCGATACGTACACCGTCTCGGAGTGCATAAAGACCATTCAAAACGTTATGGAGCACATGCAATGGGTGAGTTAAACAAAGTTCGATTGGTTTATAGAAACTAAAGTTAATGTTACTTCTTCGTAGCTTTCTGGTGAGCAAGCCATGCGCATGATGAACTTTATTTTGCCTTTATTGAAGATATCCAATCGCGTACGCGATGCTCTGATTGATGTTCTGTGCAAGGCCATGAGCTCAAGGTGGGTTTTACACTGCTAAAAAAGTTAATAAAGAACTATAAATCAATAAAAAACTATTTTAAATATAAAAATTATAAAATCCTTCTTTAAATGTAATTAATTCCATTCACTTTAAATAAAAAGATTGTAAAATCTTTATTACTTTTTAATTTGTATATAAAAGTTGATTAATACCACTTAATTATAATTTTTAGCGGCATCCAAAAACGTCGAATGGCCATCTATGGCTTCTGCATGATCCTGAAGCAGCTTAACAACAGCAATGCCGCGCGTCAGACTTCAAGTGCCACCAGCTTCTGTACGCAACACAGTATTTCCGGTTACTCCATAATGACCCAGAACACGCTGGGAAGTCGCAGCAATCCTCAGCGTAACTTTGACATGCTGACCCTGGAAATTATAGGAATGTTGCGAAATTGCCTGCAGCAGCAGTTTGAAATTCGTTGTACCCTTTATGAGAGTAAGTTGGGGAGTAATTCCCTTCACTAAGATATTTTTATATTTATATATCAATTCTGTATACATAGATCTCCAAAGGGCCGTTGAGTTGAATGCCAAACTGGTGCCCCATGTCCTGCAGGTCATAGATTGGCACTTTCGTAGCTTCTTTGAAACGCCCTCGGCGGAAGATGCTGGCGATGATCTGGATACGGTGTTTCGCATTCGCTACGATCAGTTAGTCAGCGCCAGTGATGAACAGCATATGGAGATTCAGCTCAACGATAACCTGGGCCGGCTCATTCAGTTTGTGGCCAACTGTTTGGCCATCTTTGAGCGGGCGCCATCGGGCTACGACACTCGAGAGATGAATCGCCTCATGAACCTTTGTGAGCAGCGGATGGCCGCCAATAGATTGCCATTGGAGGATATTGTAAGAGCGATATAAAGACTTTCTTATGAATAAGATATGCGAATAATGGAATACCCTTCCCTATAGGCACCCCCAGCCACGCATCTTAAGTGCGCATTGGTTTTGCAGCAATTTAATATAATCGAAGGACTTATATCCCACTTGTTGCTTCGGTCTAAGCCGCAAAACGATGCTGTATCGCAGATTCTGCCACTGTTTAATCAGCATCTTAAGCTCTTGGAGAACCTTAAAACCCTGGCGGGTGCCTCTAAAAAGGGTTTAAAACAGTCAGCCAAGCAAACGGGCAACAACACAACGCGATTTAATACGCTTAATCTGACCATGAACGGGGTCCCAGTGAAGAGCATGTGCACGCAGCCGGAGAATATTTGGGATCTGGCTATACTAGAAAAGCTGCTGCATCTATTGCTAGAGTGAGTGGACACACATATGCATTGAACTAACCTTATTCTCCTCTTAAATTCTAATCAAATATTGCAGTGACGTTGTGGCCTTTGCTGCTCCCGAGAAGACCACTCTCCTGCGCTCAAATCAGCCTCTCGTTCGCTATACTATATTGACTACTGCCCAACGACTGGAGGGCATACGCCAAGAGCCGGACTATAAGCAGCTTAGCTATAGCAAGCGGACCTTTAAGCAGCTGGCGGATATTACCAAGGTCATCTACGAGCGCTGCATTCGTCGCCTGCCCCAGTTGTGGCGGGACTTTGACATGGCCAGCTCTGCCTTGGCCGCTCAGTGTTTTGCCGAGTGCCTGAGGACGGCCCATCAGACCTACCCCAAGAAGTTCCACGAATTCGTCAGGGTATTTGGTAAGACACCTCTAAAGTTAACTCTAAAATATCCTAAATGGAGTTACATACAGATATGGCATCCTTAAACAAGAGCAAGGAAGTCACCTACGTTGTACAGGATGTCCTGGACGAGTTTATGTTGGAGTACGGCAGCGATGAAGCCATCTGCAACGATGAATCCGTTGCCAAGGTGCCGATTTACCTTTTGGAGGCACTAGAAATACTGCTGGATCACATTGAGTTCGGAGAGCGAGCTGCCACCGAGTCATACACTTGGCTGCTGGGCTTTTGCAACAAGCACGAGATCCTCAATGGCGAGATGGGTATCGTACATCGAATGCTATTTACCCAGCGTCAGAAAACGCATTCGGGACCATTCTTTGAGAGTATTGCCAGGCAATTGGGACATGTCCTTGGCACCCAAAATGACAATTTGGCTTTGGATTCCATGGAGCTGAGCCTGAAGTCGATAAGTACCGTGACTGCCGAGAGCTGTCTGCAACACCTCTATGCAGCCATCCAGAAGCAGTTGACGGATGTGGACTACTTTGTTACCAAGGCCAATAACTTGAACTACAAGTGCCAGATAGTTCCCGAAACGGATCAGATATACTGGCGGGGTAACCTCGATGCCATGGATCGTTCTATTTGCACTCAAATAATCCACATATCGCGCACTTTGCTGTGGCTCACCCACCTGTGCATTCCGCTGGGTGCCTCGATGGACGGTCTGATGAAGCTGTTAATCCAGCACTATACGTGTCTGAAGAATCTGGCCAAGCACTACATATTCTGCTACTCATCCGATGGAAGCGTGGAGAATATTCGAAGCACCAAGTAAGTCGAAGCTTTATCCTAAAAATGATTTCCATACCCTTGCTACTATAGAAACTATCGGAAAATGAAATTATATCCCTTAAAATCTACTTTAAATCAAAAATTAGGAATTAAAAATGAAATTACTTACGTACTGCAAGGGTATTTAAACTTCGGCTAGCCAAAGTTAAGCTTCTTTTTTGTTAAGTTAAGTCTCACCTTCGATTGACAGATTCGAGCTGCTGCTGAGAGACGTGGGCAAACAACTGCCGGCCAATGTCTATGAGCTCATTACCTACATTGAAGCGAACACCCTGGATGAGGATGCCCAGCAGCATATTAAAAAGCGCAAGGTTCAGGCTGAGCGAGCCAAGATTCTACGGGAGACAAGGCTCATACCCAAAGTCATCATGGTTATTGAGGACTTTAACAAGCACATTATCCTGCTGTCCAAGAAGACCAAGACTCAGAACAGGCTGACTGACTACCTGCACTTGGGCACCATGCGTGACTTTGACATCAAGTCGACCGATCTGAAGGCGGCCATAGAGCGAAGCTTATCGGATGGCCGTAATATCTCCGGAGAGGAGAGTAATGCGGAGGATCCGGAGGAGGCTGTAGAGGAGGATGCCCAGTCCACCACATATCCGGAGGAAGAGAGTGGTGAGGAGGCTGAAACTGAGGCAGAGCCTGAGGAGATTGAAGAGCCCGTAGTTGTGGAAAAGAAGAACCAGCGCCGTAGGCGTGCTCCCAGCAGTGAGTCGGAGGATACGCAACCGAAACGGAAAAGAGGTCGCAAGCCTGCCAGTGAAAAGCAGGAATCTAAGGCAGAGCTGCCACAAGCAAAGAACCCTAAAAAGGATTCAAATAAGCAGCCCAAAAAGACAGCTCAAACCGCATCAGACGAGAATAAAAGGCCCAAGAGATCCACAGAACAGAAAGGGGAAAACCAAAAGACAAAGCAAGCCACGCCAGAAAAACCCGCGGCCAAAGATAAGCCTCAAGTCAGCCGCCGCTTAGGTCTTGGCCGCTCGGGGAAAAAGTGAGTTTAATTTAAAGAGTTTTTGTTGATTTATATTTTTCTAATTTACATTTACTACAAGTTTAAAGTTGTAAATCTCTTTACACAACTCAAATATATATAAAACGTTTGTTTTAGTTAAGTAATAAATCGCGTCAAATGTATTTTAGGGGCTGATAAATAACATCTCGCTTTGTACACTTTTTACCACTGCAAAAAAGATACTTATTAGTTTCAAAATATTGCAATAAGAATATAATATATATACTCACAGTTTGATCATGTCCATGGCCAGAGACATGTACTTTCCCACTACCGTCCACGGTAACTGTTCGTCCGTCTGGTCGCTTCCACACCGAAACGTTATCATTCCACACGCCAGCTTGATCGTCACGAGCCACAAAATTGTCACCCTGCACACGGGCATCATTGATGCTGCGACTGCTCCTTTGCACCACAAATTCTCCGTTGTTGTAGTCCACAGTGCGACCAGGTCGCTCTACATGGAACTGGGGGCTGCGGCTCTGCCTTGAAACCGCAAATCCTCCCGAACCGACATCCACAGTGCGACCAGGTCGCTCCACATGGAACTGGGGGCTGCGGCTCTGCCTTGAAACCGCAAATCCTCCCGAACCGACATCCACAGTGCGCCCAGGTCGCTCCACATGGAACTGGGGGCTGCGGCGGGACCTTTGAACTACGAATCCTCCGTTGTCGTAATCCACCGTGCGGCCAGGCCTCTCCACATGGAATTGAGGGCTTCGTGGTCTTCGTGGAGCAGGACCGGCAGATGCGGGGTAAGCTGAATAAGGATTTACAGCCACCAGGCCAGGACCGCTGATTGCATGGCCTTAAAGATAGCATGAGATTATAAAAGCATTCGTTAGATGTGTATTATCCGTTGCCTCTACCTGGTCGTCCTCCGGCTGTTTTACGGTTCACATAGGTATTTCCCTGTTCATCCGTATAGACGTGTTCCTTGGGCGACGATGAGTGCTGGAACTGACCGCCCACTCCGGGCACCGTGTATGCGCCATCGTTCTGTCCTCGTATGTAGACCTGATTGCCCGGTGTGCCAAAGACATGCGGCCCATTGCGACCATCGTAGGTGTGCTGGGGATCGGCCTCGGCAGCTACGGTGGGGAATAATAAAACGGAGATTAATCTGGGCTGCGAGGCGGCGATGAATTGGGGTTGCTAACCGACGTAGAGGAGACCGCAAACGAGCGGCACGAGTAGTCCAAAAAGATGCATTGCGCGACCAGTGTGTGCTGAAGCTGAGCTATAACTAACTGGCTTGACTTGCTCCCGGTATTTATAAGTAGCTGCGCAGTAGTCTAAGATCAGGTACACATTCACAAATTAGCGACAGCTTCTGAAAAATTCCCAAACGTCACCGCGCACCCTCTCGGAATCGGGAATGATAAGGGAATACGAGCGGGAATTCCACAAGCCGATCGAACATATTGACCCACAACAATCGCCGATTGCCGATCATTAAACGCATCCACGGGCGGCGGCGGCTTTGTCTACCCAAACCTGATTGTGCATTTTGTAAACAATATCAAAGCTGGATCTAGCTGACAATCAAATTAAGGGGGTCATCCCATTTTATACCCTTGCAGGGTATTATAATTTCAGTCAGAAGTTTGCAACGCAGTGAAGAAGACGTTTCCGACCCCATAAACCATATATATTCTTGATCAGCATCAACAGGGGAATCTTTCTAGATATGTCAGGAAGAAATCGATTTTTTGGCCATTTTTTCAAAATTTTATAAGGGGTTAGGGTTACATCATTAAAATTTTTGATTTTCATAAAAAATTGAATTTTCAAAATTTGTAAATGAAGTATGCAGATTTATTAACTGTAAAAAATCTTGCGCAGAACAGTTTTCCGATTTAAAATTAATGCTCTTTTGGCCGAGTTATGACATTTTTAATTTTAAAAAAATCAAGAAGTTTTTTAATATAAAAAATCAGATTTTATAATACAAAATAATGTTTTTCTAAGTCAAGGAATCATTTTCGACCCCATAAACCATATATATTCTTGATCAGCATCAACAGGGGAATCTTTCTAGACATGTCCGGAAGAAATCGATTTTTTGGCCATTTTTGCGAAATTTGATAAGGGGTTACATCATTAAAATTAGCAAAAATGGCCAAAAATTTTGATTTCTTAAAATTTTAAATTTGGTATGCAGTTTTTTTAAATTAATAAAAACTAACACAAAACTGCTTTCCGAATCGAAATTAATGCATTTTTGGCTTAGTTATGATATATTTTAATTGTTACCTGCAAGGGTATACAAACTTTGGCTGGCCAAAGTTAGCTTTCTTTCTTGTTTTTTATATATTTATTAGGTATATAGTTCTTAAGCTTTGTTTTAATATAAATATTATTTATAAGTAATGTAAAATATGTGGTTAAAAGGATATTTCGATATTCCATGCCTTTAGAATGTTAAAGCGCTGAGAAGGAATGCTTTGTAGGAGAGCTTACTCCTGCAAAGATTATTTCTATTGCTTATACCTTATCTTATATATCTTATCAATCCAAAATTTGAATAATTTATATTGAAAATCGATTAAAATCCCGTTTGTTTTGCTTGTTTCTGATAAAAATTGGAGATAGTGCGAGCCCTATTTCGAGTCGAGGGTATTTAGAAAGCTATAACTAAAGTTCTACTTATTATTTTTAGATGAAAATTTATAATTAAGGTGTCGAAATATACATTAATAAGTGGTAATAAACTTGAAGCTCTCACTGTTTACTGTTTGTAGAAAAACACCCTAAAAACCCCTATACAATATTTTTAATTTGAAATGTATATCTCTACTGTCGAAATATAAATTATTAAGTAATAATAAACTTAAAACTTTACCGATTTACTGGTCGTAGCAAATAAATCTTAAGAAATCTTAAGACACCAAAACAGCAGGCCGTTTAACCCTCTCAATAAAACACAAAATCTACACTCTTGATAAGACATAATTTTATGATTTCCTTTGTTTTTAGTTTTTTCTTTTTTTTTATAAAGATAGACAAAGACCAGGATTTGAATAGAAAAAGATAAACACATTGAAACATTAACATTAAATAAAAAGAATAGTCGGTCTCGGTTGCGGGTCGGTGTAGCGTTTGTACTGACAATTGGCTTCGGAGGAGCAGATCGGAGCTAGTCCTCCGGCACCTTCCACTGCAACTGCTTGCCCCGCTCGTACAGGTTCTTTAAAGCATTGGTGAACTTCTTGTCCGCCTGCAGCTGCAAATAGTGTTTGTAGAGCTGCAGGGTGGTGCGTGCATCCTCAATAGAGTCGTGTGTCTCGGACTGGATCTTGGAACCTGTATTTAGGCAAAGATTTCATTTAATTAGAAATTCAAGCGATGCAATAGTAGAACAAACCCAGAAAATGCCAGGCCAGGAATCTCAGCGACACCATTCGATGATGCGGCAAGTGGAATAGGTGCACCGTGTCGATTATCTGCTCCGACGGCACATAGATGTTGATGACCCTAAAGTCGTTTTTAAGACCATGTCCCACAAATATAACACCCACATCCACCAGATACTTAAGCTTCTGGTACGAGTACTTCAGGGCCGTCAATCGTTTCTTGCTGAAGTTGGCGTCCAAGTCGCCGGGCTTGATGCCCGAGAACTGTGTCAGATAGTCCACCACCTTCTCCTGCGTGGAGATGTAGTCGTCCATGAACGGTACACCCTCATCCGAGCCTTGTCTGCAAGTACATTTGTGTCAGCACACACACAGAATTTTATTGCAAAGTGGAGATGGAAGCGTACCCTCGAATACAGGAGATGCGTGCCACGCTCATGTGACAGGGCTTTATGGTTGCCGTCTTGCCATCCGGACGGATCTCGTTCTCCTCGGGATTCAAGGTAACGAACTCGGCATCCATGGCCACCAGGTCACCGGACTGCGGCATCTCGTTGGCTTGCAGAGGCTTTAAAGTGGCGTCCGTGCTTAGGTTGCCACCAGGCAGGGGACCCGCCATGTCCTGGCAACAAGAAAACATGATTAAAAATCTCTACAGGGGAAAGGCAATGGAAACCCACCTCTAGGAAGGGATTAGTGAGGTTCGTGGGCGAATCGCCGCAGCTGCTCTCCGAGGGAATGGCCGCCTCGTCACTGTCTGTGACAGTGGAGCTGGAAGTGCTGGCAGTCTCCGAATCATCCTCGACGCTCTTGTAGAACAGCACGCAGGGCATCTTCCAATCTAAAGTAAACCAAACCGACTCTTGCGGCGACACCGGAGAAATGCTAATCAAAATTGATAAATAGTAGTTTGAACATCAAAAATAAACTCAATTATGTAGAAAGAACCCACCTGAAATCGTTGAAAATATACCATTGATGCTGGGGATCCTCGGGAGATTCGGCCAGCTTCATGGTGTGATATTGCCGGTGGACATTGATCAGGGAAACCAGGTTCTTTTGAGTACCATCATCCACCTGGCAGACCACAGCGTGCAGTGCATACATGCGTTCATTGTCGCCGGTCTTGGCTGGCTCATCCTCCTGCTGCTCGGATTTTTCCGTTTGAGTTTGTACCTGCAGCTCACCCTGCTCGTTGATGTCCATGGTGAAGGTTAGGGGAAACCAGGACTTTTGCCTTCCATTGGGTGAACTGCTGGCGTTGCCTGCCGCTTGGTTGCTGGTGTGCAATGGTGACTTTCTGCAAGGACAGTTGGGATACAAGAGAATTTACAGAGGAGATCTTACTAACCTATCGGGATGCATAAAGTGGCAGTCGCTACGCGAACAGTTGGCACCATAGCGGCAGGGTTTGCTGGTGCTCAAGGAGGTGGCTGCCTCGGCTGAGGGCTTCTCGTTGCACCGATTGAGCTGGCGCTTCAGGAAGCTAATGTCTTTGTCGTTGTTAAGGCCACAGTTAATGGCCAGAGTTTGCGGCAGAGATGTGACCTAGATTGGAGTTAAACTTAAGCTTAAAACACATAAAAGAAGAGGAGTAGGTAGTGACTCACCTTCACGCTCTGGTTTGTGGGGGAGAACTTCTTGCAGTTCTCGCAAAAGGCCTGAATGCTCTTCTCCGAGCTGAGGGAGCGCTTTAGAATGGTGCCAAAGTGGAAATACTGCTCGCTATCCTTGACATTGGTGGGATACGACAGGTTACAGGCCAGCAGGATGTTCTCCTTTGATTTCTCCGCCTGGCATTTAATGCAGCGATTGACACATATCTGCTTGGTCCCAAAGATCTTACTGATTTCCGTTTCGGCGTTTATCTTACTGCGTTCTCGATCCCCTTCCTCTTTTGAATTATCATCTGTTAAGACAGGGAAGAGTTAAAGTGACCAGGGAGAGGAGAGACCATTACTTACCACCAATGGACTCGTACAAGTCTGAGGAACCACTTGTTTCGGAGGCTGGGCTTGGGTTCTCAGCTGAAGAAGGGAAAAACAATGCATAGGTTAGTGCAAGTTTCTGATAAAAAATGTGAGTTAAGATGGTTACCAGCTGTGGTTGTTTGCACAGATCCGCTTGACGCAGAGGAGTTCTTGCTGGAATCGAAGATTTCGTAATGCATTTGATGCAGAATGAATCGGTTCCAGTTCTGAGAATGTGCATATATATATATATATTAAATGTTAATAAAGCCAATCTATCGCTCAACTTGCCTGAATAAGTGTTATTAGGTTGACATTAGAGGAGCGATCCGTCAGTATCAGGCCCAAGGCTGAGGCCTCTGGAACTGTGCGAAAGGAGCGCAGGAAATTGCTTGCCTGGCAGGGCGAGGAAGCTGCAAAAGACGAAAGCAACAGCTAAACTTTACAACATCCAAGTTAACAGCTGCATTAACCCACCGCTACTCTTGTCCAGCATGTGGAACAAGAAGCCCAGCTCGCAGGACAGGCAAAACTCCTTGCTGCACGAGTGCTCCATTAGCTTGACCCGCAGGGGCTCCGTGAAATAAAGGATCTAAAGGGAGCAGAAACTCGCATTATTTGGATTAACTCGAAATAAGAACTTAAAAATCCCACCTGCAGCATGGCATTGCAATAGGAATTGGGCAAGGTGGCCTCCAGCCCGGCAAAGCACGTCTGGTTATGCTGCTCAAAATCAAAGTCTTGGGTGCCCAGCTTTGTGTACTTCAGCTCCACCTTGCGATACCGCCTTGGAATGATCTTGACGCCGTTCTCCGTCTTGGCCACAGCTGCCGCTCCATTGCCATTCGTCATGTTCGCCCCGCCCTGCTCAATGATGTATGGAATCTGATTGCGGCGTGCATTGCGTGGATTCGGAGAGTAGCCAATGGGACCTTGCATTTTCATATTGTTGAGCACCTCGGGATCTATAGTCTTGGGCCTGTGATAGCTGTAGTGCAGCAGCTCCTCTGGCCAGTCGGAGAACCATTGTGTGCCCGTCGTCAAGTGCGGCAGCATGACCGACGACAGCGGGAAGTTTGTGTCCGTTATGGAGACCATTGGTAGCTGCGGCACCACGTCCGCAAACTCCGTATTACGCGAGAAGGGATTGAACTGCGGCTGTGGCGTCTGCACTGCCGCAATCATGTTGATGTGTCCGGATTGGTCGCCAAAGGCCATTGCCTGGGAGGAGGAGCTGATGTCGAAGCTGAGGCACTGGCTGCCATTCGTGTTGATCTGATACATGGAGACGCGCGGCTCGCTCAGCTCCACCGTGTCCACCAACTGGATCTGGCCATAGCTGGAGACTACGGCCAGGCGCGATGTGAGCGAGGGCAGGAACTTCAGCATCTGCGGATCGATCAACATCTGAATGGGGGAGATCAGGCGCAGCATTCGCAGGTCGTAGACCATAAGGAATCGGTCAACGGCCAGGTTGTTCTGCCGCCCGCTGTAGCCGCACGAGATAAGCAGGTTGCCCTGGACACTGAAATCGGAGAGGACATTGGTGTGCGTCTTGATGGTGTGCTGGACACTCAGGCTGTTCAGGTCGCGCAGCGTCACCGTTCCAAACTGGTCGCCGGCGAATAAAAAGCGAGAGTTCTTGCGCAGCACAGTGCAGCCGGCGGCGCCCAGATGCTCTAGCCGGGTTTCCTTAAGCGAGCGCATATCGAAGTCAATGAGGTCCTCCTGGAGCCCAGCCATGACCAGGCGATGTGGTGACAGCTGCAGCATGCACACCATTTCCCTCATGTTGTTGGATCTGTCAAGATATAAGATCCCGCTTTAAAATTAAAGCAATCCAAGCGCAGAATCGAGGCTTACTTATGCGTGAACTTGGGCAGACCCCGGCGGATTTGGTGACGCAGCGAGGTCTGGGTGAGCACCAGCACTCCCGAATCCAGGGTGGTGATCTGACGGACAATGTCGCTGGCGTGCACCTGGAACGAGGTGTACTTCTGCATGGAGCTCGTGTAGTAGGAGGTGACATGGCCCTGCGGAAGGTATATTAGGAATTCAGGAATTAGTAAAGACTAACAGAGACTTGGCGCACTCACTCCCTGGTTTCCCATCCACAGCAACTCTTCATAGTCGTCGAATGCCACGCTGGAGACGCCGAACTGCTCCCCGCCATCGGCCAGGACGGGAACCAGCTCTACATAGTCCGGGTCGGTGGTCCCGATATTAAAACCATTAAAGCTGGGCGAGAAGTGTCCGTTTCCGCGCGCCGATCCCGCCTCGTAAACACCTATTTGCAGAAACGTAAACACAAAACAAAGGAGAAAGCACAGCTGTGAGTGTGTGTGTGTGTGCGGGCGCTATCCGATATAGCGGAGCCCCTGACATACTTAGAATGTCCTCCGAGGCGCCAATCGGATCGGTGCCGCAATAAACGTAATCCATTTGCGGCACGGAACTGCACTCTCTCCGTATTTATTGTATATATTTTCGTCGTTTTACTGCCAAATTTGCCAGAGTGTTGTTTTTTGCTTTGCATAGAGCTGGGAAACAGTCGATTACATCGATTGGTCGATGCATCGATTCCCTTTTATATATTTTTGGTATTTTTGGTTGGGCGAGGCGGTCACACTGCGGAGGCATGCTGGCAATAGGCAAGTTTCCGATCAGAATATTGCAATTTTCGCGAAAAAACTTTAAAACAATGGCTGACCTGCAGAAGATTGCGGACAACAATAAGCGCGCAGAGGCGCTGATCAACTCGATCGAGTCCGAGGCAAGTATTCTTCGTCCCACGACGAGCTTTAAGTCATCATCTTCTGGCCCACAGATCAATGCCATCCAGAAGCAGCTGGTGGCGCGGCAGAAGCAAGAGCTCATCCAGGAGAACGCTCAACTGGCCAGGGAGGTGGAGGCCGCCTTGGCGCAACTGGTGCAGCTCGAGCTGAGGAATGGCAAGAAGCAGATTCCGGTCCCCGGATCCCGGGGACTCTGCACCAGTGCCGCCCCAGAAGCTCCTCCGGCTAAGCCGGCAGTTGCACCTGCGGTCGCTGCTGAGAAGCCGGTCAAAGAGCCCAAGGAGAAGAAGGTAAAGGAAAAGAAACCGGCCGCCGAGAAGCCAGCCGCCGCTCCAGAGGCCCCGGTAGACGTTGGCCGGCTGGATTTGCGCGTGGGCAAGATCGTGGAGGTAGGCCGCCATCCCGATGCCGATAGCTTGTATCTGGAGAAGATCGACTGCGGAGAGCCTGCTCCACGCACCGTGGTCTCGGGCCTGGTGAAGTTTGTGCCCCTGGAGGAGATGCAAAATCGCCTGGTGGTGGTCATGTGCAACTTGAAACCGGCCAAGATGCGCGGCGTCACCTCGGAGGCGATGGTGATGTGCGCCTCGACGCCGGACAAGGTGGAGGTGCTCAGCCCTCCTCCCGGCGCAGTTCCTGGCGATCTGGTGCACTGCGAGGGATACCCGCGCCAGCCGGACGCCCAGCTTAATCCCAAAAAGAAGATCTTCGAGACGTGCGCTCCGGATCTGAAGACGAACGGAGAGCTGGTTGCCTGCTACAAGGGTGCCGCTCTCCATGTTCCCGGCAAGGGCAACGTGGTTGCCCAAACCCTCAAGAACGTGAATGTAAAGTGAGCGAGCCAATAAACGAAAACCATCACTGCCTGCAAGGCGTTACGTTACCCAGAGCTTCTATGAGATTTAGTTTTATTTCACAGGACAGCAGTACATAACGACATTAAATTTAGCTTTAACAATAACACATATATTATGCATATATATATTTAGGAAAGAGTACTACAAATTTATAAATTCCTATACAATTTGGCTGTTTCATCACCTCAGCGGTTTCGCTGCTGTGCCGGCACTTGGGTGCGGAACACGGCATTCGAATTGGATTCCACCACTATCGTCTTTGTCATAATGTCGTAGGCGGTGCGGTTATTCTTGAAGAAGAACATCACGGCGCAGATGGGGAAGAGCAGCGCCATCACCAGGTTCTTGGCCAGAGCACGGGCAAATGCCCGCATTAGGCTGGGCGTCTGTGCCGGATAAATAAGGGCGCGCATCGGCTCCCGTTGCAGCTGCACCACAACCATAAACTGCGGCAGGTTAGGTGCCTGCAGCGGCATCACAGCCTCCACATAGTGGATGCGGATCTTCATCAGAGACTTGCCGGGCGTGGCCCCGTTGCAACAGGCGGTGCACACCGCCTCATAGCAACAGACCGTGAACTTGGTCAGGAGCTCGATGAGCAGTAGGTCGGTGGACATAGATGAGATGAAGTCGAACGATATGTCGAAGAAGTTCATAAACAGGTCTTCCTCTTCAAGCGTTCGCCGCATCACCTCCTTGTCAAACTCCAGGTCAAACAGGTTCACCACGCCGAAAGTAATGATGATCTTCACGATGAACAGGATGAAAACATCGATGGCTTCCGCCGCTGCGCGTTTCCAGAATGGCGCTAGCACGTACTCGTAGCCGCCCACTCGCTGTATGGTCTCCAATTGCTGCGCCTCGTCGAGCACTCGGAAGCGGTTGAAGGCCTGCGGCGGTCCTGGCGGTGGAGGATTCGCAGTATTGGGAACGGGCGATCCTGCGGAAGGAGGCGTCGTTGCCGTGGGTTGGCCCAAGGTCACTGGGCTGAGCGGCTGACTAGCTGTCTGTCCCTGGAATAGCTGAGGGTAATTGGCCAGCAGGTAGTAGGGAAACATGGACATTGCGTTCTGCGCAATCGACGCCTGTTTGGCCCACTCCGCGAGGCTGGCGAAGTACGCCTCCTTGGTGGATGTGGCTAGCTCCTGTTGCAAATCCGGCGTTGTGTCGCTCATCTTGTGTCAAGTCCAAGTGTGTTGAATGGAATGTTTTTATTATGAATTTGTTGTATTTATTTTTTCAGATGACCAAAGTTGACGTGTATGGTAGGCGGCGGGGCGTTCGGCGTTTCGCAGTGAATGTTTAGTCCGTAATAGCCTTATGACACTGCACTAAATTGTACATCATTGGTAACGTTTAAATTATAAACAATTTAATTGAAAAGCAAAGTTGAATAAATATTTATAATATATGTATCATTTTTTTGAACTTAACTTTAATGAAAATAAATATTTTTGTATGCCAATTTTAATTAGAAGTTTGCAAATAATCAGTGAAGGAGTCATTTCCGACCCTATAAATCATATATATTCTTGATCAGCTTCGGCAGGCGAGTCTATCTGACAATTCGGGAAGAAAAAAAAATTCATGAATTTTTCAAAATTTTGTAAGGGGTTAGTTACATCGTTAAAATTGTCAAAAATCTTAAAAATTTTGAATTCAAAAATATATCAAATTTAGTATGCAGATTTATTAACCTTTTAATAACTAGCTCAGAACAGCTATCCGAATTAAAATTAATACACTTTTGGCAAAGTTATACATATTTTAAGTTTTGATTTTCACAGAAATTATCATATTAAATTATGAATATATATTTAAATTGCAATTGGATCACTAAGAATCGAGCCATTCTGGTTAAATAATTGAAATTATTCGAATTGAATTTCATGCATTTTTGACTGAGTTATGAACATTTGAAAATGAGTTTTTTTCACAAAATAAATCGCACCATTTTTGCAAAAATATGTAAGACCATCCAAATTTCCGAACATTTCCATGCAAATTGCCCGTTTCCCAAATTGGGGTAACAGGCAGCAAGCAACTGAAAACTGGTATAAACTGTTATAAAAGGTCCAAGTTTCGAACCTTATGTGAGCAAGTGAAAGTCAGCGGAGACTCAAACCTGGCTTCTTTCCCAAAATATAACTCTGTGTTGTCTGCTCTCTTCTTTTCTGGACACTTGCTATCCCTCTCTGCGCTGCCTGCCCAGAGTTGCATTTTGGGAAAACAGCCGTTACTTTCGCTTGCTCCTAAATGGTTCGAAACTTGGACTTTTTATAACAGTTTTCAGTTGCTTGCTGCTGGTTTCTGTTCGCCTGGTACCCCAATTTGAGAAACGGCCAAATTGCATAGAAATTGTCGAAAATTTGGATGGGCTGCTGAAATTATTTTTAATTCCTCTAGCTTTATTTGCGACTTAAATTATTATTTATTTCCCCCGTTAACTGAAAATTATAATATTTAAGAAAATAAAAAAATATTTAATTCAAATATTTATTTATTTATTTAATTTATAATTGGTATAAACTATATAACTGGTATAAACATTTAAATTTTATTTTATGCATTTATACCCTTTTACCGCCGGCACAGCCATTTGATTGCAACAACAACCCCATTACAACAACCTCCCTACAGCAGCCGTCGAAATTTTCGAAAATTTCCATGCAATTTGCCTGCTTCTTAAATTCGGGTAACAGGCGAACAGAAACCAGCAGCAAGCAACTGAAAACTGGTATAAACTGTTATAAAAAGTCCAAGTTTCGAACCTTATGAGAGCAAGCGAAAGTCAGCGGAGACTCAAACCTGGCTTCTTTCCCAAAATACAACTCTGTGTTGTCTGCTCTCTTCTTTTCTGGACACTTGCTATCCCTCTCTGCGCTACCTGCCCAGAGTTGCATTTTGGGAAAACAGCCGTTACTTTCGCTTGCTCCTAAATGGTTCGAAACTTGGACTTTTTATAACAGTTTTCAGTTGCTTGCTGCTGGTTTCTGTTCGCCTGGTACCCCAATTTGAGAAACGGCCAAATTGCATAGAAATTGTCGAAAATTTGGATGGGCTGCTGAAATTATTTTTAATTCCTCTAGCTTTATTTGCGACTTAAATTATTATTTATTTCCCCCGTTAACTGAAAATTATAATATTTAAGAAAATAAAAAAATATTTAATTCAAATATTTATTTATTTATTTAATTTATAATTGGTATAATCTATATAACTGGTATAAACATTTATATTTTATTTTATGCATTTATACCCTTTTACCGCCGGCACAGCCATTTGATTGCAACAACAACCCCATTACAACAACCTCCCTACAGCAGCCGTCGAAATTTTCGAAAATTTCCATGCAATTTGCCTGCTTCTTAAATTCGGGTAACAGGCGAACAGAAACCAGCAGCAAGCAACTGAAAACTGGTATAAACTGTTATAAAAGGTCCAAGTTTCGAACCTTATGTGAGCAAGTGAAAGTCAGCGGAGACTCAAACCTGGCTTCTTTCCCAAAATACAACTCTGTGTTGTCTGCTCTCTTCTTTTCTGGACACTTGCTATCCCTCTCTGCGCTACCTGCCCAGAGTTGCATTTTGGGAAAACAGCCGTTACTTTCGCTTGCTCCTAAATGGTTCGAAACTTGGACTTTTTATAACAGTTTTCAGTTGCTTGCTGCTGGTTTCTGTTCGCCTGGTACCCCAATTTGAGAAACGGCCAAATTGCATAGAAATTGTCGAAAATTTGGATGGGCTGCTGAAATTATTTTTAATTCCTCTAGCTTTATTTGCGACTTAAATTATTATTTATTTCCCCCGTTAACTGAAAATTATAATATTTAAGAAAATAAAAAAATATTTAATTCAAATATTTATTTATTTATTTAATTTATAATTGGTATAAACTATATAACTGGTATAAACATTTATATTTTATTTTATGCATTTATTATACCCTTTTACCGCCGGCACAGCCATTTGATTGCAACAACAACCCCATTACAACAACCTCCCTACAGCAGCCGTCGAAATTTTCGAAAATTTCCATGCAATTTGCCTGCTTCTTAAATTCGGGTAACAGGCGAACAGAAACCAGCAGCAAGCAACTGAAAACTGGTATAAAAAGTCCAAGTTTCGAACCTTATGGGAGCAAGCGAAAGTCAGCGGAGACTCAAACCTGGCTTCTTTCCCAAAATACAACTCTGTGTTGTCTGCTCTCTTCTTTTCTGGACACTTGCTATCCCTCTCTGCGCTGCCTGCCCAGAGTTGCATTTTGGGAAAACAGCCGTTACTTTCGCTTGCTCCTAAATGTTTCGAAACTTGGACTTTTTATAACAGTTTTCAGTTGCTTGCTGCCTTGTTCATCCCATATTTTCTCCTAGGCTTCAAATTAAAACACTCAACATACAATTGTCGGAATATTTTATTATTACACAGTTCGAAGTTGTTTGATTTATTCCTTAGACATAGCAACTTAAGAATCGAATACAATAAATCCGTCGACTTCCCAGCCATGATATTAAAGATTTACATTGACAAACTGGCGCGAATACTCCTAGTTCCTTAGGGGACACATGTACACATATCCGATCCGTTTAAAAAGTACATTTTGCCAAATCTCTACTTCACATTCACACCTGGTGGACGATTGGTTGTATGCATGCTTGTGTGTGTATCAAATCCTAGCTAATATGTTCGAAAATAACATGTACATTTTGATTGGGAAGTGCGTTAAGTTCGTAGTTCAATTGTAATTAGAGGTTCGTGTGTTACACATGTATGTATGCATTAGGATAATAATTGGAATTGGAATAGATTTGAACGAGCAGACGCGACCCGATCCTCGGTGGTCATGACCAACTCATCCTTCACATTTAATACAGTGGCTTGCATGACAGTTAATTCTCCTATAATTATACGTATAGTTTCGCCCTCTCGGGAGTCCTTGCGCAGGACAACTAACTACAGACAGAAGCTGGCAAGTTGTACAGATCATTGCAACACCGAGGGACAAGCACTCGTCGTGTCTTAAAATTAATTAAAGGAATACAACTACATAAATACACGCCGTATTTATTGCCAGACATTTCCGATATTTAGGTTTCCAAATTGCTGATTCAGATTTGATGGTACTGAGGAAGCGGCAGGACCGGCAGTGGCTGCAAATCCCCCCGATCCCTGCGGCTGGCCCATGTTCAGACCACTGGGCAGGGGTTGCATTAAGTTCATGGACAGGCCGCCAAGCTGCGGGTGATGTGGCTGTTGTTGCTGATGCTGCTGCTGCTGCTGTTGTGGAACAGTTCCAAAAAGCGGCATCCCGCTTAGGATGCTTTGGTTCGTCTGCATCAGGTTCGTCGCAGAGCCTTGGCCAGCGGCGGCAAATGGACTGCCCCCGGAGGTGGGAAACTGCCCGCCGCCGAAGTTAACACCTCCAAGGCTCATGGCAGTGGCACTGCTAATGGTCGCATTGCTGAAGGCATTCGGCGCGGCCATCACCGGCGAGTTGTACATACTGACCGAGTTTGGCGGCGTCATAAACTGGTGTGGAATCTGCTGCTGCTGTTGCTGATGCATGTATCCGCCGGGCGCCATGCCCGTGAAGCCGCCAAAGTTCATCTGAGGATTATGCGCAGCTGGCGCGTTGCCGTAGAGCGCAAGGATGCTGTCCTTGGAGAGCTTACCGGACTGGTCCTTTTCGCTGCCGGTGGCGCCAAGCGATCCCTGGTTGAAGAAGTCCTGCTCCTCCTGGGCCAGTGAGTTTGGCTTCGCAGCCAGCATGCCACCACCGCCGTCACCGTTGCTGCCGTTCAGCTTATCCGGCTGTCCGCCAATCGTTTCGGCACTGAGAAAGCTGGTGAAACTTTCGTTTTGCAAGTCTTGGCTGGCACTGCTTGATGCCCCACCACTGCCAATGCCCATTGGCTTGGTGGGCGACGACAGGCCCAAGAGGTCGCTTTCGCCCGCGCTGTTATTAGTTTGGTTGTTTAGCTGGACGCGCTGCGTGGTCTTCGGGCTACAGCCGCCGACTTGGTTGGGCTTCGGCTTGGGCAGTGGGGCGGGAAGGGGGGCGTTCTTGGAGGCCGATGAGGTCGAGGTGCTAGCGAGACGCTTGTCGGCGCCACTCGACACCCCGCTGAGACCCAAGCTGGCCTGGGCAGTCTTCTTTTTGCGCTTCTGCCGCTCTAGTTCCTCATCGATCTCCTTGGCCCAGTCCACCTTAGGCGGCGAGGGCGGCACCCACTCGCGAGCGAGGTACTTCTTGTGCTCATACTTGGCCCGGATGAAGTTCTCTAGCGCCGTGTCCGTCTGCGGCCGGCGGAAACCGTCAGGCAGCTGCGCCTCGTAAACGGCACGGGCCCGCGAGTTGCCCATCTGCTGCAACGAGATCACCTGCTCCGGGGTCCAGGTGTCCAGGTTGACCGACTTAACGCGCGATATGTGCACGCCCAGGTTGCGGTGGATACCAGCGCAACGGATGCAGAGGAACATACCCAGGTTCCAGGACGCCCAGCGGGGACCTGCGGAAAGAAGAAAACCATAGTTTCGTGATCACAAGATACTACTGCCGAGTCGATCGAGTGTTTATCTCGCCGCGGCACCGCCCCCACCTCCGTGCATCTTCGCAAGCCAATGGCAGAGGCACACACACACAGTGTACATATGCGTACGATTGTGCGTCAGCAACTGGCGAATCTTTTATCAATGGCGCTGCCCCGCCGTTGAGGATTTACCCACCCTTGGCGTCGCAGTCCACGCAATATTTGTTGTCTTCATCGCGGAGCATCTGGGTCAGCAGAGTCTGGCACTTCTCCTGGATGAGCTTCGTGCGCTGGCTTGCATTGGAGGAGCTCATTTTGCACTTGTTTCGCACTCCGCTTGGCCTGTATAAAATGTATATCTGAGCGCTGCTTCGGGACGCGATATGCGACGTGGCGTGGACGACGGGAGTGTTTTGGCTTATCTCTACTTCACATGGATGTTCAAATACCACCGAAATGACAATTTTTATAATGGAAACTACGAGTTTCTTTGCCGAAAAACTAGAGTTGCCAAAAACGAATGCATCTATCGATATATCGATATGTTTTGGGCAACCCTATGAAAAAGGAAACAAATCCTGCCATTCACACGGAACAGATTCCAACCTTTTGTCATTCACACAAAATAGATCCCTATTTGATGGCATTCACACAGAACAGATGCCAACTTTCAAAAAGATTGTTTACCATTGTGCTACAGGTTGAAATTAACCGTCTATTATCCAGCAAATATGGATGTTTTAAGAAAACAATTGGAGTCCTGCTTGAATATACTAAATAGAGGAACCGGAGCAACAAGTCCCACAGGACTAAACTGGTTAAATGTGCGTAGAAAACCCGAATTTGGTTGCAGGAAACTCACTTGTTGCATTTGCAGGACTTGTGTGCCGCGCTATTGGAATTTTCCACGTTGGTCCACAGCTCCTTGTGCTCGCACAAGCAGTCAGAGTCCGCAGAAATGGTATGCCTATGCCTGAGCCAGATCATGATCTGTATTCGCCAGGTGGAGAGCACCATGAAGCTGGGATGCGGCGCCTCAGTTATGGTAGCAATTTCAAATCCTCCTAAAGTAAACTATTAAAGTATCCTTTATTGAACCAGGCCAGCCATCAGTACTTTCTGGATCGCATTAGGTGGTGCCTCAAGCGCCTTATGCATCTTTACAGCCCAGGCTCAGATGCAGGGATCCCAGAGCGCTCCTTCCTTAAATTGGTGGACTCTGTTCTGGACACCTTGGCCGTCTTTACTTCCCAAAATGAGGAAAACACAGATGCCTTAAACTGTTTTCCTTCTCCAGAGGAGGTCCTGTCCCTCAGCAACGAGATGCGCGTCTATATTGATCTGATCTTGGGCCAATCTCTGGGCTTTGCGAATGTGGCTCTGTCACAGGACAAAAGAGCTCTTAGTGCGCTTTGCCAAAAGGTATGAATATTATTACAAGCCACGCTTATAATTATTATCGAGATGTCATTTCAGGTAATTCGCGAGTGCAACGCTTTTCAAGGCGAGTGCAAGCTGCCAGGCTCTGCCTCCTATCACTCCAATCTAAAGCTTAAGGCCATGAATTTGGAGCAGGCACTGTACCAATTGGAGGACTTTATCAACGATGCCCTGCTGCGGCTGGTTTTCACCTGCTTCCTGGACTTTGAGAAGTTCTCGGTGGACAAAATACGAACCGTGCTGAGCAACAGCTCCGAAGATGATGCAGCGGCCGATGAGTTAATTGCTGACTTTGATGTCAACATCGATCGGGCCACCCAGATCGGCATATTTGCCATTGCCTTTGCTCCGAATCTGAAAAGTGTGTAGGAGAATTAGAAGCATCTTCAGTTTATCCTTTGATTAAATCTTGTTATCTCACCAGTGAAAACCATGATGCGCAGCTGCCTGGCTTCCTTTGAGTCGCTGGACACCAGCCTGATACCGTCCCTACAGGCCAACGGCTCTGACTTGCACTCTGACATTCTGGAGCAGCACTTCAACGAGGAGGTGACCAAATTTAAGGCTGCCCTTCAAGAGATCATCGATAGCCGCGCCCTGCTTGGCTGCTATCTGGAGCTTCTATCCGCAGGGATAGCATCAAACGAAAAGGTGTGCGATAAGGAGCGATTGCAGGACCTGGCCGAAATGTCTATGCTGCTGTTCGAACACTTTCACCTGGACACCAACCGAAAGGTGCTTACGGAAACGAAGAACCAGGTGGGTGAGGAGTACCTGCAACAGTTCGTCCGCATATTGCGGGAGTGCAAGGCCATTCTCATGTGCGCATCCCAGGTGGAACCGCAGCGAATTATCAAACGTTTCAAGATCCTGCGCTCGATCTTGCGCAAGCTGCACGGCTGCCTCGGAGTGGGAAAGCGAGATGAAAATGAACCTACGCACCAAATGGGAAAGCACATGGTGGAGGATGTGACAGATGGACACGAGACAAATGATAATTTAGACAACTTTACTGGCCTGACCACGGGTCGAAGCAACAGCATTCTCTACGACACTGGGCGTAGAAGTCGAGTGATTAGAAACCAGGACAGCAAACAGACAACGGAGGCCCTGAAAACTAAGCCTGGTTTACTGAAAAGTAAGTCCTCATCTAATAAATAATGAATAGTATAAGCTCAACGTTTTATATATGTTTTTTTTATAGGGGAAAGCCTGCGGACTGTCATGTTCAAACGTCAAAATATAGCCGAGAGCAGAAGGCTCTACAACACGATCTGCAACCAATCGGCAGATCTGGAAATCACAGGTTTATAAGCATACTAACTACATATTTTTAAACAGTCAATATATTTAATATATTTTACAGATATACTAGATCAACTTACGGGAATGTCCAATGGTTACTTTGAATGCTGAAACCCTCTAGTTAGTATTAATCTTTATGTATTATTAAGATGCACAGGACAAGTATTCAAAATTAACGTTCATCCCTGATGAAATGCCATAGGTCAGGCACACATATACGTAATAGTGACATACATACCGACATGTATGCTTGGTTTAATGGTGGTTGAAAGTGTTCTCTGTCCGCAACAGTTTCGACTGTTGTAAAAGTATAGAAATAAGGTCAATAAAAAATACTTAGTATCAAGTACACTGGAAGTAAATCCTTGAGATTTGGCGGAATATGTGAAGCTGTGGAATTAATCGCCATCGATTTTTCGCAACAAAAACACTAACAGGACTCGTTGGCCGTCAACAGATACACACGGCCAAGGCTTGTAAACAGCAATGAAAGCGGCCACCGGGGATAAGTTCACTTTGGTTGACGAAAACGAGCAACCGTCCTCGTTGTCAACTCCCAAAAAGCAATATCCAAGAGACAAGGCGAGCAACAACAATCACCATGTGGTTCCCCTAGGCATCCTGGTCGTTCTCTGCACTGTGTATCTCATGGCAGCCGGAGTGCAGCGCAACTACAGGTACTACATCAGGCCGGGCGTGGCTGCCTTCGACCTTCCGGCCTCCCATACTCCCCAAACCGATGAAACTACAGATGATGAGTTGGAAGCCTCCGCCGCATCATCCTGCCAGCAAATGGACATATTTGATAGGGAATCCGAGCAGAAACCCGCCTTGGTAAACTTAATTTCCAAAAGACCCCAAGGCAAGGCCAACAAGCGAACCAAGAGTAGACCTGGCAACGGGTTGGTGGTCAGTAAGCAGCCCCGATTAGCCAAGTCGCCGGACAGAAAGAAGGAGGTTGCGGCCAAGAAGAGCAACACGGCAGAGCCGATCATCTATCTGTTTGCCCTGGTCTTTATCTATCTGCTCCTTAAGGCCGCCTCCGATATCAATCAGCACTACAAATCGGTAAGACTTGGCTTTAGCTTGTCCCTTTTTTAAGATTCTTAACTATTGCTTCTCCGGCAGCAGAACAAAGGGGACAAACGACTACGCCGCTGCTCGCTGCAATCCTATGCCCAAGTCCACAAGCAAGATCGCCGGTCATCCAAAGGTATTTCACCAAAAACTTTGCCAAAATTTTAAGTCGCTGACTTGACACAATGTGTTACCGAGGGATCAAGTTATGAATTGTTATCCTAGAAATATCTAAATGTATCTATTTACTGTATACTGATGATGATGATGATGATGATGATGGGTTATAGCCAAACTTTCTGTAAAGCACACACACTGTCCACTCTCGAACAAGAGCTAGTGTTTCTGAAGACTTGTACTATGTATTATGTACCTTTTAATCTCTATATATACTATGTATCTATCCTACTACCGCACTTTTTTCGGGTTTACTATTATACTTACTATATGTGTGTCTTTTTTTTAATGGCCCACACTGTTTACCTCCCCCCGCCCCTTCACCTCTCCGTGAAACTGTACTGAATGTCAGGTTGTATATACTCGATATTGACTATTAATCTGTCCTGTATGTGTGTAATGTAAGCGTAAAATAAATCAATTACTATGTGCTTTCCTGTGATCAAAACTTACGTAGCCGTGTTAGCTTGCGTTTCATTTCTACCGTTTGAATGGGCAATCTGACCACTGATCTCCATATCTTCCTCCCTCCCACCTCTGTGCATGCCAAAGTCCCCACCGAGGAGTCGCCGATCTTCCGGCGGAGGCATATACTGGGCGAGGGGCGGTCCTTGTCTGTGGATCGCTACAAGTACACTAACTTGAACGAGGACTACCACCATCACAGGATCGCCGTCGCCTCTCCCTTGGCCAGCAGACCGAGCAACCACTACCAGCAGCAACAGTACCACAACCACCACCATCAGCAGCTTCCCCTTAGGCCAAGTCCAGGAGACGTGCGATTTGGTAAAAAACGAAAACCCATTTTGGCCAAGCCACAAACTATGTGATTTCTTCTTTAGAGCCACGTATGAATCGCCGCTCCTCGGTGCCGATCAGCATTAATTATCAGACCGTTCACGTCTCTAGCCCGTATACTGCTCCACCTCCCGAGCTGAGCAGACGCGGCTCAGTGATAAGCCTCACGGATGCCAGTGCCAGTGGAACTATTGCTGATCCAAAGCGTCGCGTCCGCATGATCAATCGCCACTAGAAACCGAGAGCTTTGAAGGTCGACAAAATGTGAAAAAATCGCAAAACGAAAAAATGGAGGAAGTTATCCGAGTCCGGATATGAGTTTAGCGCATCGAAAACCATCGGAAAAGTATATTCCGATTCTTAATCTTAATTCTTAAGTGAAGTCCAGAGCCCATCGAAACTGCAAAGAGACTAAGTATACTACCAACACAATAATTTTAAATAGCACAAACACTCTATGGTTCTTCTTAATGCGTTCTCTTTTAATCAGTTAATTAATCAGTTATATATTCAAGGTTCCAGGTTTTTATAAAAGAAACGTACAAAAGAATACTCCAGGGAGAGCGGGCCCATCCTATTGTACATTATTCTACTTAGGGCAAGACTACAAACAATCTTAGGCTAGCGTAGTGTTTAGTTTGGAATTCAGTACCTATGATGTAACCATTAACTACGAACTAACTACGATCTTGTGATGCTCATTACGATGACAATTACATACAGTTGCATATGTATCTGAAGGGTCGAAGGATCGAGGGATCGAAGGGCTGTGGCCTGCGAAGCAAATGAAGGGGGTGCATAAACTTAAATGGGATCTCGAGGGTGAGGGAGGGAGAGAGGCAGAGAGTTGGAGTCACGACGTATTCTACAAGGATCATTCCACCGTCTTCATCGAATTTTGCGCTAGTTTCTCCTAGTTTCCATTAAATATTAAAATAAATTACGTATTTTAATTGCATGTGGTTGTGGAATTGTGATTGGAAGGAAATTCTGGCCGGGATTCAACTGAGCTCGTTGCCCTCGTAGAGGCTCTCGCAGCTCTCCAGCAGGCGCAGCACCGGCGATATGTCGTAGGGGTAAAGCTGGCGCGACACCAGGCGGGATATCTGCAGGCGTAGCCGTATGAGCACGCCCATCGCCTCGTCCAGCATGGCGCTTCCCATGCCGAAACTGTGGCAGCTGTGCACAAACATCGTCCAGTTCATGCGAATGTACTTGAGCAGGCGCAGCAGGTAGAGCAGGAAGCAGGTCTCGTTGCTCACCAGCAGGTCCAGCAGCAGGTCCGAGCTGTTCGACGTCATCTTGAGGAACTCCAGGAAGGTGTACACCGGATTCAGCATGGCCACCAGCTCGGGGAAGGCGTTGTTGCGGAACGAGATGCCCGACGTGACGTCCAGCGTGCAGACCATGGCCTCGATCAGATGGTCATCCTGGTCGTCAAAGAGGTGGATCAGGATCTTGCTAAAGTGGCACTCCGGATGGAACTCCAGCGTCTGTTTGATGAACGTCTCCAGCTTGCTCAGCACATCCCGTATCGAGCGTTCGATAAGCATCATGTCCTGGAAGGCATCGTAGTCGCTGGAGTCAATGGACGAGTCGGACGAATCGCTGCGTATCTCCTTCACTGTCACCGCTATCGATTTGAGCACCAGCAGCACCATCTTCTGCAGCAGCGTCTTGTCCATTTCGATGAGGTCCAGTGGCGCTCCACCTCCACCCTCTCCATCGCCTCTGTCCACAGCCTGCGCCGCTTGGCACAGGGTGATTGTGCCGTTGGCATATACCAGCGGCCTGCCATTATATCCAATCAGGCTGACCATGTTGTCGGGCTGGCGGCGCGGCAGCGACTCGAGGATGCGGAAACCTCGCACGTGGCAGACAATCTGGTGAGCCAGCTTGCAGGTCTCCTCAGGCAGCATGTCCTGCAGCGCCAGCGTGGATCCATAGCACAGGGCCTCGTTAAAAAGGCACAGCATCTGCTTGTACACGGTGCAGGAGAGACTGTGGCTAAGCAGCAGCTCGAACTTGTCCAGCTGTGCGTAGTAGGGTCTCGTCTCGTCGATGGACAGGTTGGCCTTCACCGAAATGATGTTCTCCCATAGCTGCAAGAAGTTGAGCACACAGTGCTCGGCCGCATCCTGGTGCGCCGGCGCCATCAGCTCTGACATGTTCTTCACCAGCGTCGGCCATTTGTGCTCCAGCTTCTGGATGGTTATGCACTTCAAATGCGTCGTGTCGAAGCTCTCCGAGTCGGTGAGCGTGACCACATGGCAGCCGTTCGGCATGGATGTGGACTGTGCAGTTGGGTGCGATTCGTAGGAAACGTTCATCTCGTCGCCAAAGTGTCGCCGGTGCCTGTCCCGGCTATCCGGCGACTCCCGCTCCGTCTCATGCTCGCCCTCGGCATCCTCTCGGAATTGCAGAGCGAAATAGTTAGTGGCCAGCGGCTGCTCCTGCACGGGAAAGTGCATATAGCTGACGGATGCATCCGTCGGCAGGGGAACAACGGACGAGGCAGCTGTCGCAGTGCTCGCTGCCGCCATCCAGTCATCGTCCAGTGGATGGATTTCCATGTCCTTCCACTCAACGATGCGCTTAATGATGTCCAGACTGAAGTGGATCTTCTGCACGGCCGCCTGATCGAGCTGCTCGAAATTGAACAGCTGGTCGACGATCTTCTGGAGCCACTCGTCGTTCAGCTCCTGCTTGGCAATCACCAGGAATGCGGCGAGCACTCGTCCCGCCAGGAATTGCACGTACGAGTTGTCGTAGCCGGCCAGCACGATGATCTCGTCGATGAGCTTGTGGTCGTTGCGGATCAGTGCGTCGCAGACGTCCATTATCCGCGTGCAGATGAAGCCCTTGGCGTTCTGCTTCAGGTAGATGTCGAACAGCAGCTGCAGGTTGGAGAGGAACTGCAGGAGCTTGTTGGTGGGCCACTCGCGGAGGTAGGCAATCCGCTTCTGACCGTTGGTGTCCTGTGAGTAGTGCGACTGGAAAGGCTTGCGCAGCGTTCGCTCAGACACCCCGCACAGGCACTGCCGCGTCAGCGACTGCTCGAACTCCAGCATATCGTCAACGGTCGCCGTCGTTGCCGAGAGACAGCTGCTCCGACTGCTGTTCATGTGGCTATTGCTGGTTGTGGGGCTGGAGGTGCTGCTGATGGTCAGCAGATCTGGCAATTTGGCGGCTCTGTCCACCTCATCCTTGGCGGACTCCGGGTCGGTGTGCGTGTGCGTGACCTCCCCGTTTTGTGGCAAGATATTGTGCACCAGACCGGACACGCCCAGAAGCTGGGCGTAGGAGGCAGCCCGCGAGCTGCACGGTGTGGTGGTCGGCGAGTTGTTGGTGCTGCTGGGCGTTGACAGCGAGTGGGTGGAGGAGGAGGACAGCGACGAACAGAGGTGGCTGTTGCTATTGGCGTCTAGGGCCGCCTCCCGCCGCCCGTCCAGAATGTCTGGCGGGGGCGGAGGCAATGCCTTAGAGCCCACCTTGATCTGTTTCTCGATCTTCTGGCGCTTTGTCTGCGGCTGTTCGTTGTGCGTGCCGGCCGAGGTAGCCACCGTGGAGCAGGGACAGACGTCAACATTGCCGCTGCCACCAGACGCTCCGCTGCTAGGGCCCGTTCCGGCTCCAGATCCAGCTCCGGATGTGGTGTCCATGCTCGGTGACGTACCCGACGTCCTTGGAATAGCTCGTGACCACTTCCCCACCCAGCTGCAAGCGCAAAATCCGTGTGAGCAGCGATCTAGGCGGCGGCAAGCAGCCACATACCAACAAAACGAAGCGAACGAATGCCCAAGCCAAAAGCAGCAGCAACAGCTTCCGTGCTACGCGCACACAAGGTTACGTGTGCAGACTGGATTCCTGGCTTCTTGCGGAGGCGCTTCTCCGACTCTGCCGCTTGGCTGTTGAGTTGTTGGGCGGATGCTGGCACTCTACCAGCCCCCAGGCGCATTAACTGCTGCTGCAGACATTTTAAACGATCACAATTCGGTTTTCACACACTTGTTGCTTGTTGCACTGCCCAGCGACATGTCAATGTTTGTATTAGTTTCTCCACTCGCGCAGCAGCTTTTCTTTGGCGCTCGCAGCGCGTTTTGATTGACAATCTGCACTAGAGGATTCGGGGGCCTCTGATTGTTGATTGCGAGCTGCTTTTATTATGCTTTTATTATAGTTTGTTGGAAAAAACAACTGCCTTTTTCTAATTAAGATGGCGACGCGCACTTAATTTTTTAGCGAATTCGAGCGGCCTGGCAACCCTGACCCGTCGTGTCGATATATCGATTAATTTCTGGTGCAACTTGAATCGATTAATGTTTTTAATGAAATTGATTTCATGCCACGCGACAACCCTAAGCACACAGAGCTGCCATATCAGTTGGGTCTTGGCGCTCTGCTTCAAAATTCTCATTGGAGCAATGGCTTTTTAAACAAAAGGATGTTTATTTGTGTAGCACCATTTCGCTTGATTCCCAAAATGGCTGTTAGTAAAAGGATATTTTTTAAGAGCTGATTTTCTTGTGTCCGGTAAACCGATAAAATAAATATCTGAAGTGCTACCATACCGATTCAAAAATTGCGCGCCGACTATTCATTTGTTTCCAAAACTATATTTTCAGGTATTTTTTTGAACTGAAAAGAATTTTTAAGAATGAAAACAGTTTTTAATGCGTTTCATCTGTCTGTTACAGCAAGTACTCAATAAGCCAGATGTAATGTAGGAAACAAAACAAAAGCTCGGCCGACGTGGCAACCTGGTCCTCGGTTGTTATTCATTTGACATTGAAGTTCACCAATTCCAGAAAAAAAGACGTTGGAAAATCGCAGTGCGCGAAGAAAGTACAAAAAGTCAGGGAACACGTTATTAGTTAATACAACACCACAAATCCATTACTAACGCAAGCAAAACGGCAAAGTTGTGGGTTGGCGCTCTGCAGATTGGCCGGACCCAGATAAAACAGCAGCTACTATACAGCATTGTGCGGCCGGGATCCACGACCGTATTTAAGTGAAGTGTCGCGAGTGACTATAGCAGTCCACCTGTGCTCTCTTTTCCGTTCGCTTCGTTCGACTCTTAACGAGACCTCCTATTCCGCCCACACACACCGCCTTCTACTCACCAAAGGAACATGGCCGGCGCACTGCCCACGCTGACCCAGGAGCCGACCTACCAGAAGCTGCAGGAGCTCTTCGATAGCCAAGGCAAGGACCTGAACATCAAAGATCTGTTCGTGAAGGACCCCAAGCGGTTCTCCAAATACAGGTGGGTTTTAGCTTTGTTAGATTACGAAATACGTTTTTTTTTTAAGTTACGTGGGTATACCTACAAGCGCGCATATCCACACGCACTCAAGTTTGGGTGTATGTAGATATGTCTGCTCGTTTATGTATCCGCCATCAGTTATTCATTGAGTTTGGCACACTACCGCCTGCCTAACTTTCACCAAGGGGGCACGAGTGTCGCCAGCCGATTTGTCCTTGCGTAAGGTCACAGCAACGACCTTAGCCGATAGCCGTCTTCGCACTTGATCCGAGGTCAAATGATTGTTATTCCCCTCGTTTGTTTATCAGCCTGCGCCTGCACACTCAGAACGATGGAGAGATACTGCTGGACTACTCGAAGAACCGCATTAACGACGAGGTCTGGGACCTGCTCCTCGCTCTGGCAAAGGTGCGACGTGTGGACGCCGCCCGCGATGCCATGTTCGCCGGCCAGCACATCAACATTACTGAGAACCGTGCCGTCCTGCACACGGCGCTGCGCAACCGCGGCACGGATTCTGTGCTCGTTGACGACAAGGATGTGATGCCGGAGGTGCGTGCCGAGCTGGCCCACATGAAGGAATTCACCAACAAGGTCATTTCCGGTGTGTGGCGCGGCTGCACCGGCAAACAGATCACCGACGTTGTCAATATCGGCATCGGTGGCTCCGATCTGGGCCCATTGATGGTCACCGAGGCGCTGAAGCCCTACGGCAAGGGCCTGCACTCGCACTTCGTGTCCAACATCGATGGTACCCACCTGGCGGAGGTGCTAAAGAAGGTCAACTACGAGACCACCCTGTTTATTGTGGCCTCGAAGACTTTCACCACCCAGGAGACCATCACGAACGCCACTTCGGCCAAGGCCTGGCTCCTGGACCTGGCCAAGGAAGTAAGTTAATGAATATTTCAAATGAAAACAGCTCAGATTATTTGATTAACCTCATTTCCCAATCGCAGCCCGAGTCCGTGGCCAAGCATTTCGTGGCTTTGTCGACCAACAAGGAGAAGGTCACAGAGTTCGGCATTGACAGCGCCAATATGTTCGGCTTCTGGGACTGGGTGGGCGGTCGTTACTCCCTGTGGTCAGCCATTGGACTGTCCATCTGCCTGTCCATTGGTTTCGAGAACTTTGAGCAGCTGCTGGATGGCGCCCATTATATGGATAACCACTTCAGGTCAACGCCGTTTGAGAAAAATGTAAGTTAAGGCCCAGTTCCATGAAATTATTGATCCTTACCGAGTCCCCTCCAATGGCTAGGCACCTGTTATCCTGGCGTTGCTTGGTGTCTGGTACTCCAACTTCTTCAAAGCGGAGACGCATGCCCTACTCCCGTACGACCAGTACTTGCACCGCTTCGCCGCCTACTTCCAGCAAGGTGACATGGAGAGCAACGGCAAGTTCGTGAGCAAGGCGGGCAAGGCTGTCAAGTACAGCACCGGTCCGATTGTGTGGGGCGAGCCGGGCACAAATGGCCAGCATGCCTTCTACCAACTCATCCACCAGGGCACCCGCCTGATCCCCTGCGACTTTATTGCCCCCGCTCAGACGCACAACCCCATTGCCGGTGGCAAGCACCACAAGATTCTACTCTCGAATTTCCTGGCCCAAACGGAGGCTCTTATGGCCGGCAAGACCGCCGACGAGGCTCGGGCCGAGCTAACCAAAGCAGGACTGTGCGGCAATGAGCTGGAGAACCTGCTGCCCCACAAAGTCTTCGTTGGCAACCGGCCGACCAACTCGATTGTGGTGAAGAAGGTCTCGCCGTTTACACTGGGCGCATTGATTGGTATGTCGATTGCTTCAGATACGCGGTCAGCGAACATTAATTAAACTCAATCAATTTTCGCAGCGCTCTACGAGCACAAGATCTTCGTGCAGGGCATCATCTGGGACATCAACTCGTTCGACCAGTGGGGCGTTGAGCTGGGCAAGCAGCTGGCCAAGGCCATCGAGCCGGAGTTGGACCATTGCAACGAGGTCTCCTCGCACGACAGTTCCACAAACGGTTTAATTAACTTCATCAAGGCCAATTGGAAGTAATTTCCGGGCACTCGTCGGCTTTTTGTTGCAAATTAAAATGAAATGTTCACACATAATGCTCTAATTGTTAGTAGTTATTGAGACGTTATTGAGGAGGAGCCGCTGCTTATGTATACCCGTTCTCGGCACAATATTCAACTGTATTTATGGAATCGGAAACGTTTGTTTGCTTGCGCGTATCGATAAAAATCTCATGTCGGAATTAGACCAACCCAATTGGCTCCCTCTACTATTCGTTGTTGCACACGTAGTTTCAAAAACCACAAATAAAAAATTTCTGGAATTCGGTGTAGAAAACTGTGTTTGGAAAATAACTCTTGTTTCATTTGAAGGAATTGCATTAAAACTAAACGTACAGTGGGGCAGAGGGGCTAGGATTAGGCTAATCACCCATTGATACATCCGAGTCAGAGTCTGTGTTTACGTTAACATCATCGGTGGCCAGATCATCGTCTGCTTCCAGCTCTTCGTCCGAAATACTCTTGGCGCTGCCGCCTTCCTTCTGGTCCTCCAGGTCGCTCCAGTTGTTCTCCTCCTCCAACTCTTCGGCGGGCTCCTCTGCAAGTAGATGTGGTTTTTGGTTTAAAAAATCCGGTAAAATGTACAAATTTTTACATATTCCCTCTTAAGCAGATCTTGAAGTCGCTTTACTCACCTGGGTCTTCCTCCACAGTCAGGACATTGCTGTCGTTCAAATGGTTGTCGGCATTGCGCTGCATCTGATTGATTATAAGATTGACTCGCCCCGATATCCTGAAAGTAGGCCGCAAAAAAGATATCATGAGTACACATTAATTTGGAAAATAAATAAATTAAAAATTTAGAACATTCAATACAAACCCGCCCGACACACACACACACAAAAACCCAATTGACTTGCAAAAATTTCGCTTTTCAAAATGGATTTTTTCTTCAACAATTACAAACCTGACGATTCCGAAATTTCCCTTGTCGGCATATCGAGCCATAGCGCAGTATCGGGCGTAGGACCCGGAAATGCGCTCCCTATTGCCGCCATACCCAGCATCACCAACACCTTGGAGCAGTGCAACAAGCCTGCCTGCGATGAAGACGCCGACATGCAGTGCATCATCGACTTGGTCACGGCAACCATCTGCGAGGCTAAGGCCATCATTGAGTCTGATCCGCGCGGTCTGTTCTGCTACAAGTATCCCAAGATGAGGCTCTCCATTTTAAGCATGGCCTCGGAAAACCACGGCGATGGTATGGCGCCCGGTGGCTCGTACTCAAGTCTAAAAACGACCGTTGTCTACGGGTTGCCGCTATCATCTGTCTCCAGTGGCATTGCCCGCAAGGATCTAACAATTGAGAACTTTGATTACAGCAATGCCATTGCTGACATTCGGGAATTCATCAGCAGGTGGACGCTATCGCCAGACACCAAATGCGTGGTGGCCAGCAATCCGATACGCCACGAAGTTCCCGTCAAGGGTACCATTTTCTTTGTCGATGCCCACTTTTCGCGACCAACGCCACGTTGTCCCAATCCCTTGGCCGTGGCCAAGGTGCGATTCTTTGTGAGCGTATCAAAGCTAATGATGCCCAGCTATCCTGTTATGATCACCTACCGCTTCGAGGGCTACAACACACTATACTATGCCCTCGGGGAGCGTGCCCTCAACTTGCACCACTTCCAGCGCTTCTACATCGACACCATCTTGCACAGCAAGCTGAGCTTCTTTGCGGCAATAGCCAAGTGTCGCCACGGCACCTTAGAGAACCCCAAGGATAACATCAGGCCAAAGAAAAGGACAAAAAGCCCGCAGCGAAACTGAAACGCTCGTGTTTTTTTCGTACTCACTGTAAGGCCTCGGACAAGCACTGCATTCGTTGCTCCGCCACAGCCAGGCATACTTCCAACTTATCTCGCAGCGCCTCCTTGTCCTCGGACATCAGGACACTGGTGTGGGTGGAGGCCAGTACGTGCAGCCAACGCAGGGCAGAGCTTACACTGAATCAATTTAAAAATTTTAATTGGTATTAAATGTTATTTTGAGAAAGATAAAAACTCACTTGGAGTGCTTTCCTTGCAGCAGAATGGAGAGCTCGTTGACCAAGGGACTCACGTATTCGAGCGGCAGTCGATCTAGCGTTAGCTGTATCGTATCTGTATCTTGCGTGCTCAGGACCGACTTAATCATCCTGGAAAAAGAGAACATCAGTATCCAGTAGTGGGCGCCTTAATATCTAGTAAGCTTACGCCTGATCTTTGCTGTGCAAGGCCTGCATAAGCAGCTGAGTCTTGCTCTGGGTCTGCAGCTTACCGCCGCTCAGTTTGGTAGCATGGATCTGTAGGTGCTGCAGGCGTGCCTCCATGGGCACCTCGTTCTGCACCTTCTTCTGGGAGATGGGCAGCGCGCTGTTGTACTCCACATTCTTTTTGCTCACCACTGGCTTCAAGACCTTGGTGGCGGCCTGGAAGCCCAGCTGCTCCTTACCCTTCTTCTTGGCATACAATTTCTTTGGATCAGCGCGCTCGATAACGTTCAGTTTCTCGGCATAGTTGGGGGTGAAGCGTTCGAACTGCAGCTGCTGGCGACTTCCGTAGCCAAAAAGGATTTCGTGTGAGCGATTTGAGTCGGTGATGAAATTTGCCGCCACTGCCATTATGGGTTCCACTGTCTCGGCGCCATCGGAAACGATTTGCAGCGACACCTTGGGCTTCACGAACTTCTCGGCGGATAAACTGTGACAGGAAATCAGTTGGTGACCTTCCTTAACCATGATAAAATCTTCCTTCTTACCTTGTTACATTCAGCAGGTATATGTGAATATTGCCATTTCGTGTCACACTGGCCACTCGCAGCTGGCCATCGTCGCGTATCTCGCTGGCCAGACAGTAGGCCAAATCCTCCATAAGCAGCGTGCAGGCAGAAGCCTTGTTCTTGCCCTTCTTCTCGACCTTCCAGAAACAGATAACGCGCTCCATCTTAGCTGTGGTCAGCACGAATTCTGTGTTGTCCGCACACACTACAGTGGCGACGGCGTTTATTTCGCCCGAATGGCCAGTGAATGTCTCCACAAGTTCTTTTGTCTTAGCATCGTACACCTTCAGCTGGCGGGAGCCCACGACCAGAGTGCGGCTCTTGGGCAAATATGCAATGTTCTGTGGCTTCTCCGGTCCCACTTGCAGGTCGCCGATGCAGCGCTCCTCGGTCAGCGACCAAACGAGCGCCCGGCAATCTGCGCCCACCGTGTACAGGTGGCCAGCATTGTCATACGCAATCGAGGTCACCGGGCCATCGTGACTGTCACCACCAAGTGTTCGCGTAATCTGCAAGACGCGGGAAACTTTATCAGATGCATTTTATAGCTTAGTAAACATGGACTTACCTTCGCCTCTGCCAGAGAGTATATGACTAAGGCCCCCTTTAGCGTTCCCAGAGCAATGTGAAGCTGATCATTGGCTGCATCCTGGCTTGGGAGACTCTTCCGCGACTTCTTGGAGCGTGGACCGGCCACCGATACCCACGTGAGCGCTGTACACGGGCCGGATACCTGTAGATTGGGCGTGAACTCCTGCTTAAGCGTGTTCGTCTCCGTGTCCCATATCCGCAGGATGCCCTGCTCGTCCACCGAGGCAAATAGTTGGCCACCATTGGGCGAAAACCCCAACACGTGCTTCTTGCCCAGCGACATGGTTCTTTTTTGTTTTGTATTAGAGATGCGCGCGAAGTCGTCGTGTTCGTGCACGCTAGTTCATGTTTAGTTCGTGTCACGCGTGAATCAGTAATAATAATTTTTATTGCATTTTTTTTAACTAGACTTTATAAATTATAATTTAATAATTTGTAAGCCATAAATTACAAGCAAAGTTAATAGATGCAAACATATTATTCAGGTTTCTAAAAGACATTAAACTTGTAATTGGGAAGTGTTTTTAATTTAAATAATAATTAATTGTAACTTTTCCTTTAATCACTTAAATTTTTTGTTTTATGTTAATATAAAAAAAATTAAATAAATTAACGCAATTATTTTTACTGCAGTCACAGTTTAGGCTATCGATAAAACTATCGATTGCTCTCTCCCATCCAGAATGTTCGCAGCCATCAGACCGATTTGAGGTTATAACTCTAGCTGGAATTTACCGACTGACTCCGTGTGAAATTGAAATCTGTGTACAAAAATGGCTTTATCCGTTCCCAAGGCTCCCGGAGTGGCGCAGATGCTCAAGGATGGCGCCCGGGTAAGTGTAACAAGTTGAAAGCACGCTTCCAGAAGTCTGGCCGGCATCGGTTTCATTTAAATTCGGCTGAAAATGAAAACATGCCTTCGCTGGGAGGCGCGTGATTAGTCATACTCATGGAGCACCGCCGCGCATCTGAACAAAAAATGACTAATTTGATGGATTCTTTCGTATCCTTAGATGTACAGTGGCCTGGAGGAGGCCGTCTATCGGAACATCAGCGCCTGCAAGGAGTTCGCACAGACCATGCGCTCCGCCTACGGACCAAACGGCATGAACAAGATGATCATCAACCACATCGAGAAGCAGTTTGTCACCAGTGACGCCGGCACAATCATGCGCGAACTGGATGTTGAGCATCCGGCCGCCAAGCTGATCGTCATGGCCAGCCAGATGCAGGACGCTGAGGTGGGAGATGGCACCAACTTTGTGGTGGTGCTGGCCGGAGCTCTGCTGGAGGCCTCGGAGGATCTGCTGCGACTGGGCATTACCACCGCCGAAATCGCCGATGGCTATGAGAAGGCCTTGGAGAAGTCTCTGGAGATCCTGCCCAAATTGGTCAGCCACAAAATCGAGGACTACCGCAACGTGGAGAAGGTCAAGGATGTCCTGCGCACCTCCATTATGTCGAAGCAGTACGGCCAAGAAGATTTTATCAACGACCTGGTCAGCAAGGCCTGCGTCTCCATTTTGCCCGATGAGGGCACCTTCAATGTGGACAACATTCGCATCTGCAAGATTTTGGGCAGCGGCCTGCTCAAGTCGGAGGTAGTCCGTGGCATGGTCTTCAAGCGCTTTGTCGAGGGCGACGTCACCTTTGCCGAGAAGGCGAAGATTGTGATCTTCTCGTGCCCCGTTGATATTATTCAGACGGAGACCAAGGGCACGGTGTTGATCAAGTCGGCCGACGAGCTGCTGAACTTCTCCTCCGGCGAGGAGAGCCTGCTGGAGAACCAGATCAAGGCTATTGCCGAGACCGGTGTAAAGGTGGTTGTGTCCGGAGGCAAGGTCGGCGACATGGCCCTTCATTTCCTCAACAAATACGGCCTGATGGCTGTGCGCCTGAACTCCAAGTTCGACCTGCGTCGCCTGAGCCGTTCCGTGAACGCCACAGTCCTGCCGCGTATCACCACACCCAGCCAGGAGGAGTTGGGCTATTGCGACAAGGTCTGCATCGAGGAGCTGGGCGACACCACAATTGTGGCTTTCAGGTGGGTTAAATAATAAAATATTTCTAAGAAAAAGCTTACATTCCTTTTAAATTCTTTACAGAAATGAGGGCAAGGACTCGCGCATTGCCACCGTGGTTATTCGTGGTGCCACGGACAACTTTATGGACGATATCGAGCGTGCCGTGGACGACGGTGTTAACAACTTCAAGTGCCTGACCCGCGATGGACGCTATCTGCCTGGCGCTGGTGCCACCGAGATCGAGCTGGCCACCCAGTTGTCTGCATATGCCGATACTCTGCCCGGCTTGGAGCAGTATGCCGTGCGCAAGTTCGCCAACGCCCTGGAGGTCTTCCCCAAGGCCCTGGCCGAGAACTCTGGCATCAATGGCACCGACATTGTCAATCAGCTGTACTTGGCCCACACCTCAGAGGCCGGCAAGACCATCGGATTCGACATTGAGGCAGAGAAGGCGGCCACCATTGATACCACAAAGGCGAAGATTTTCGATCTGTACCAGGCCAAATTCTGGGGTCTTAAATACGCCGTGGGTGCTGCCACAACCATTCTGAAGGTGGACCAAATCATCATGGCCAAGCGTGCCGGAGGTCCCAAGCCGCGACAGGCTGCCGGCAGCGATGACGAGAGTTAAGCGTCTTCTCTGTGATTCGTCATGCTAACTATAACTAGTTTCTCCAGCTCCTTCTTTGTATTTTCATAAACACGAGTCCCATGGAAATTATAAATTTCATTAACCACTCTCACCCACATACACACAACCATGCACACAGTTTCTTGTATTAATAAAACTTAACTTACGAAAACTGATCAACTTGAGAGTCTTGTATTTTGAAAGAAAACAATGGGGTTTTTTTTGCACCGAACCCGGTGCCACCGCTAGATAACTGAGCTAAGTAGTTATCGCCTTTTATTTTTTTTTTGGAATTTAAGCAAACGATTATTCATTTTGTTGAGTACAATACAATATTTCAAATGCTTATTCGCAGATACATTTCAATAATATTTGTGAGAGGACTCGTCCTCGTTTGCGTCGCAAAAGATTTGTATTAATTTTTGAATAAAATGCGATCTCGTTGTCTCGCTTATCAATTGAAGTGAATAAAACGTGTTAAAGTGTGTTCGATCGATGATCATGACTCTCTGAGTGGTACGTGTGCCGGTGATATTCTTTCTAATTTCGTCTATTCTTTCATTTTAGTAGTTGAATGAAATTGTCTGCGATCTGGGGACGTACATCGAGCCATCCGTGCTCCATTGGATGGCTCGACCGTCCTCCAAACAGGTAATTAACGCACGAGTGTGATGAGGTTGGCACGTGAAGTGTCCGTTAAATCGAAAAACTGTTCTATATGGAATGTGTTCACGCTTGAACTTTAGGAATGGTTTCCAAACCAACTGCAGTTTTGATTTGTAGTCCCCCAAAAAAATACGTTTTCGGAAAGTCGGCTCTGAGCCACATTTTGCTGTTTGCTCACGACAGCAAACTGGAGTCCAGAACCTTGTGTACAGGTTCGAAAAAGGAAATACCTTCTGTCTAAAAATGTGTGATTCTTAGAGTTCTCACTCTGTCCGAATTTTGTCACGTTAAGAACTAAACACGACGCCAATTAACAAATTACTAATTAAATGCAGCACTGGAAGAACCGATCCGTTAAATTAAAATATTTACGTTTTTCCCATCAGCTTCGTTTGAATTCGAGACCCTATGGAAATCACAATTTCTTTTCGAATGCAACATGCAACATGTATGTAGGTACGACTGTGTGTGCTCTCCCTACCGGATAATCATAATCTCATTCCAATACCATACAAATATGCCCTATTCCATGTTAGATTGTATAAAAATAACTTGCTTTTGGGTTTGAACTTTTCTCTCATGCCAATTACATACATTGCGCTCAACATATATATTTAGTTTTTGTGTGAATATATTCGTGTGGGATTGTGAACTTTTAGTTTAGTTGGGTAAGTGTGGAATAGTGTGTAGAATGACTTTCTTTTGAGAGAGAGAGGGAAAAAATCACACATTCTTTTTGTATTTAGTCATTTCCGCTAAACTGGTGAGAAGCTGACAGTCTTCGGATTCATCGGATTCTTGCCGGGTTTTGTGGTTCAAAATAACGGTAATAATATATTGACTGAAGTAAAGTATTGGCCTTTAAATAAAACGCTTTCATTATCTTTTAGATATTTTCTGGATATTGGCAGAAATACGCCGTAGTGAGAATTAAAATGGAGAAACTACAATCTAAAGAGATAAGTATTTGATTATTCTTTCGATTCTTTGGTATTATATGCTCTTGCTGCGTTACTGCAACGGTTTGTAATATATATTTAATTTGACTAATAAAAACTTGATAATAAACGCACTAAACATTGCGATAAGTTCAACTAGCTTGTTGTTTGTTTGTTGTGGGAGGCATTTCTGCTTCGTGTTAAAGCTTTTAAAGTAATAATCAATAAGATATTTTTGCGTATATTTGTCGATAGTTTCGATCCACGCACTGGTGGTTAATAATAAGCTTCAAAATACATACATTTCAATTCATCTTGTTATACTCCATCTTCTTAATCTCATCTCTCAATCATCTCGATTTTCAATTTTCAATTTCTTCAATAAATATATAAGAGATATTCTCGAAATAAGAAGGCAAAATATATGTATTTCTGTTTCTGTTGTGTTATCTTCGTTTATTGATAAATTTGTATGTCGGATTACGTTGATAGTTGTTGGTATATAAGTATATGTGTGTTCCGGTTTATACTTCGGCTTAGGTAGTTTAGTAGTAGGTGCTAAAGTCAGCGCATTAATTGTCGGTATAGTTGGGATATTCGTGTACATTAAACAGCGTTACTAATCGGGAAGGAAACAACTTTCTGATATTTTCATAACAAATGCCTCGATTCTAGTTGTGGAATTGGAATTGAAATTGGATTTGTTGATCTATCGGTTTCTTTTTGGACATTACACATGGTACACATTGATATATCGAGATATATATTCATAAATATATATATATATATATATATATATAGATTCCTTGCAATTGGAATACAAACTTGTAACTATATTGCTTATGACAATCGTAGTTATTGTTGCTTTTACACAAAGATATATTGATCCAGGTGGCGTTGACTGGTACACACACATTCGCTTCTTAAATCCATCTTGCTAAACTAAAAATAAACTAATCGTCCGCCGGCCTTCCACGCCTCGTCCTCCTGCTACTCCTCCTCCTCCTCCAGGGGCATCCTCCTTAGAGAACGGTGCAGGATGACTTCTCGCGGAACGGATTCACCTTCTGGCTGGTGAACCCAGTCAGCAGGTAATCCTCCTGCTCGTGCTCCGTGATGTACTTCATCATCTTGGCGCACGACTCCGAAACGGTCTGGCGCTCAATGGCCGCCTCCCGACGCAGCTGGTCCACGACGACGCGCTGCTGCTGCAGGGATGATGACATTACGTCCATGATGGCGGTCTCGGATAGGCCTATGGTTGAAAAGTTTCTCAGTGATACTGATTCTGGGAGATATGCAATTACAGGTTGGTGTGTATGTTGTGCTTGTGTTTATTGGATTTTTTTCTCTTATTTTTTTTTTTGTGTCTTATCGAACTCAGGGACTCTGAATGTTTCGGGGGATGGTGGTTTTGGATGGATCTTAATGGCTGGCTGGAAATAACAAAAGAGCGTTGCGGCATGGCCATGGTTTAAATAGTATCTTATTAGATAGTAACGTTTCCCACACGGTTACAACATTGATTTCTATGTAAGATGCCAGATTACAGGACAGAGACAGAAGTGGAAGGATAGTGTTAGATTTGAAAGAACAGAGAGGACAGCAGGCTACAGTGGTGAGTCACGCTTGGAACAGCACACATATTGAGACGCGCCGCGAACAGTGACCCATGTGAGGGCGGCGATTAGTTTAATCGATCGCATTCGCATTGCTGATTAATTTGCTTCCAGAGCCCAGCTGAAAACCTTGACACTGTTTTGACCCCGTTAACCAAGTGCAAGGCTGCTAACGGGAGAAGGGCGTCGGGTTGCACATGGAAAACCGTGTTACAGAAGAAGGCACTTTGCTGTTTGGAAACACCCAAGTACATACACATGTACATACATATGTACTATATACTTTTCGGGCACAAATGAGTAGCACACACGCACACGTACAAAAACGCATATGTCAGGACAGCGTTCAAGGAAGGAGGACAGTAAAGGCTTCGGGCGGATGCTCACACACAACACACAAGCTACAATTAGCACACAATTTAGTTATTTACCAACTCCGGATGAGAATTTTTTATTCTCGAACGCTAGGGCAAAAATCGGGCAAACGTTTGACGAATAAAAAGTGGATACACACCCGAACTGGGGATGAGTCTGGCCGCGATAGTCGGGCGCAGCGTCTATCGATAGCAACGTGCACGCACGAGTGCCACCACCAATATTTGTTATTGTTCCGCAAAAAAAAACATCCAGCCAACTTTTCGAATCGCCGCATGTTCTCTGCCCAAGAATGATGGCCAAGGACAAGGGGCTGGCTGTTGCCGGATCGGTGGCTCCTCTGCCGGCCACCATCGAGTGGTCTGCCGAGGAGGAGCTGCAGCTGTTCCACGCCATGGAGGGATTGCGGCCGGTGGGCATCAACAAGCACTTTTACATGTCGGCCATAGCCCAGCGCTTGTCCAAGTCTCTCAACCGCGAGATGCCCAGCGAGCTGATCTGGCGCCACCTGGGCACCATGTACAAGCTGAAGGAACTGGACGACCTCGAGTCGCTGCCCTTTCCCAACGAGGAGCGCGAGTTCAGTCTCCCGGAGAATGACTACGGAACGCTACAGACCAAAAAGACGGTGGAGGTGAATGCCAGCGAGGAGGCAGGAGGAGATCCCCCACCACCAGCTGCGAATTCTACTTCCTCCGCTGACAGCAATGGCAAAGGTGAACCTACACAGTATTTGTCAAATCCCTTGCTAAAATGTTTTCTTTTTAGCTCCCCCTGCTACTAAAGCCGCAGTGCCATCAAACACCGCTAAGGAGACCGAGAAAAAGGCCTCCGCAAAGGCTGTGGATCTGCCCAAGCGCCCAGCGAAGCGCACTCGCGGATCCATGTCTAATGAATCCATCAGTCCCTCAACCACTCCACCGCCGGTGCAGAGCAACAAGCGCCGTCGCATTTAGGGACTCCAAACTCTCGAAATGGACAATTGTTATGACAAGTTTTAGTTCACTAGCTTTACTGTACATAAATAAACGGATTTATTCTTCGAATTCGTTGTTGGACTCTTCGTTGGAGCCGTCCTCGTTGTCGGACGACACTCCACCGTTGGCAAATTGCATGTTGTCCAGGAGGGACTTCAGGAGGCGCCTGTTCAGATGATCCGTCTGAGTCAGTTCGCGGGCTGCCTGGGGCGGTGTCTCTGCGTCCGCCTCTACCGCGGGATTTCCAGCTGGTGCAGTTGGTGACGTGGACATGGCATCTATGTGCTCCAAAGCAGGCATATTTTGCATTATCTGCCGATTCCCCCGAAAAGTGTTTTTACTAGTTTTTCTATGACACACTCTGTTATTAATCGTGAAAATACTAATCGATATATCGATGGTCGTTCATAATAATGGCCATCACTAGAAATAGAGTTGTCAAATATCGATTTTACTTTTAAATTCTTTAGAAATTTATTAAAAACTCCTTAAATAAAGAACAAAATAATTTATACCGCAATTTCTACTCAAAAAAGGATGATTTCAGCCGTAAACAATTCAAGAGACACATAGTTATCGATGTCACGCCGACCCCAGGTCCACCCCTAATCCGACCCAGCTCCAATCAGACCGATTCTCCCGCTCGAATTGAATTTTGCCGGAAAATAAACAAACCTTTATTCGAAATATGTTTGAGCCCGAAACGGAAGATATGTTGCCCCGTTCAGCTCCCAGGCCCAGTGCGGCTGTGCCTATGGGCCACTCCAACGAAGTAATCCGGCCCACCGTGCCGGAGGTGTCCATATTGTTTGGTCAGCCGCCGCAGCAGCAGCAGGAACCAATGATGCAAATGCAGATGCAGCCCGCGCAGGAGCAATCTCCGCGCCCTGAGCCTACCTTTGCCTCCTGGAAGAAGCAGATGCTACCACGGGTCAATTTCTCACCCATTCTGACCACAGAACTAGGACCACGCCCCGCCCCCAGCAGCAGCAACAACCACAACTTGGGTATTTCCTCCAACGAGTACATTGTAATCCCTAGAGACCGTCACTACACTACTGAAGCAGGATCGTGTGCCACTAGTTCTGGAGGGATGTACAGCGAGTCCAAGAAGCAGCAGTTCCAATCGGTGCGACGTTTGTCTACTCCGTCTAGCTCGGATGTTCTAACGATTTGTGCAGGAACCCAGACCGATGTCGTGAATCGAAGTTCTCCGCGAACATCGCTGCCATCGGTGGTATACTCGGACATTGATGTCAGTAATTTGGTCAATAAAAACGACCTGGCGACAGTGGTATCGCTACTGGAAACCATGCGGCAGGAGCAGCAGCAGTTGAGGCGTCTCTGCGAGACGCTATTGGAACAGCATCAGGCGAGAGCTGAAGCTGCACCAAAGCCCAGCAGAACAACAGCTAGCCAGTGCGATATTTTGACTTCCACCAATAATAACAACCATGGTGGGTAAACCAATAAAAAAAAAGTGGAAGTCCTCAAATAGTTTTATATTTTCCAGGCAAGCGGTTAACACCCATTATCCAGGACTACATAGTTGAGGAGGAGGAGGAGCCTCCAGCACGAGTAGTTCCTCAGCAATTTCAATCACCACGACCCACTCAGCCCATGGCCCAGTCCACGGGCTATCGGGCGAACACACCCCAAGGACCAGCGAAGCGGATCCCTCAACTCGCCAAACCAAACACTGAAAAGAGCATGGTCATGAACGAGTTGGCCCTTAAGTACTTGCGACAGCCCGTCGACGAGCTGATGAAGGATATGCGCTTGGGGTCTTCGCCCAAATCCCCCAATCATGCCGAACCCCTACGTCAGATCGACAATCTCGGTCATACTCCCGGGCAGAGCAGTAGCCCGAACGACATTTCGAATGCCTCGTACAAGTATCTCAAGAAGTATCGCCTGCTGCCCGAAGAGCAGCTGGACTATGCACGATCACCACAATCTCCGCTGGCCGCTCCGCCGCAAATGCAACTCGACTTGGAGAACATCAGAAATCAACCGAAACTGATGTGAATAGAGCCTGCTTTTATTTGTTTTCGTTACTATTTATGCGGTTTAAGTGGAAATATATATTTCAAATACACGGAATAACGTTTGACACTTGCTCTGGGATAAGGCCATCCCTGCTGCACCAACAACAAAGGTAACCAGCCACACTTTGCTTACAAAAACACACACAAAATAGACGACAATATATAAGTATATAAACTGGCTTGAGCTTGAGCTCGTGTCCTAGCGCAAGACCAACTGCAGCTCAGCAGCCGATTGCAGGAGCACCTTCAGTCCCTGCATGAAGCCTGCGCACTGCGCAAAGTCCGTGCCAAAGGCTATCCGGGTGTGGATCTCCAAGGCATTGGCATAGTCCGCTATTTGGATGTACTGAACTATCTGATTTAGATATTGCACCGTTGTGGGAGTGAGCTGCGGCAAAGAGAGGAAGTAGGGATTAAGGTTAATGTAGGGTAAGGAGTCCAAGCTGCTTACCTTGCCATCCCTCAGGCAGTCGTAGAGATTTTCCAGCCGCTTGACCACATCCACAAACTTGCGTTTTGTGCGCTGTCAATGAATGAAGAAAATTAATAAATTGTTAAGGAATTAATGGGAAAATTTCAATTTAACTCACCGGATCATTCGTTGCGCTCAGACAGCGATTCTTTAGCTCTTCTAGAACCGTTTGCAAGTATATGTATTCCTCGGGTAGCGGCGGCTTCTCCTTGGGCGGTTCCGGCTGGCGCTGCTGCTGCTGAATGGGAGCTGGCTGCTCGGTATACCCAATTGTCTGCTGCTGACCCTGCCAGTTCTGCTGCTGCTGAGGAATTCCTGGCTGCAAGTTTAGTGGCTGCTGGGGCTGGAGGTACGATTGCTGCTGCTGCTGTTGCTGGGGAAGATTGTTGTTAAAGGCAGCCGGATTGTAGTAAGCATTGGGCACTCCTCCTGGTGGTGGCGCATTCTGTAAGAAAGAACTCCCTAAGTAATCTTTATTTTTCAAAAGATTACCTTCATTAATACCTGATATTGAGCGGGATCCACATATCCGTTTTGATTTTGATTGGGATCTCCAGGGAACAGGGGATGGAAGATGGGGGCCGCACTTGGCTCAGCCACTGGCTTCGGCTTGGGCTACGAAAATAGTCACATAATTTATAGACTCGGAGATTATGTCAACTTTTTTACTTACCGCTCGCGAAGATTTAAGCGCTGGTGGATCGTTCCAGCCTGGCGGTGGCGTGGGATTGCGCTGCACATTCTGGATGAGCGGTGCTGGCGCCGCTGGTGGCTGCATCGTTTCTATCGGATTCACGCCGGGCAGAAACGAGTTCTGCGGTGTTGCCCCCATGAATGGCGATGGGTTGTAGGTTTGAGCCGCTGCTATCGGATTCGTGTTGAATGAGTTGCTGTTGTAGGTAGGCACGCTAGCCGGCTGGGGCACGGGTCCAGGTGCTGACCCGCCGCCGCTGAAGGGAACTGCCGATGGAACAGGCGCCGGAACAGGATTGTATGGCATGCCGTAGGAGCTGGTGGGCGCTGCCACCGAGGGATCCAGTACGTATTTGGAACGAGCATGAAGTCCAGATCCGCCAGACGGCGGTGCTGCTCCTGCTGCTGGCGGTGGGCCACCAGAGGAGCTGGCATTGCTCAGTGGGCGCGGTGGGTGGGCCATGAGTTCTGGCTTTACTGGTTGCGGATTGAATATCTGAGGCTGTGGCTGGACCCCCGGATAGGTGGTGGGCGCCTGTGCTGGCCAGCCCGGCTGAGCATACTGATTGGTGGTCGGCGGCTGTCCATAAGGCAGTGGCACTCCCGATGGTTGCGACTGCGAGAACGACCCGCGACCTCGCTGATAGCCCAGTTGGGCAGCTGCTGCTGCTCCTGGCTGAGGCTGGGCGTAGTCCAGGTTGACCGCGTTGTTAATTCGATCCCGCAGGCTCTGCAGGACTTCGCTTTCGCTGGCAGCTCCGCCACCCAGGGTGGTGATGTACTGCAAAGCGGCGGTGAGGGCTCCCTGCGAAGCCAACAAGCCACCGTACTCCGTTAGAAAGCTGGCAAATCGACCCGCCAGGTCGACGGCAATGCCCTGTTGCTCCAGCGACTTGCACATCAACATCACCACCTCGGCCAGGTCTTGCAGCTCGGTGGTGTTGGGCTTATAGCCAGCGTTCTGCTGCTCCAGCCGCTTTAGCTGATACCATGCGGTCACCAGCTTGTCGATGCTGCCGGCACAAATGTAGCAGAGCATGGCGTTGCGGGTGTACTCAACGCTAGAGGCGCATTCGCTCAACAGGCGGTCGCCCAGTCGCTCACAGATGTCCACCACCTTGCGCTCGCTGTGCTTCAAGGCGGCCACCAGGGCCTCCTTCCACGAGTCCACCGTGCAGCGATTGACAAAGTCCAGCCAGTCGCGGGACACCAAAGCGGAAATCACGTGCGACAGCTCGCTCTTCTGCTGCAGAAGGTAGCGCGTTTGGGTGCGGGTCAGTGTCTCGATGCCAGCTGTCGAGGCGATGATCAGAGCTTCCGGTATGCGTTGCGCCTCCAGGCAAAGCTCGACGGCAGCCTCCACATTGCCAGTGAGTATGGCCTCGGCGATCAGGCTGTCTGAGTCTGGAAAAGAAGGAATTTTAGTAGCTAGAAAAGATAATAAGGGAAGGTAACTTACGATCTCCACTGGGAACCTTAAACTGTGGCCTCGGAGGCGTGGCAAAGTCGTTGTGATTTTGGGAATCAACAATGGCGTTTCCGTCCTGCGTTTGCTATTTTTTGAAGAAGGATTTTTAATTAGATATGGTCACAATAGTCCTGTTGTTTTTTTAACTTTACGACAGAGCTAGTAAGTGGCAATTGATATGGGAGAGGGTTAAAAGAAAGGCTGCGCCAAGAACAAAGTTCAAAAGATAACTAAGATAACCCCTTAAGTGTTAGCTCCTTACCGAATTATCAGTGCTATAGTTAGTACTCTGATCGCAGCCTTCGACCTCCGAAGAGTCGCTCTACAGCAATGTGGCATGGCATGAATGTTAGTATGTTATCGAAAAGAAATATACATGGCGAGATGAGCATACGTGGAGATTGATAGTGCGCACAGCGATGCTTTTTTTTTGGGACTGATAAGGGTACAAATACTTACATGGGTCAGTGTCGAGATGCGGGTCGTTAGAGTATCCACATCCGATTGCGAGTTCGTCTCAGTTTCCCTGATAAACTTGTTGAACTTGCCATCGATGTCGTCTTTATTGTAGCCTTAGAAATGAAAGAAATCTTCACCGAACTGCCATTAATATTTAATGGTTTCTGACTTACCCAATAGGTTGAGCATTTCCTCCTTGGGATTCAGCTCAAAGTTCGCCTTGATAAAGTACCAGATGTAGCGACCATGCTGATCCGCAGTCTCATCGGCTCTCTGCCGGCAATATTCCGAGTAGTTGGCATCCGCCAGTGAGCGTTCCAAGGCATTGGCACGCTCTACCAGAGCCGCCTCAGTGGTCAGCTGCTGCACCTTCACCTTCCTGGAGGTGCCATCAAAGCTGACCAGCTTGCCACCAAACTATATTTAGGGAAATTTTCCCAATTTATTGATATTCAAATCAGTTAAAGGTGTGAACTCACCCCAAAGGCAACGCCACAGGGACGCTTCATCCACTTGGGAGCCACCGACAGGTCATGATAGACCACTTGCGTCGTCTGCTGGGGTATGGGGTCTTGCGCGAACTGATCCATGCCCGGAAATGAGTCGGCAATCTTGTTGGAAGTCTGAACCAGCTGGTGAGTGCCGCCGTGCAGGGAGTAGATGGAGACGGCGCCCTCCAGGCTGGCGCTGGCAACGAGAGCCGGATTGCGCGGACAGAACTGCACGTCGGAGTACCACGAAGCGGTGGTGGCCACCTCCGAGAGGATTTCGCCCTCGGGTATCTTAGTGTTTGGATTCCAGCAGTAAATCCGGTTGTCCTTGCCGCACGACACCATCAAGTCGTTGTCCTGCTGGCACCACGACATGCCCAGCACTCCTCGCTCATGGATCTGATATGTTTTCGCTGGTGCCGTGGCATAACGCAGATCCCACAGCTGCACAACCGGTGCCTGATCGTCCTCGGAGGCTAGCCAGACTTGTGTCGCCGCCTCCGGATGCCACTCGATGGCGTGCCACCGAACCCTCGACTGCGAGTCCGATAGCTTAATGATCTGCTGGCTTTTGCGCAGATCCCAGATCACGCAGCGAGTGCTGAAGACGGAGGCCAGAATGTGCTGCACCTGCCGGTTCCATGCCACGTTCTTTACGTCCTCCAGCGGTTGGGTCTTGGCGCCGGGATTCATGTGGGTGGCCGGGTTGTTGAGGTCCCAGATGTAAATCTCTGACTCGGAGGCGCACGAAGCCAGCAGGTTTGTCTGGAAGGGATTAAAGTCCAACCCGCTGACAGCGCCCGTATGTTTGTCCTGGCGAGCCACCAGCGGCTCCTCATTGCCAGCGAGTAGCTTGGCAGCCGAGTATATGTTGATTTGCCCCGCCTCGCAGCCACCGACGATCAAGCCACTGGGATGTGGCCCCACCGGGCTCCAGATAAGCTTTTGAAACCTATTAAAACGAAAGCCGGCTTAAACAAAATCTTCGAAAGAGAACTCCCATGGAAAAACTTACTTGTACTGGCTGGCCACGCTAGCCTTCAGCTCCAGGTCGTAGGTGGCATCGCTGAAGTTGGGTGAGTATACCTCCAGGGTGGAGCTAGCATTGGAATCAAACTGCTGGGCGGCGGTGCCGGCGGCCAAGAGTATCTGCTGCTGCTGGGCCGGCGACCAGGTGATGTTCACCGTCTTCTGCAGTTCCTTGATCTTCATATTGCAAACGCCGTTCGAGCTGATCAATTATAATAATTAAATAATGTTAAACGCAGCTGCTATCGGTGGTGCAACATCAGAACGAAATTGTGTCACATCCAATTGGAGCGCGCCCCGTCATCACTTTTTTCCCCATTGGCATCCGCGGTGCATATGTGGCCTAGTTCCTACAGCCGGCCACTAATTACATTTATTTATGCTAACTTTTTAACTTACACACAATTGTGAATGGAATTTGCAGTCGCTTCCGCAGGAAAAACACTATTTTGGCTTTAAAATTAACTGGAAACTTTAATATTTTTAAGAATATACGGCTGGGACAGCCAGTGTGACCGCAACTAAAGTTGAGTAATTTACCAATCCGAATCATAGAATATACTAAAATAAATGCCTTTCTGAATATACTGCAGGTTCCGTTATTTTCAAAATGGAATTATTTTAATTAAAAAAAGGGGGTTTTAAAATAAAATAAATACAAAATAAGGCATATTTTATATCAAGAACATAGTTATGTATTTATTTGAATATTTTATATGAAGCATCAGATCAGTGCTGTCCACTTGCTGCCTCTGACAGCTTTTAGTTCTTCAAATTCCCACAGGTTGACAGCCGCGCCGAGGCAGCTGTTGCTCTCGTGCTGATGAAACTTTGCCGCATTGCAAGTGCAGGGAACTCCGTCTAAAAGCCTCATAAGATGTCGAAACGTGTGCAACCGGCGTGGCAGGCCCCGAAGGCGGCGGTCCGGCCGAAGCTGAAGCTGTTCAACAGCCTGACGCGGCAGAAGGAGGAGTTTGTGCCGCTGGACGGCAACAATGTAACGTGGTATAGCTGCGGGCCCACGGTCTACGACGCCTCCCACATGGGGCATGCGAGGTGAGTCGCCGCCACATCAGCATCGAGTGCTCCGTATCTTATCTCCCGTCGAAACACTTCCGTGATCCGGTGCTCCGAATCTTACACAGATCTTACATCTCCTTCGACATTCTGCGCCGTATTCTGGCCAACTACTTTGGCTACCACATCCACTATGTGATGAACATCACGGACATCGATGACAAGATCATCAAGCGGGCGCGACAGAACCATCTGTTCGAGGAATATGCCAGCGGGGCGGAAAAGCTTCCGCTGGATCAGCTCCTGGGTCAGCAAAAGGAGGTGCTCGTTCGCTTCCAGGCCACCTGCGCCAAGAATACGGATCCAGACAAGAAGGTGATGCTGGACAAGACCCTCCAGCGGATGAACGACGCCGTGGATGCGCTCACAAAGGCCGTTAGCAAGGGAGATTCAAAGGAGATCTCCGAAAAGCGGCAGCATTACCTCAACGAGGCCAAGGATCCCATCTCCGAGTGGCTGGACTCGCAAAAGGGTGCCGAAATCAACGATAATGCGGTTTTCGAGGCTCTACCACGTTACTGGGAGGACCAGTTCCACAACGACATGAAATCGCTGAACGTGAGTCATCTATGCCTGCAGTAATTAAGAGAGTGAATCATTCTGGTTACTTATTGCAGATTCTACCGCCAGATGTCTTGACCCGCGTCTCGGAGTATGTGCCCCAGATTGTGACCTTCATTCAGAAAATTATCGACAACGGTCTGGCCTATGCGGCCAACAACTCGGTTTACTTTGATGTGAACGGCTTTGACAGGAGGGAAAAGCATCACTATGCCAAGCTGGTGCCGGAGGCGTACGGCGACACCAAGTCCCTGCAGGAGGGCGAGGGGGATCTGTCCGTGGCCGAGGATCGGCTCTCGGAGAAGCGCTCTGCCAACGACTTTGCGCTGTGGAAGGCGAGCAAGGCCGGTGAGCCGTGGTGGGACAGTCCCTGGGGCAGGGGTCGACCAGGTTGGCACATTGAATGCTCGGCCATGGCGTCGGACATCTTTGGCCCCGCTTTGGATATACACACGGGCGGTGTGGACTTGAAGTTCCCCCACCACGACAACGAGCTGGCCCAATCGGAGGCGGCCTTCAACGAGGCCGAGTGGGTCAAGTACTTCCTGCACACGGGCCATTTGACCATTGCTGGCTGCAAGATGTCCAAGTCCTTGAAGAATTTTGTTACCATCCAGGAGGCGCTCAAAAAGCACTCGGCAACCCAGTTGCGACTGGCCTTCCTGCTGCACTCGTGGAAGGACACGCTCGACTACTCGGAGAACACCATGGAAATGGCCACGCAGTACGAGAAGTTCCTCAACGTAAGACCTGCCTTACCAAAACTTAATTTCCCGAAATATATAATGTTGCCCCGTAGGAGTTCTTTCTGAATGTCAAGGATCTGACACGTCACGTGCTTTCCGAAGAGCCACGCCGCCAGTTCGATGCCTGGACAGAAGTTGAGGCTGCATTGCAGAAGAAATTCGCTAGTTCCCAGGAGCAAGTGCATGCTGCCCTCTGCGGTACGTTGCTAGATGTTTATCCCATGAATATACACTTAATTATGTATCCTTCACAGACAACATTGACACTCGCAGCGCCCTCGATGCCATTCGGGAGCTGGTTTCCGCTTCCAATGTCTACATAAGGGACAACAAGTCGAGACTGAATAGCCTGCTCTTGCGCAATGTGGCCACCTACATCACCGACCTATTGCACGTCTTTGGCGCTATTGCCGGACCCCGCGGTGGCATCGGTTTTCCCGTAAGCAGCAGTTCTGGTGGACAAGCAGCGGGCGCTGATTTGGAGACCACCGTGCTGCCTTATGTCCAAACTCTTGCCGAGTTCAGGAATCTGGTGCGAGAGCAGGCCAAGGCCCTGAAGGCCTTTGACATTCTTAAGCTATGCGATGATCTGCGCGATAATGTTCTGCCCAACTTGGGCGTGCGACTGGAGGACAAGGATGGTGGGCAGTTTGCGGTCAAGTTGGTGGACCGGGAATCACTGCTGCGGGAACGGGAGGCCAAGCTGGCCGCCGAAGCGGAGAAGGCCGCCGAGAAGGAGCGCAAGAAGCAGGCGGCAGCCGAGGCAGCTGCCGCCAAAGAGGCCCAGCGTCGCGTGAACCCTAAGGAGATGTTCCTTGGCGAAACGGAAAAGTATTCGGCATTCGATGAAAACGTGAGTTTATTTATATATATTTTTTTATTAAATGTAATGTTATTTTTATTTGTAATGCCATTTATAGGGCCTTCCCACTCTCGACAAAGACGGCAAAGAGGTTAGCAAGGGACAGATCAAGAAGCTGCAGAAGCTCCAGCAGCAGCAGGAGCAACGTTACAAAGAGTATTTGGCGTCTGTGAAAGAAGCAGCATAAGATCAGAGCACCAACCAAGGCAATGATATTAACTTAGCATTTAAACCATTGTAAAACCTTAATGCAAACCTTAAAAATTTACAATTTAGATTAATGCAAGAGATTTAAGTTCTCAGCTTAAAGCAGTTGCAGTAATTAAAACACTTTTTATAATTCAAATTGATTTTATATTTTTTAATAATTAATGAATTTTTAGCTTAGTTTTGATAAATTTCAGATTGCAAATTGCAGGGGTATTCAAACTTCGGCTAAGGTTCTTTCCGAAGTAAGGTCATTTCTTGTTCGACTAAAAATAATAATTAAATCTAGGGTTTAGCTGCCATAGAATATAAATTCCACTGCTGAACACAATTAATCTCGCTAATGTAACATATATACAAAGTGGTGAAACAATAATCGGCAAACGAGATCCAGCTGAGGGCTCTTTTGGCTAATAAATAAGTTACGACGCCTTGTGAGCGGATTGTGGCTTCAGTTAGCCCTAAGATACATATATTCGACTGCGACAAGTCTTTGGTATATCTCCTTCAGTTCCCTTGGAATGTTTTTTCAGTTTTACAGACTGCCAATGTCGTTGTAGCGCTTCAGCTTGTCCGGGAAATTGTCTCGGAACAGCACGGGATCCGCCCGAAACTCCACTGTGCGCAGTGGCATGCGTCCATAGATCTTGGAGAAGCGATCGATGCAGGCTGAACGCTCACGCATGTGGTTTAGATCCGCCGAAAGCATTTCCGTATTGGTGCACTCGGGGCACTTGAACTTCTTGCGTGGAGTGACTTTAATGGGCGGATTGTTGGTTATATTGGCCACTAGAAAGTTCATGGCAATATCCTCGCAGTTCATGTGCTCGTCCACCCAGTCCTTGATGTCTCCGGGCATGGCGTGTGTGTACATATGGCTCCAATACTTGTGGTGGAAGGCGGCACCGGTTAGCACCATGGATATCTGGTTAGTCCATTCCGACTCGTAGTGCCAGCGCATGGTAACGTTATCCCAGACATGAATGCGACTGGGGAAGCCCACAATATGGTCGGGAAACTCTCGCCAAACCTCGTAGCTAACAATTAAAAGAGTTTAGCTATAAAATCTAAATCATTTCAAGCTTGATTTACCCAAAGTCGAGCTCATCTGTGGTCAGCATTATGATGTCATCGTCTATGGTTAAAATGGCTTCCGTTTCAATTTCCGGATATGGATAGAATCGATTCGACAACTTGTTCTCCTTGGTTTGCCGAATCTTTAAAGGTTTGGATATGGAGGGAAATGTAGACACTGAAAGGGAAAGCAAAGTTTGTTATTATCCCCAAGATTGATCTATAATAAAAGAAAACTTACAGTGTGGTGGAGACTTCTTCTGGTTGTTCCATATAACCAAGATGCTTTGCAATGAGGGAACCACAGCCAGCTTCTGAATGAGCAAAAACAGACTCTCCACGCGATCGTAGGTCAGAATGACGGCCGTAAATCCTTGGGATTTTGGAGCGAGAGAAGGTAAAAAGAGTGGATTAAAGGTGGATCGAGCATTCGTGTCGATGGCGTTCCACTGACGACTGCTTCGGGCACGTAACGGAAAGATGCGACTCTCCAGCACTTCCAGGGCCGTCAGCGTCACGGTCTTTAGATCCTTGAAGTACTTGGAGTACAGCCACTGCACCTGCTTCTGCATCTCAACGATTTTGACATTGGAAATCGCCTTTAGCTTCTGCATCACGGAATGCAGCTCGGACTCGCGAATGCGTACTGAGGCCAGCGACCAATCGATCACATCCTCAAAGGGCAGTACGTAATTATCAACGGCAATCACGGGAACGCAGCCCTGGGACATGATCTCCACCAGATCGGGCTGGCCCATTCTTAGGCTCTTGCCCAAAAGGCAGAACTTGCCACGCGACAGGAGGCGTGGGTACTCCAGGGATTTGTGGTGTTGCGACAAGGGGCAACGCAATGAGAGATCCATACTCTCACAAGCTCCCAGAATCAGCATTTGCTCGCTGTGGGCCGATGACAGCTCCCGCAGGCCGCGCAGGAAGCGTGGCAGGATGTTCAGTTGCGCCACCACCAAAAGGAACTTCCTCTGGGCCGTGGCATGGGCATGCGGATGTACCAGGCGCGGACTCCACACAGGGATGGATACGTCAAAGCCAGGTCTATACGACCAAGAGTCGAAGCCGCCGCCAAAGATGATGGCATTGTCCGTGTTTACATCCAGCACCGTGTTATAGGACGGAGCCCCACCAGGCAGCATGTTGAAGATGATGTGGTTGGCGCCGCGATCCCAAAAGTCCAGGGAGGCCAGGGCAGCGCCTGCCAAGTGCTTGTCAAAGACATTCTGGTTGAGCAGATCCAAGCTGGGCAGGAAGAGGCACGCCTCGTTGGGGTTCGAGGTGTAGTAGCGACTCTTCAGCACGGCCTCTAGAATTTGAAAGTACTCGCTGGACAAGGTGGCGGCCACCTTGTCGCTCCGCTCGTCCACAAACTCTTGCAGTGGATAAATATAGACCTTCAGGCGGTCATGCTCGCACTTGTATATGTTCAGGCAGTCCCAGAAGGTGCAATTCACATTCCGTGCCCGCTGCTCGGCCTCGGGGTTCAGTCCCACTTCCTGGATGTGCTCTAGGTCCAGTATAAGCGTGTGGGTATCCCTTTTTCCATGGAAGAATCCGTCCCGCGGGTTGTTGTTGGAGAGATCCCAGAGCAGGAAGCCCGCGCACAGGGCCACGATAACCAGCAGGCCATAGGTGAGAAAGTTGAGGATCTGTTCCTTGGGGCTCGAGTGCGATATGCCCCGAGACTGGGTCACAAAACTCAGCAGATACTTCAGTTTGTTCATTTTGCCTGCGATTTCTGCATTTTGTTTTTACGAAACAGTGTGACCGTTGTGCAGGCAAGTACCTGTCTGGCTCGACCCAGTGTTACAAAATGCCGAAAATGAATATGGGTTAAGTTTGAAAATAATAGTAAAAGTTTATATTTTCTCAATTTGTACTGTTTTGATATTGATTATACTCTTTATTAGTTTTACAACAATAATAAATACAAGTTACAGGTGTTGAGCACCATTATTTTGAAAAGTTTGTATCTACAAAATCAATCGGCATCAAAACAGCCCAAAACTACTTTTGCGGATTTAAAGTAACGCTGAGCTTGGTGGCCTGGATATCGCAACTGGGAAGGTGTTCCTTTAGCTTGGCGGAAACTGCCTCCATATTTTTGACAAACATCATGTCGAAGATGATGAGTTGACGCAGGTTCTTCAGCTCCGCAATCACAGCCAGTCCAGAATCGGTGATGTTATAGCACCCGGACACCTGTAGTCGGACGAGGGAGCTGCTTATATGGTGCAATCCCTCCAGCCCGTCGTTCTCAAGGTGCTTGCAGTTGTGGAAAATGACAGTATCGACGCAAGAGCAGCCTTTAAGATGCTCTAATCCGATTTTCATGATGGAGGAATTCGAGGCGTCCACCACCTTGATTTCGAACGGAGCGTTCTCTCCCGGCAGAGAGTTGTAGTCTTTCCACAGCCTGTTGGGACTACCCACGAAGCGAACTCCTCCGCCGTTCTTTATAATCCATTCCGCGCACAGCCGGTTAGGGCCCACCTTGGACAACCGCTCCGCGTCTACCTGGTTGAACGCTATAGCCACATAGCCCCAAATGCCGCGGTCCTTTGGTTTGGGCTGGAGAAGTGGTGACTCCTTCGATAGACGGTGTTGAAGCTGTCCTGTTGTACTTATCCTGGGGAGCAACCTGCACAATAACGACATTTCGCGGCGGACCGAACAAGCTGTAGCCGTCGAGTGTTGTCCAACACTCTTTAGGGCTGGGCAGCTCGTCAACTGAACACAATTTTAATATTTTCTGAAATAGAAACCCATTTTGATCTTTTTTTGGCAGTCGACCCTTTGACATTGTTAAATTGTTTTATTTTCGGTCAAATATCTAACAACAAACGAATCGAAACTAATTCGAGGTGGAATTTTGATTTGTTCAGAGTGACCGTCCATCGATAACTGATAGTTACTGAAAAAATCGACGATAACATTGCTATTCTGCGTTCTCTTTTTGGATATTGTTCCTCGCCATTCGTTTTCGCCGCTCATTCTCAACTCAAATTTTCACAGAAGCAGGTTGTTCGTGCGCGTTGTTCCTGCGACTAATTAATTAAAATAACTAACTTTAATAAAAGAGATCGAGGCGTGCAGCAGCGGCCAAGTAGCCAAATCGACTCGATTTCAGTGAGCCAGTGGCAATTAACGCAAGGAAATCACAAATGTTCTAAGCGCGAGTGTGCGTGAGAGTGTGCGAAGAGCGTGTGTGAGCATAAAATCTCGGCAATAACAAAAAAACATACATATGCTGTGGTTGCGATTTAAACGTCAGCTAGCCTTTGTTTTACGCGCTTGATAAGTGAACAAATTGCGGGGTTTAGAACAAAACTGACCACGGGGCGGTAAACAAAATAGCAACAAATACAGTAAATCTCGTATCGTATTGGATCTCTCGTTACGTGCACTGCGCTCTTGTTGTCAATGAGTGCGTTCGTGTGAGTGTGTTTTAGCGTGTGTGCCAGTGTGCGAGCTTGCCGCCACCGCAATTGAAGAAAACACACCAATACCAAGGCGGCAAATAAAAATAAGCTGTGCCCGTGTGCGTGCCGTGCGCCTATCGGTGTGAGTTCGAATCGAACGTGTTAAAGTGACGAATAAACCAGCGAGCCAGGGGAAGGCAGGGGAAAGCGCAGGAGGGAAATCATCGCATCGGAAGAGATAGACAAACAGAACGGCACACAGGCGGACTCAGCGAACAGAATCAGACAGCCAAACATTTGTACATTTCCTTCGCACATCTATATATGCATATGTATACACGACGACGTACGTAATAGTTTGCCGCCGCAGACATTAAGGCTCTGTGCTCAGTCGCTCTGTCCCGCTCTCGCCCTCTTGTTTACACGAACGCCCACACCTCGCCCCCGCCTGCGCCCTTATCCGCTGCTGCTGGCCTTTGGAATAGGTGAGTAAATGCCGCATTCCGCTCGCTGCCTAATTAAGTTAAAAATTGACTTTTGCCAAATTGTGGAGTCCGTTCACTTCCCTCGCTCCGTTTTGGGGGGTTACCTTTCTGCTGCGGGTTCTGTTTCTATTGCTACAGTGGAGCCTGTATAGCATGGACATTTAATTTATGTTCCCTTATTTTTGCTTAAAAATATAAATAGTAAATGTAATAAATATAGAGAGATGTTGAGGTTTTTACAGAGCTTTTGTAATCTGAATTAATTTTAAAAAGAAATCAAGTTTATCGCACAAATAGAGTTTCAACTTGAGTAGGCGTACAGAATTTCGACTGTATTTCTGTTTTCTATTCTCCTCTATAACTCCGAAGGCACCCAACAGGGCCTATATGCAAAAGATGAATGATATACAGGCCCGGCCATGTTAGATGATAAATGGCGCGCTATATTAAATGATTTATCTCTCCTCTTTCTCTCTCTATGGCTCCCCCGAAGCCCTCGCTTTCGAGTTCATTGTGCCTTCAGATCTGTAGATCTTCAGGTCTCCTGCCCCTCACAGCCCCCCGAGGGCTAATCTGTAGTATCTCGCACACAGATTTCTGGCGTAGATTTGAGTTGATTTGAGTTCAGTTGAGGTAAATTGTTGCCAGCATAGCTAACGCGCCTACAAAAGGCGATTCAACAAAAGAAGTCGGGCCATTTAAGACTAGAAATGGACAACTATATTCATCAATCAATTTAAAACAATTTAAAAAGTAGTCTTAAAGGGACCCAAAATTTGTTTATAATAATAATATTTAAGGTCAAGGATTTATCCAGAAAGTAACTGCTAAGAAAGTACTTTTGTATTTTATTCTAAAATACTTCAAAATTGTACAAATTTATAGCTTGGATGATCTTAAATTGTTTGATGTTGGTTTAAATATTCAACTGCACTTGTAATTCTATAAAGAATTAATAATGACTATTAATAGCTTAATCGATTCCTTTGTATTTTCGCTTTATTGCATCTGGTTTTGCCCTTCAATTAAATAAAAAATCCCGCCCACAAGTCTATAGAGATTTAACTAACACCAGAATCTTCCGGATATCCCCTCATATCAAATTGTTTTTTAGCTTTTTATCCATTCACTAGCTATTCCCATGCTGAGTCAACAAACTGTCATTTCCTCAATACCAGTCTGTTGTTTGCCGTTTGATTTTTATTGTATTTCGCTTGAAATAGTCGCTGAATCGTAATCGTTTCCAATGGTTCTAATAACTTTCCAACAGCAGCCATTTCTAAAATAATGCTTTTGCACTCTTTTATTGTTTTCGCTTTGTGCCAGTTATTCCTCGCCCAGTTGCTGCTGCTATCGAATTGTTGCCATTTTTTTCAGTTTCTGCCTTTTCTGTTTTCTAATTAGTTATAATTACACTTAATGCAATTTAGTTATGAGGTTCTGTTTCTGTGCCCACATTCGTGAGCTCCTCAGCGTCAACGTCAGCCTCAGCCTCAGCCCGTTGTTCGTGCCGTTTCCATTTTTGCATTTATACATTTTAACATTGATGGGGGATTTTATGATTAGTGCAACTAGTTCGTGCTGCCTGCATTTTGACCGGGCTTTCTGTTACAAGGGCCGTCGAAAATCGAGAGGAGGAGGAGTAGTACCAGTCCCCGGGGGTAGGACGCGATTGGGCACACACCGAGCACACAAAGCCCCATCGGACACCAGGCGTTGATGCAATTTGTAGCTGTAAGATTCGACTTGGCCCGATAAGTGAGCCGGCAGCTGGAATGTTCCCCCATCTCACTGGTTTTCGGTTCCATGGCCCCATGCCTCCAGAGAGACAGCAATATCGAGATTATGTGGTCATATTTCTTTTCTCCACAATTTTAAGTGTATTTCGATTAACTTGGCACGATATTTGTTTAGATATTTTAGAAAACATGTCTGGTATTTACTAGTTACAGTATTTAACTTCTTATTTAATTGAATGCCTCGAAAAATGTTCAAGCAACTCTAGCTAAATGCCCTTTAAGAAGACCTTTTAATTTTACCCACTTATTCAAGTATATTATACTATTTACAATTACTTCAAACTGTTTAAAGGATATCCAACAAATTCACACTGTAAGAAAGAAGACTTGTTCTAAGCTCGCCTTTTTCCGAAGTGCTTCATTAAAACCCATTAAGACTAAGCACCAGAAAGAGGGCAAAATGGATGCAGAGCTTAGATTATGTATGTACCTGACCATAATATATATTATAAGGAGCTACGCTCCAGCCAAGAGCGAGGTGTGAATTCTAGTTAAATTCAGTATCACCTCCGCATCATATGCATATGAGCTGCAATTTCAGCCGTAGATTATATCAGGTGGTCTCATAAATAAATGCATTTAATGCTCCGCTGGTTCGGCTGAATGGGGATGGGGTTCTTGGGCTTGGTTCGGATGCGTTGGTGTTGGTGTCGGTGTTGGTCTTGGCCCTGGGGAACTGGGAACTGCAATTGCCGCAGATGGCGAACCGAACCATACCGACTTGACCATGGCATGTCGCTTGTCTCACGAAAGCATCTCCCAATCCCAATGATGGAGTTAGCAAAAGCTGAGGAAGCTACAGCTCCAGCTACGGCACCGACTCCAGCTACAGCTACGGCTCCTCATCATTAGCAATTTGAAATGCACTCGAAGTGTTCAGGAAGAAAGATCGGAGGAGAGATGCCGGGCCTGCGAGTGTATCCAATTATTTCAGCATTTTATGGCGTAAATTTCCTTAAACCCAAACCATTTTTCAGCTGAAACGAATCGCGAGAAGAACAGAAAGAGACCCAGGAAAGAATAACGTATGCAGGTTCCCCCGGTCCCAGTCTCAGTCCCAGTCCCAAAAGGAGCAAAGCTCCACGGCAGCTACAAATCTTAAAAAGGCATCAAGATTATTGCACAGAAAAATTCTTTTCTTCACACCTCGGCCAGACAGCCCATCGTCGTCGTCTTCGCTCCTCAAAGGTCTGCCATGAAAAAAATGAGAAGAAAATAAACGAAAAAAATGGACAGAATAAGAAACTCAAAGAATTAAATGCGACTTCAAAGAAAGGTAAAGCAGCAGCAACAACAACAAGTGAGCGGAGCACGGACAAGAAATATGGTCAAAACGAAGCTACGTCGAGGGCCAACACCACCAACAATGGACATCATGTGCAACAACAATAAAAACCAATTTAAGCCGACGACCAAGCGAGCGACTTGAAGTGTGTGGCAGGAGTGTGGGGCATACACCATGGGATGCACAGTGAAAAATATCAGATCACAAGGGAATATAAAAGAGAGATAATATAAACTTGAAGCCTCAAGATCCGTTTTATACAAATTAAATAAAGAATTAGGAATTTTAAAAGTTGAATTCATAGTTTTGAGATGGTATTCTATTCCTTGCTTTTTAGTTGAAAAGACTTATAAGTTTAAAAGATATTATATTTAATGGATTCCATTTTCCCTGTGTACATATGGTGTGGAGTGCGGAGGATTCCTCGTGGGCTTACCTTCTTGTCGGCTTTCGTTTAACTGACGTCCCCGAACACCACAAAAGCAACAGCCACAGCCAACGATGGCAACAACGCATACACACAATCAGTTTCAGAAATCAGATTCGGTTCGAAGTTGAATAGTTTTGCTGCTCGGAATTATGTGTGCACGTATGTATGGTTCGTATGCGGAGTATCTTTGTCGCTGCCCCGATCTATTCTATGCTGGAATTATCTGTTTTGTGTGTGTGCCTCGACTACGTGCACAGCTGTAACTTTGGATTAGGGATTCCTTCAAGGGTTTCGGCCCGACTGTGATCACTTTCAGAAGGGAGAGAGGGGAAAGAAAAAAAAACATGTACCAAACATGTCAATGTCAATTTTAGGAAAAAGGGTTTTATTTTGGGATATATGCAAATGGGTTTATATGCTTTTACTTAATTCTGTACGATTGACATTTTAAAGAGATCACTAAGATAAGATCGATGGAGATACATTCTTGTTTAGAATCCAAATCTAAGAGATTTAGATTTAAATTGATTGTAACTTGATTATTGAACAGTTTTTAGATTTTTTAGTTTTTATGTATTTTCTGAGAAATATCTAATCCTTTTAAATAAAAGCCTGCAAACCTAAATCTTTCAGGAGTTGTACATATGTACCTTCATTTGTGTTTTTGTGCAATTCATAGGCTAACTTTTGTCTCTTTCCTTCCTTTCTTCGGATTAGGGATTTCTTAGCCTTATTGTAATGCCTATTTAACTTTATTCACATTCTTTTGACTTCTATTCAGATTCTTTAAAAGGTTGCAGCAATCATTTTTTAGAAAGTGTCATATTCTAACTACAATGGTTTGTAGGCATTTAGGGTCAGTCATTGATGTGTTATCCTATTATTACCCATCCCAAGCACTTTTCACCTTCACTGCGCTCACACGGCAGCCTGCTAATTTTCAAAGTGGCAAAACCCCTACAAAAGGGCAACACAATCTGCTTGAAGAAGAATTGAGGAAAAAACCCGAAACGAATCCCAATCAAAAGACCTTCGTTGCAAGAAACAGATGCTCCCTTCTAACACGCACACAGCCATACAATATATACATATATATTTGACCGATCATATCCAGTAACAATGCAAGTGAAATCCCAGAATCTCTTCCTCTTTGTGCCCGGTTTGCAGGGGCTGCTTGCTGCTCCGTCTTTGGAAAACGAGGCCCAATCCAGTTTTGTGTTGTTTTTCTGCTATGCTCTGCTCTGCTCCCTGCTGCAGATCTCCAGTTGATTTCGTTTTGGCTTTTCGGTTCCTGGAGTTTTTCAGAATTTCGTGCTGTGCCCCGGCCGCTTTTGTTGTTGCTGCCGCTTCTCCTCGCTGCTCTTGTGTTTTTATTTTTTCTTCACACCTTCGAGAAGGCAGCCCAAACTGAAATTTCAACGTTGACTGGAAATCCAATTCAATTCCCAATGGCGGTCGCACTGCAGGAGAGTGTGGGAGCGGCAGA